TAGTAGTAGCTACTTCTCTAGCCCCTACTAGGCCCTAGGTCTAGGTTCCTCCCCCTCCTTATTTAGCCCCTATATTAGGGTTCTATAACTCTAATATAGGTAGTCCCCTAGCTAGTAAACTAGGTAAGCTATCCTATAACTACTCTCTATAACTATATACTAATTATACTAGTTAGGGGATTAATTTATTATTAATCCTCTTTCTACCCTAAGTATCCTACTTATATAGGAGGCTTAGGATATACTACCTCTAGTAGCTATAATAATTAAGGAGTAGGCTTATACTTACTTTATTAGATATCTACCTAATATATAGTTTAAACCTAGGATTATATAGATATCTATTATACTTCTAGGCCTTACCCTATAGATAGGTACTAAGCCCCTATCTAGCTATAAATATTAATAGGTATTCTTACTAGTCTTAAAGTATATCTACTACTATAGATTTACTCTTAACTTAAGATTAGTAATCTATATATAGTATTATAAGGCTATCCTTATAACTTATGCTAGTTACTACCTATCTTATAACTATAAGTATATATAGTACTACTGGTATTACTGAGGGTAAGGTAGTATCACCAGGGGTGAAGAGAGATAGGCTGGGCTAATGCCTCTTCACTTACCTAGGGTAAGATCTTCTATTTATACCTAGCTACTGGCTATCTATCCAAAAGATAAGTCATAGATATTGCAGAGATTTCTTAGGTTGACCTTGGTAACCCAGGGTTGACCTTAATAATCATTAATCTACTCATGATATTCATTCACTGATATCACACTACTAAGTAATAAGAAGATAGTCTTTAAATATTCTACCCTTTATATAGTATGTTTCTAGAGGTATTAGACACCTTCTGTATGGTTTAATATAATAATTATACAACCTTTTAGGCTTAGCGCCACCCAATCAGAGCAGGCTGTAAAGAAAATGTGTCAGCATTCACGTGATTTTAGTATAATGATTATACTAATAATATAATTATTATATAAACTATAATAGGCTTAGCGCCTCCACGATAGGGCTAGTGCCTATATGGAAAGCTGGCTTCACACAATACCTAGCCTACTCATATTAAAAGATTTGGTACTGACTAGAATATAGCCGATAGCCAGCAGGCTACTATCACTTTAAACCTGAACGCCCAGCGTACTGGTTCTTTGCCCAACGAAACGATTTCGTCTTCTGTCAGGTCCTCGATGCGCGCGAAATCATGCGGATTATGATATAGCAGGGCACCTTTCCTGATCAAACCTCGGACATTGTGGAGGTCGTTCTTGGTCACGAACTCGTCAGCCTCGAGAAGGATTTGGTGCTTGTCGCGTCTCGTCGCGTGTATGCGTTGCCTTCGTTTGTGTTAGTCCTCTCAAAGAAAGGACCGCCAAGTAAGATTAGGAGTGGGCACCTTGAGCTACTGGCACTGTCATTGAACTCATTACAGGGCGTCGCATGGCGCTCCGGAAGTGGGGCTCGCAGGAAAAACTCCATATTGTTAGGGACCGGTCAGAAACTATCCGATGGGAATTGTGCCTTTAAACAACAGGATTTGCTTTTTTTCTAGGTACTTAGTCCAGTCGAGTGTAGGGGTGGTCTATGTAAGCTCCAGCTGAAGATAGTCAAGTCAGTTCAGGCGGTGTTGTGGCGATGTTGAACTGCCAAGAATGGTGGTGGTTGGAATGTTGGGTAGAGTAGCCAATCCCAAGTGCATATAGTAGGTAGACTGAGCAAATCAGTTGCGTACCTATTTTCTGGGCCAAGCCTAAGCCAACTTCCCCCGGACCTGGTCCATTTCCACTCCAGCTTTTCAAGAAGTGACTTTTGGGGCGGGACGCGGGCCGCCTCCCAGTGTCCCAGGTTTGATGGGCTGGTTAAGCCACACCGAATCCACACACAGATCCACACAGATCGCCAAGGGGGTAAATGTATACAGATTGGCGAGCTCTTTCTCTTCATACCTTGGGTTTTTTTGTCTCGTTTTCCTCCAAGAGGTATATAGGAATCCGAAGATACCTAAAAGACCAAGTAGCAACTCTAGATGCCTCATCGCCTTTTAAATCCCATATCCTTTTGAGAAAGGTGTCGCAGAGAAGCTGTCACAGTGTCAAGCTAAATAGCTGTGCAGGTCCAACATATATCTGATCAAGATCACAATTTCTAGCGAAAGCGAAGGGACTGGGATTGTCCTTGTTGCAGACAATCCGGTTCACCAAGCTAGGGCCATCATAAATGAGTTAAAGTTTGCGATTATCATAACTGCTAAACTCAGCAACACAAAAAATAATGAGCGGTAGGCGTAAAATTCCGGCTGCGTATAGGCCTGCAAATCTAACGATCCCATCAGTATGATGATGATGACCGATTTGATGACTGCAATGCTCTAGATTCGGCAGGTCTGCAATCAAAACAGTAAACAAGTCATGGGCTGAGAGCTTTCGCAGTTCCTCGATTCGTAATGCATCTACAACATCCCCGAGTACACACTGCGCCTCATCCTACATGACTACTACGAGTGCGATCTTCCTTATCATCTTCCTCTACCAGATCTTTTGGTCAAGAATCCCAACAAGTCTCACTATCCCAAACATTGCTCTAAGAACCAGCTAGTGGCAGAGAGCACTAGGCGTGAACATCCGGCAGTGCTTTGCCTTCCATACTATAGTGTTGATCTTCCTCTCGTCGGGAAATTGACCTATATTGTCAAAGTGCAGTCTTATGGAAATTGAAATCTTGTTGCTTCTCTAAAACCATTTCTTCCGCGCTCAAGATCCTACGGGCAAGCGAGAATATCAGGTAAGTGATATAGAATCGGCTACTTCATGTCTTTCCATTCTCCTATTGGATTGTGAGCTTGTCAAAATAGTAGTTCAATCCTTGAGACATTACTGATATACTGGTGAAGGATAGGTCTCAATGTACCAGCTTTCCCAGTCACATTCCCCAGGGACAGACCCAATCATATCAAGAATGAGAGCAAGTTGAGATCGCGGACAAGGACAGGAGACGCTCTCTGCTCCGTATTCTCACAGTCTACTGCGATTTCAAGAGATATTGGTCGAAGCCTTTGCGTTGCACCGTTTATCGAGCTACTGTCCCACCCCTCGCTCAGAAGGGGTACTTGTTATTCGATTCAGATAGCGTTTCAAGTTCCTTGTTTTTGGACCAAACTCCACCACCGTTAATCCACGTATCCCGCACACTAGCCAACTGCGCTGTGTCATCTCGACAAGTTTTAGAAGCGCCGTTGCGGCGATATTCAGATGTTTGGAGCGGGTATCAGAATTGAAACTCTCCTATGTGGATCTGAAACGAAGGCGCCTGTTCGTCAGCCAGATGTTGCCAGCTGCGGTCATATTCCTGCATTTGATGATATCCTCAATGACCTCCACGGGGCATCCCTCTAGACTAACCATAGTTGCAGTGATTAAAGGGCTAGAAGTGCTTGGGGGTCAGATTCTGGCTTCTATCATGAGAAAGCTTAGATACAAGTGAGGATCAACAACAGAGGTGATGCTAGATAAATAAGAGGAACGATATAATGGGAAAGCCTATCGTGCAATGACAATGGTTGACAGTGCTAGATTATTCCTGCAATGCTTGTAGCTGCTACTGCTACTCTATTTTTGGTGGCATCCAGAGCCAGTGACAAATATCACGGTGGACAAAGGTACCTGCAAACTCAAGCATTGAGTGTACTTGATGAGAGAGACGCTGACCAAAACGACATTGTGCGATAATCAACAGAGCAAACGCATATTCGCCTTTTCCTGAGCTGTTTTTGAGGGATTAACATATATCACATCTTTTCCCTCATCATAGGTTGAAGATAGCTTTCACTATCACCTCGTGATCAAAGATACAGGGACTGCTAACTCCTCATGCGCCTTATCATGTTGATGCACCTGGTTTGCAATGTCTGGATATCTAGCGCGTTCAGTTTTTTGTCCGTTGGATGTTCGCCATACTAGGAAAAAGGACTAGAAGTGGCTGGCCTTGCTGCCCAGCTGGACAAAAAGATGAAAAGTCATTTTTTTAGTCCCAGCAGGTGAACACAGTCAACGACCACACGATGCAAGCAACCATAGATACATCTCCCCATCAGAAAACAATTCCCAGAATCCGGCCATTTTGGGCAATGTCAGCGACAAAATCCCTCATCCAAACGGATGGGAGGCATATCCTTTATGGCCCACGTTGTGAGGGATATGCCCGAAACTCAATCTAGCTGCAGGTAGACATGATCTCCAACCAGAACATGGATCTCGAATTTGAGACCGTGAATGTCTCGGGCTGTTCCATCCTCGAACGAACACAGAACCACGGAGCCGTCAACTCTTGTTCCAATTCTTATTCAACGCCTCGGCAGGAATCCACCTCTATCCTTTCTTCTAAGCAACCCCCGGGGATTTGTACACAATTACCTCGATTCGGCACATGTTATATCGGCACTTGAAAGAAGACCGACGCGCAAAGTTGGCAGCGTGACCTAGAGACGAGAATAAACAGGGACACTTGTTTCATGATTGGAGAGACTGAATGTGCAGAGTTCAGCCAAAATGTGGGGTAAGCGCCCATCCGGGGTATTCGGCAGGGCTCCACGCTCCCCCACAATCGAACTCCAGCAATCCCACCCAATGACTTTTCAGCATGTTAGCAAGCACCAGCGGAGTTTATCCGGAATCCCACCTTTCTGAGACATGCCTGCAGATTAGATTGGATTTCGCACCACGGAATTCCTGAAGACCCGCGGGTCTTTCTCCGTTTATCTAGTATACCTCGGATCGGCATTTGAGAACGACGGGGTCAGACAGTATCCAGGCACGTCCATTTTTGGAGCCATGGTGAGACCCTTTGAGACGGAAAGAAGATATAAAGTCGCTGGATAGAAGCATGTCGTTGAGGAACAAGCAAGCAGCATTCTCTCCAGCTCATTGAGACCAGTTCCGGCCAAGTCCCAATTCCCACTTTTCACCCAACAGCCCTAAACTTCCTGCGCAAGATGCATTTCCGTGCTCTCCTCGTCTCTGCTCTGGCCACTCTGGCAATGGCAGCACCTGCTCCAACTCTCGAAGCCCGCCAGAGCCTGAGCTCCAATGAACTCGAGAATGGCCCCTGCCGCGATGTGACATTCATCTTTGCCAGAGGCTCAACTGAGCAAGGCAATATGGTACGGTTTCTGGACAACATGTTTCTTATGTGCCAACATTTCTAACAAACTTAGGGATTCATCGTCGGGCCCCCAACCTGCACGGCGCTGAAACTCAAACTCGGCTCCGACAAGGTCGCATGTCAGGGCGTGGGAGGCGCTTATACCGCCAACCTGCTTCCGAACTTCCTGTCTCAGAACACCGATCCCAAGTCCATCGCCGCAGCCACAGATATGTTCCAGCTGGCCCGCACCAAGTGTCCTAACACGAAGATCGTGACGGGAGGATATAGGTATACATCCCCTGTCCCTGATATCCAATTGCATTTGACTAATCAATCCAACAGCCAAGGCTCCGCCGTCATCGACAACTCTGTCAAGGCATTGGATGATGATCTCAAGTCCAGGGTTAAGGCAGCAGTTCTTTTCGGATTCACTCGCAATGTGGTCGACCGTGGCCAGATCCCCAATTATCCCAAGGACCAGGTAAAGGTGTACTGTGCCGTGGGTGACATGGTCTGCTACAATACCTTGATCATCACTGCGGCCCATCTGACATACGGAATCTATGCCAATGATGCCGCCAACTTCCTGGTTTCCAAGCTCTAGGGTTGAGTGGTATTGGAGGTCATAATGGAATTTCGACTTGCTGGAGACATCCGGGGAGGAGAGAGCTGGTCTCATTGTATCCGTTTTGATATGACTGTCTATAGTTTGAATCTATCTGTTTTCGCACATGCAGCGCACTTGAAAGACTCAGGATTCGATATTGGGCAGTGTAAGCTTGAGGTTATTTTGCGATGAGGTCCATATATGGAGTTGTATCAGTTTATGGGCAAGAGAATTGATAGTCTGAGGAGATCTTCACATTTCAGTTCCTCCGAAGATCAAATAATTTCTCCTTCTTCAGTTCAAGCTTCCAGAATAGCAGGTATGAGGTCGGTATTATTCAACTAGGCCAGGTCATAGTTGCATGAAATGGAGTGCACTCAAGGCCTGCAGAAATACGTGAAGCCTAAGGCCAACTTCCAGACCTTGTGACACATTTTCATAACGTGACATGCTCGCATACGACCATCGTTCATACCTTTTATTCACGCTGAGAATCCTCCTTGATATCCTTAGACCATTCCACGAACTAGCCACAACCGGTTAGTAGCTACCTGTGCTCATCAAGTAGTAGCTATGGCTTTTTTGTCCTTTTTCAATTCTTCTCATACATGTTAGGCAGCACGAATTGAATCATACGACCGATATTGTATGATGTTCCCCAAAGGAACGATGCATATGCCTTCTCGATGATGAGATTATCACCTTCATCAACACATCTACGCCTTCAAACTGAACGTTGAGCGTATTTGGAAGATACCTCGTGAGCAGGCTCTGAACGCCCTTTCTCAGACTCTTTTTGCGTAGTCGAGTAACTAACCATTAGAACTCACGATCCTAGGTCTGGAAGCGCAATCAAGGACGAGCTAAAATGTGTTTGCAATGACTCGCAATTGTATGCACTTTTCAACCAGCATCCGTCATCTTGAAATTTGCTGGTATCTACTCACTGATTCACACCATTCATACGAAAGGATTGATATTCCAGGAACAAGGAGCATCTCATTGGCTTTCTTGATCTTCAATCCATCCAACCATGAGCTCTACAAACTCTCCTCCACTGCGGTGATCTATAATTGTGCATCCCACCTTTGTTGTTGGCTATCTGGCTTATTCCAAGCTACCTATGGCGCAATATCTCAAGGCGATAACGATCATGGTAACCGATCTCCTATTTGATTATTTACGAGCCTAGATTCGCTCAGACGATGAGCCAATGCCAGCTTGATTTCTTGGCTTTCTTGGTATCTGGTTCCCCACTTCCAGAGGAGATCTTCAAGCTGGTGGAGTTGCTCAAGCTGCTATTCCTGAGGAACGCTCGATACTTACCAGAGCTTGCGAATTTGGTTTGGCCACCCGCCTGTTAACTGCACAGAGTCTGTATCTTCCCAAAAATGCTTCACGGTTCCTGGACCCACAACGTGGTCGGTAATGGGTGATCGTGGGGTTGAGCCCTCATCCTATTTCAATTAAAGCTGGGTGACACAGCGATCCGCGATAACGCTCCGCCAAGGGGATATCACGACATCACCAGCAAATGAGCTTGATGCATTCCTATCACCAGCGGCGGAGGTTAATCACGCGCTTTATCTCTCGTCTTGAAAATGTCAACAGGAACAAAATCCCTAGAAGGATATAAAACCATATCAACCGCGTTGCAGCATTTCGAATTCCTCGATAAGGACGGAAATCCTGAAATTCCAAATCTACATAGCCAATGGCTACAGAATTCAGCAAGGATGGAGCAACATATGGAATTGGGAAGCAACTCTCGGACGAGGAGACCCCTCCACGAAGAGTTGCTACGAATCAGACGGAGGAGGGCACTGGCGATGTGTGCGCGGCGCCCTTGAAACGGCAATTGCGCTCCCGACATCTGCATATGATTGCTATTGGTGGTACGTGTCCCTGCCTTTTGGAGATGTAGGACATGCTTCTAAGGATGGACAGGCATCATTGGACCCGGACTGCTGGTTGGCTCCGGCAACGCGCTCAACAAGGGCGGGCCAGCTGGGATTCTAATCAGTTTCTCTTTGGTCGGATTTATAGTCTTCTTTGTGATGTAAGTCGCCAAGCTGGGTCGCTGGACGATAAGGACTAACGAACAAGGCAATCATTGGGTGAGATGGCTACGCTTATCCCCGTATCCGGGTCCTTTACCGAATATGCGCAGCGGTTTCTTGATGATTCGATTGCATTTGGTCTGGGGTGGGCTTACTGGTATCTCTGGGTGACGGTAAGGAATGTTGGATTCACCAATGACGATGGGTGCTGACAGTTTAAGGTTCTCGCCAACGAGTACAATGCCATCTCGCTAGTCATAGGCTACTGGACAGATGCGGTACCTCAATGGGGCTGGATTCTCATCTTCTGGTTTCTTTTCCTGGGCCTGTCGAATCTCGGGGTTTTAGCGTATGGGGAGATGGAATTCTGGTTATCTTTGTGAGCCTCTACCTGGATCCTCTCAATGCTCATTGCTGACATGCCATAGAATCAAGATCCTTGCCCTCATTGCGTTCTTTATTCTCGCCATCTGCATCAGCACGGGCGGAGTTGGTCCTCAGCCTATAGGTTTCAAGTACTGGCATGAGCCAGGAGCTTTTGCAGATTCCATCAATGGAGTTGCCCGTACATTCGTCGTCGCTGGGACATTATATGCGGGCACTGAGATGTAAGTTCCTAATGCACTTTCCATATCCAGTGCTAACAAGTATAGGGTCGGCATCACGGCCGGAGAATCAGCAAATCCACGAAAAGCTGTTCCAACCGCCATTCGTCAGGTGTTCTGGCGTATTCTGATCTTCTATATCGGTAGGTTTGTCCTCTAACGAAGGTCGGCGCCCACCCCCTACTGACCGCAACAGGAACCATGTTCTTCATCGGCATTCTGCTGCCATACAATGACAAGCGACTTCTCGGCTCCGGCTCTTATGCAGCAAGCTCGCCATTGACTATGGCATTGGCAGACGCTGGTATCTTACCTGCAGCGCATCTCATCAACGCCCTGATCGTGGTCAGCGTTATATCCGCGGGTAATAGCTCTCTATATGTGGCCTCGCGCACTTTGCTTTTTATGGCCCGCAACGGCAAAGCCCCTCGATTCATTGGGCGCACCAATAGCGCCGGCGTACCCTGGGTCGCCCTGATTTTCTCGAATATCTTCACTTGCATCGTGTTCCTAACCCTGTCCTCGGGGGCTGGGAAGATTTATTCTGCCTTAATCACCTTGTCTGGCGGTAAGTTTGTTTCTCGTCGAAAGGCTTGTTCGTCTGCTAATCAGTCCAGTGGCGACGTTCCTCGTCTGGGCCGTGATCGGAATCTGCCATATTCGGTTCCGTCGCGCACTTGTCGCGCAGGGTGAAGACCCGGAACGACTGCCTTTCAAAGCGTGGCTCTACCCGTGGGGCACTTACTTTGCCGTCGCGCTCAACATCTTTCTGGTATTTTTCCAGGGGTACACGGCTTTTCTCAGCCCCTTTAGCTCGGACGACTTTGTGATCAACTACATTCTCCTTCCTGTGTTTGTGATGTTTGTGTTGGGATATAAATTCTGGCATAAGACCAAGTGGGTGAAGCTAGAAGAGATGGATATTTGGACGGGCAGAAGAGAAGGGCTGACTGATGAGGAGGAACCAGAGGCGAAGAAGCCGAAACCGTGGTGGTCTCGCGTGGTCGTCAATGGAATAATTGGTTGAATGAAACTTCAGATAGGTACTTCATAATGAGAGATAAACTAAGCCGGAACAAAATCAATCATTTCTGTTCAGTCCCAATTGTCATCAGGGTTACGCCCATAAAGTGGTCCCTTCTGCCGATGGCGCTGTGTATTTATCGACGCGGCGAGTTCCTATCAAGCTATCGGGTTCAGTAATATGGCGAGATAAGAATTTCCCAAACGTCAAGTTAATTCAAACCGACATTATCATCTTGTAGATCAATCGTCAATCGTCAATCGTCAAAGATACTGTGGTCTGTACCTGATAAACGGCGTTCCGATCTGGGGGTGTGCGGGCCGTGTGCGGGATCCGTCGGAGGTGCGGGCTTCATCCCGGCTGGTCAGTCAATCCAAGGCCAGTGTATCCCAATTCCCCAAGGCTCCTGGATGGAGGAGTGAGAACAACTTCCTCTTCTTTACTCGATCGTATTCATATATGAAGAGTGGGAGCAACCCTCCCGTTCTGAATGCAATGTCGAGAGAGAACCCGTCTGAAGAACTCCACAGAAAACACTCGAGACCATCAGATCGACACCGTGATATGCAGCGCGCCTAGTGATTGGACATCTGTTGGATCCCGTTGTTTCTGCAGGCATCCAACTAGTGTCACGGATAAGCAGCAGCTGATAGCCTCCTTGCATCGAATCACACCGCGTTGTTGGCCAACGGGATCAAAAGAAAATGGGTCGTTCCATCCAGCCTTGGGATGCTTTGGTCGCCAACTCGCCATTCATTCCATCACGGGACGAAGCCTATCCAACCACAGACAAATACACTTGCAGCCATACATCCCGCTTCGGCAGACAGTCTGCAATGTCTCAATAAACTGCCCATTTAGATACATTCTTCATCCACATTCCATCGACATCCCGATTGGATCTGCATTAACCACTACCGAATTGATCAGTCGATGGTTCCTGCGGAAAGCACCGAAATGTAACCTCAACGCGTGGTGCTGAGCATCTCGCAATATGCGCATCGCCATGCTGCTGCACAAGCAGCGAGCGAGGGATTATGAGCGATCACCAGCGAGCGAGGGTAGACCGAGGGGCAACAGTATTTAAAACCTGTGTCTCCCACGGAAATCCCCTGATGCTTTAACCAGGGAACAGAGACATCATCACAGATCACCACACTTCCGCAACCACCCCTGCCATTAGCTCTGCCGATCAAGATGTTGTACAACAAGGTATGTTAGCAGCATCCTTACACACACCCGATAATCCCCATCCACCATACAACATACCAACTAACCAAACCCCCTAGCTCATCACCATCGCCGCCCTCCTGGTCCCAGCCCTGGCCGCTCCCCAGGGCCTCGACGTCCGCGACTGCGACTACACCTGCGGCAGCCACTGCTACTCCGCGAGCGCCGTCAGCGACGCCCAGTCGGCTGGTTACCAGCTGTACTCGGCCGGCCAGTCCGTCGGCAGGAGCAGATACCCGCACCAGTACAGAAACTACGAGGGCTTTAACTTCCCCGTCTCCGGCAACTACTACGAGTGGCCCATTCTCAGCTCTGGCTCGACCTACAACGGCGGCTCGCCCGGTGCGGACCGTGTTGTTTTCAACGACAATGATGAGTTGGCGGGCCTGATCACGCATACTGGCGCGAGTGGAAATGGGTTTGTTGCGTGCAGTGGGTGGTGATATACTTGATGTACTTAATGTACGCGAAGGGACTATCTGAGATAGGTCTCATAGAATTAATGGCGCTGTGCCTGCCGTTATATATTGTTTCACCTGTAGATTTCCAAGTCTTCTTTGGTATGTTGTATGCTCTTCTTTCTGGTATAGATGTCGGATTAGTGTAGGATTGACGATCTGTAGGTCAGTGTTGTCCTGTGGCACAATAGCTAATTATTTTATGTTGTGTAGAGTGCCAATTGATCATATTCTCTATCGCTTGTTGATGTTTTTATCAAGTTCTCGGTCTGTTGTACTTGCATTGATCATGAATAATCCGTGATCGGGGGTCCAGCCAAAATATATATATCCACCATCACAGAGCAATGTCTTTGCAAACCAAGACCATCAAGTCCACAAAAAATCAACACTATCTATTTTCCAAAGACTATCTATCCATCGAAAAAAAACAAAAATGTTCTTCTTAAACAGGCAACATCTCTCGTGAGAACCCCCCCTCCTGACACTCCTGGTCAAATCCTCATCGTCACCACCCTGCTATGAACAAAGTGCTGACAGCCAAGAGCACATGCTTGGCATCCACGCCTCATCGACGTCTGAGATTCCCTGCTGAACGGATCTAATCGTTTACTGATTATCAATCGATGGAATATCGGAGACAGCTCGTCCATCTGGATCGCGAGAAGTGGTACGCTTCAAGTTCCTGCGTGGCTGCACGGTCTGGTACCGCAGCCCTTGGATGGTCTCATACGCTCAAACAATCTGTCGTATGCCCTGGATACCATCGCGGACGAAGCTTTCCACGGGTAGCGTTGAATGCAATATATCCAAGAACTTTTTAGCTAACTTTCGAACGGTTCTCTACTCCAGGTCTTCGCGCAAGTATATATATGAACTCGAGGGCGAAACACGTATTATACCATGGCGTCTACATCTCTTCTGAGCGGGGGAATTACTTTCCCCCAAGAGACGGTTTACTCCTCTCAGAAGAATGATTACAGCCAAATCTACTATATTTGCGAGAGGAGTGACCCGGTCATATCACCACGACACAATCCTTTCGGACGAGAGGATATCTACGACGTTAGCTATCCTGTATGGCTAGTTTGACTTCCTTCATTCGGCAAATGTTGATGTGGGCCGAGACTGCGGTGTCATATGCAGGAGTGATGTCCTCCGACGTGCAACAACTAGCGGTGACAGTGGTGGGATAATGTTGAGTCTTTGATTGCATTGTCGGTAGAGTCAGCTCCGCTCGGGATCAAGCGATGGGGATGCAAGGTAAATGTCCACTGCTGTCTCTGCTCTTTTTTTCTGGGGCATTTGTGTCGACAACAGCATCTGAGCGGGATCGTGGCGCGCATGAAAGCGAGGAGGTATCGCCGAAAGTTGAATTCAGGATAACAGGAGCAATGTATTCCTACCTTGAGAATTGAGACTGCACGAAAGCCTAACTCGGAGCTTCATGGTAGGTTCTCGCTCTGCTGCCGTGCATGAATCTGCGAATGAGCATAGAGACTCATGCTTGTGAACTAAGTTATCAAGATCCAATCCCTGTGCAACCTCTCAACAAGCATCGACGTGCGAATTTCCCTTCTTCAACACTGTATTTTGACACATTGATTCAATACAATGCTCTAATCGGTCCTTGCCACGCGGACCGGCAAGCGAGCTGGCTACCTGGATGGCGGAAAAAAGGCCAAGGGTCAAATGGCATCAATGTGATAACATGTCATTCAACTTCCAGTGTGTCTCACAGGCTATCCAAGGGTGATAAAGAGACGCAGAGCGCTTCATCTGCAGAGAGTCATAGTTGCCTGCACCGACAAAAAGACCAAAGGTCAAGTATCCTTCCGAGGACGATGCCAGTTGTCAGGACGGAAAGAGACTGTTGAATTCAGCACTGCCGCACTGTTGTGCGATTCTGATGTGGGTTGCTCTGCTGCAGCAGGAAGAGCGTAAAAAAATGCAGGGCGAGAGATCACTAGTATTAGCGGGCATACTGGGATATAGCAGAGAAAATATCAGATCAACATGAGCCCAGGGTTGCTGAAACGGGATCGACACAGGAAATGCTCTCCCTCGAAACATACCGTCTCCCTGACAAATATAACTGTGTAGCCACTTGAAGCAGAGAGAAAGGGCCGACTCATCATGGATCTGGCGGCGGTACTTCCTCCAGTAACGCTGTAGCTAGCAGCTGAAAGGTCAAGTGGCAACGACCTTTGATCAGGACATACCTGGTTCCGGGCATTGAAAGGAAAGGGAAGTGCCAGGATGCCATACTTCCGTCGTCTGAGGCATCCTGCTTAATTGCAAGTTGAGGGGCCAGCCTTCCTTTTCGCATTGCACGTAATGCTGATCTTCGAAGTGTAGATTGATCCCGACTTGATCGGTGGGCATGAAATGAGACTGCCACGTACCAAGACCTCACAAAACGAGAGTAGCACACCTGTCACTTCCAAATTTGCATCGCCATGTTGATTCTCATTCACACCCAGCGAAACCGAGCTTATCCCCTCAAGAGATGACATGCCTCGGTCAGTGAAAAATTCGATTACTGAGATCGCTGGAGATCGAAAACTCAAATGCACCGCAAATCAGAGATTCTGTGACTCTGGCTAGGGGACTATGGCGTTTTCAAGACCAGCATATTCGAACTTCGCCAGCAAACATAAATCGACTGGTCGCCGAGCTGACAGCCACCACCTTAAGGCCAGGCCAGAACGATATGGAATGCCAAGGACTTCGCATGTGCCTTTGACCTGATGCTTAGACATTACGCCATTTGACGACAACTTCCCTTGCTTCTTGCTCGAGCTCTTGCCTTCATTTGAATATATTAAGGGGTAGCCAATTAGGCCGCGAGGGCCACCAAGAACTGACCAGACCAAGCGCTATCCAACCAAGCCTGTCACGGCCACAATGCAGCCTTTTCGGGCTCCCATGCGCAATACATAAAACATCTTCCCGTGCATGTTGTATGAACCTGCCATGGATGGCGCTGTTAGTAGATGGCAGTGGGCACAGACACTCATGCTTGAATGCCAGGATTTTGATTGATGCGAGTACTTTCGCCACCACCTTGTCAGTGCTCACTGCCTGACTCGTTATTCCCTGTGTTGCCCTGGCTAAGACTCGGAGCTAACGGCCACTAAGGCTGCGCCGTCAAAGGGTCCTAGAGCCTAGCCAATATATCCTTCATCCTGTTGGCAGCACGATTTGTCCTATTGGGAAAGCAGTGCGATTCTCCCGTGACCTTTGCGGCATAGCAATGCTTTTCTCTGAATAGGACATGAAGTGACTAAAACTTGAGAACGACATCAGGGATTCGAATCTCGGTTTGAGAACAAAAGGGAATACCTAACGGGAGAAAGGAAAACATGGACGGCAGACTGAGTGTTAGTGTATCAGAGCGAGCTGGGAGCTCTCTGACCTCTGTAGTGGCACCATCTGGAAAGCTATGACTACTATACACACTAACTAGTGCACCAGATCGGACTATTGGACGGGCTGTTCCACTCAATGGGCCCTCTGTTCTCATTTGTTGACCACGAGTCAATGCCTCGACAGGGATCCTAACTTGCCTCGTGAGTACCAATCAATCGCACAGAATAGAAACTGACCGCGAGCTCTTGAAGCCATCCTGGCTCATATGGTTGATGATATTAATATGCAGCCCACGTCATTCAAAGCAACCCAAGGGGCACTGACACCTTTGCGGAAATTATTATTTCCAGGGATGCACAAGTGAAGGCTGGGGACATCTGAAAATCCACCACCAGTCGCACGCCCCAAACCTTGATCACTCGTTCGCTAGTAAGCTGCAGGGTGATCATGAGGACTTCAGGCACGAGCTACCGAGGTGGTATCACGAAAGAGCGTCAATGTGACTTTGTAAGGAAATTCGGAGTACGGATTCCGGAAACAACAGCCACACCTTTGTTGTACGAAGACAACGATGATATTACCAGATCACCGTCTCAACTCAGATCCAAGTCTGCGATCCAACACAATGTCCGAAACGAAGATCAGTTGGGGTGAAGTCGGTCCCTCGAGGACGGAAGTATTTGTTTCATGGGCTCTTTATCGCACCATATTCGCTGGACTACTCCGCCAACACAAACAGTTCGAATTATTCCATGACCAATTTCCGGTCCCTGTTGTCCAACTCTGGACTAGCGACTGACCCAAATTCCAGTCGTCAAGTCGCTACCGATTTATTATAGGGGATCGTCCAACAAAAACCATTATAGACTTGCCCAGTATAACTGCGGGGTAATCCTGAGGACACAGTCCAATGTCTCACTTGGCGGCCGCGACATTCACACTAACAGCGTCGCTTCGAGCGAATCCGAGCTCCAATTTCTCCCCAGACCGCGGGGAATACAAGGGAACAAATGAGGATCTGGGGGCGGGACCGGGGACTCTATGGGTCGGAGAATCGCACTAGGACGGGTTCAGTCTTTCTCCTTGTTTCTTTTGTACCAATCCTCGATCCCCAAGCTGACAATGTTGCAGTGCTAAGGAAGTGGAGTGACGGCGGATTGCCCTACTTGGGTATCATGATTTCCGCAATGTGTCCATCAATAATGTCAACAAAGTGCATAAAATAGGTTGGAGACTAGCCGGTGGCGCTAGACCATTAGATAGCCATCTGCTACAGTAACAACTGGATGGTTCCATGGCTGATGCGCTCTCCCATGATCAGCACCACCATTGACTCGCCATACCAGAAAGATCCCATGCAATACCCATCCATACTCGATAGCTCAGTCCAGTAACGACGATCTCGTCCATCCACTATCACCGGGGTAATTAATGCCTCGTTTGATTCCCCCGGATCCCTGTCGAATCGATCTCGTCCATAGGCTGGGTTGTACGTACTGTAGCACAGAGTAATGGCAATTGGTAAGAATAACTCGGGCTTTCTGGCGAGAATCTTGAATCGTGCCCCTGATCCTGATCGTAGCAGCCATTCCTCGGTCCCCAGTTCGCCTTCGACTTGCTAACCATCGACCCGTGCATGTGAGCTTTAATCTTAAATCCCTGCTCCAGGCCCTATATATACAAGTCCAAGGACGCTCCTCCAGCTGTCTCTTTCTTCTTCTCTATCAGATCTCACAGAAGAACCGATCCAGTCTTTCGTTCCTCGATCGATCCCACTCGTTTTCAACGGGCCTTTCCTGTCTTTTTTTCCAATATACCATTTTAAGTTTAATCTATAATACCAACCCACCCCCAACCATCAAAATGAGATTCTCTGCCCTCCTCGTCACCCTTGGCCTCACTGGCGCCCTGGCCACCCCCGCCCTCGTTGAGCGTGCTGGACCTGCTGTCGGCGTCATCTCCGACATCACCGACCAGACCCTTGCTCTGGGCTCGGCCGTCTCCGGCTACAACGGAGGCGACCCCTCGTCCGTCGAGTCCGCCTCCAAGAAGCTGATCAGCACCATCAACACCGGTGTCGACACCGTCAAGAACGGCGGTGCCATCAGCACCAGCGATGCCCTGGCCCTGACCCCCGCCGTCCAGGACCTGACCAAGAAGGTCCAGACTGTCGTCGACGACATCATCGCCAAGAAGGACAAGTTCACCGCCGCTGGCGCCGCCGGCACCGTCTACCAGTCGCTCCAGGCCCAGTACACCGCCGCCGATAACCTGTCCAAGGCCATCTCCGCCCAGGTCCCCGAGGCCCTTGCTAGCATCGCCGCTGAGCTCTCCGCCGGCATCACCGCCGCCATCCAGAAGGGTGTCGACGCCTACAAGGGCTCCGAGAACGGCAGCGGCTCGTCTTCCTCCTCCGCTGCTCCCACTACTAAGACTGCGACTGCCACCGCGACTTCCACCGCTACCGCAACTGCCACCGCAACTGCCACTGCGACTGGCTCCCCAAGCTCCACCCCCGTCATCCCCACTGGCAGCTCCTCCGGCAGCGCCACCCCTACGCCCTCCACCTCGGCCACCAGCTCCTCCGGCTCCGGCTCTGGCGCTGGCGCTGGCTCCGGCTCTGCTACCTCCTCTGCCCCCACCGGCCTCTTCACCGGTGCCGCCAACAAGGAGTACTTCAGCTACACCTTCGGCGGTGCCGTCGTTGCCGCTGCCATCGCTGTTGCTTTCTAAGCTGTCTCTATCCCTCCGGACTGAGCAGGATGGCAGGATGGCATGATGGGAATGGAAATGATGACGAAACAAACAGGGAAGACCTAGATAGGACACGAAATGGCCGACCCGAGCGAGATCGGGTTTATGGGGGGATTTGAAACCTTTTCTTTTTCCTTTCCCGTCCGATGAATTCGGGGTTTCTTTTTGTACCTTATTGCCAGACTTTAGAAGCGGGCTGGTCTGTATGGAATATAGTTTAATATCTTTGATGTCCATCTGTGCTTTTGTCGAGGCGCCGCGGCTGCCTTGTAGTCAGTATCAATCAGTGTGATGAGTAGAAGATGCTTCAACTCGACTTGGGTATCCTCAAGCAATGATGAGAGCATCGGTGATAGTCCAGCCTGCGAGCGTATTGTGAGGCAAGTTCCGTGCTCCTGCCACGCCATCTGTTGAAAGGACCAGCATTTGAACTCCGTGTCTTGGGAGATGTCACTCAAAGTCATGAGCACAGACTCGACCTGGAACGAGTAATTGACACTCACAAATCACAATCCTTCTCATACAAAGGTTCACTCACTTCCTTATCCTGATGAACCATGATAGAATTAAATATCATAAAACTAGAGTCATGAACACACACACAATAAAAGATGATGCAAAAGGAGAAAAAAAAGAAACAGGAAAAAAAAAAAAAAAACATGGACACGGGGAGAGTCGAACTCCCGACCTACGAGGATCACAAGACCTCATAAGCTCGTCGCTCTAACCAACTGAGCTACGCGTCCGCGGTTAGTAATGAACTCCTTTTTTAGTGGCACATAACGCCTAGCCGTATTCCATATCTTCTCAAACCCAAAGAAAAATTCTTTGCAGAGGTCGTTAGTCGATATCCTACCTTGAATGGGATATAATTTGATTTTTTTTTCTGCATACTCTGTCAAGAGTTAGAGTGGAGTGCATTGGCTTGGTTGTCCGCCTCATTTAGGGTTCGGTTGCCAGCAAAGAGGCCGTGGACGGAGGGTATTCCATATCCCAGGCAAGAGCTCATGGGGATCGAAATCGACTCGAAGAGACTGGAGGAGGTTTTTATGACATTGGATCAAAGTGAAAGGATTTACATGGTGGACCAGGACCCTTTGGAGGGATGTTTGAGTTTGCAGAGATTTTCCGGTGGTGCAAGCGGGTCTCCTTTCTTCCTAAGTGGATTGTTCGATGTTCCCTCGCTGTTAAGGTTCTGACGGGTGGTGGATACAGAGTAACTTCAATTTCATCTATAATCTCATAACTAGTGGAGACATTCAAGCCGTTGCGATACAAGCACAGGTATAGGGAATGAGAAGCTCGAGTGTCAGAGAAAAGTTGGGCGTCAATTGCTATTGAAGAGAATAAGCCCGTCCATATCCTACTTCGTTCTTTTTCTTTCGCTACGAAGGCCAGAAATGGGAATTAATTGTCGATGGAGCGATAAAACAACAAGTGTAAACCAATGCAGGCAAGTTACGTTTCGTTCTATCTCTATAGAAACGGTAGCTAGGCCATGCAGTAGCTTAAGCAAGTCGATCCAACAAGCGACTTGATCACCCAGTCACTTAAGCTTTCGACAATCAAGCGTAGAGACATCGTCGCTGCAAGGAATGCGGAAACAGATAAACCAACGCAGTTAGCAGAGACTGAGGGAATCAAAGGATGCGGATGAGCCTGTAGCTCATCCTCCCATGACAACGACCTCCGAAATTTAGTTTCAACAGACTCCTTGCAACTCAGGTGACAATGATAAGCCCAACCATGGAGATCCGATACACTCGAAAATTGGATAGAGCGGATACGGCATCAACATACCAGCCTCGTGGGATTGATCGACAAAGAGGCACAGAAAAGGGACAAAGAGCCTCTTCAGGGGGTGCCCGAGGGAGGGCGTAGACAAATTGGGAAACCCATTCCTCACTCTGTGGTTCAATTCAGGCACAGCGCAGGTCGCAAGCGAGAACATTGGCGTGAAGCTTCTCTCGACATCTCAGTATACTGACAATGAATAATTCCACGTGAGACAAAGTCTGGGAGTGGTCGAGAAGAGCTGACCATGCCGTCACAACGGAATGCAACTTCCGAAACGCCATCTGCGGACGGTGTCTGCACGATCATCCAAAGCTATTGGCCATTGTAGAACGCAATCCCTGACAAATTTCAGAGACGAAGCGACAAATCGAAAGGAGGAAGTGCATTGACTTACATAAACAGGATATCAGCGACAAGACAGACAATGGACATATGAAAGACGACGTAATAGCAGCGATATTGTTTTTGTTTTCGTCGGCTCTAAGACCGACGGGAAGGAGGTGCTTTGCCCCCAGCCGGGCGCTGCTAACAAGGACTCGAACCCTGCTCGCCACTCCTACCCAATCCCACAAGCCCACAAAGACAACAAGCCCACAAAGACCACAAGCTCATAAAGACCCCGAAGACCTCAAAAGAAGTCCGAACGATCCAAAACTCGAGAGAATCGAATTCGTATCGAAACCTGTCAATCTATGTACCGCCTTAAACAGTCATGATCGTTCGTCGAAGACGTCGAGCCAGATGCGAGTCTTGTCAGAAGAAAACCAGACGGTTCAAGACAAGTGCTTAGTTAACAATGGTTGTTGAGTCGAAGGTATAAACGCAAGTCCGCAAGATCAATGCCAGTTCAAAGGAGAGCCGACAAAAAGGGAACAAGGTAACCATACCATGGCAAAACAAGCCAAAAAGCGTGTGCTAGCATTGCGTGCGGGAACGGTGACTATTCCCTTTGACGCAACAGCTTTGCACACACGCCTTATTGGTGACCTGTGGCCGTGCATACAAGCGCCCGGAGGCATCAGCATGACCGGTGGTCGCTATTTCCGTCTCCTTCCTGATCCAACGGTCTTGCATAGAAGCGCCCGAACATCAGGCATCAGCAAAATCGATACAAATCTGGTTCGGAGGCGGCGGTATTTTCTCGGAGCCAACCCACGTATTCACCACTGGGCATGCAACGACATTTTTCACGGTATTACTTGTGTGCCATCGACCCTGCACAACGGAACTGCTGTCCGGCGGGGTAATGGCAGAAAGCACTCTTTTGACTTCGACATCCGGCCGTACAGGCGTAAAACGCGTGTAGGAGCAGCGCAGGGATGACATCGTCAACAAATCTTGATGAAGTTTGGCTCAATTGTCGTGATGCGCGATCCGTAGGAAGGAGCAAAGACACGGCCTCCATTCAAAACAACCTTTCGTCCAGCTCTCGTGACAATGGGATTGTCCCATTCAGAGGAGACAAAGACTCGAGACAGCGCCTGATGATCATGCACTCGGAAGTCGATGCAAATAATAAAAAGTCGACAAGCGATCGATCGGAAAGCCGCAAACTTCACCCTGCGCAGGATGGAAAAGCAGCCGACGAGAAGGCGCTCGGACAGATATCAATGCAAAAGGTGCAGAAACAGACGACGAAAAAATGTCCAGTTAAATCTTCGTGACGAGTTGTGCGCCAATCAGGCAGCAATGATAGCCAAGTCGACGAATGTGGAAGGGTGGTGCTGAATCAATCACATAGCACAGCTGAATATCAGCATCGCAGTGAGAACAGAGGATGAGGGCTCCACGCACGGCGCTAAGCCACTCAATCCCCGAGCAAGGCCATATTTCAGAGACAACTGCCCATGGTAGGAATCGAACCTACTGCACAAGACCTGGCGAGGGCTTTGGCCACCCAGCACGCTCTGCCGTGCCACCCGGGCTTGATTGTTGGAAGGCTCCATTGATGAGAAATGTAGGATATTGACTTTCATGCAGACACACGACACTGTTCAGGCCTGTAGGCTTGTGTCAACATGCTTATTAATATCCAGATGATTTGGGTACTTAGAGGCAAACAGCAATCGACACCCGCGCCATGGAATCATGAGGGAGCTTGTCGTCGCCGGGGTTTGATACCCTTGAACAAGGGACATGAAGACTTGAGGGAAACACAAGACCAAATTAGAAGGAGAGAAAGAAATGAATTGAACCGGTTGAGCAAGGCTACAACACAAAGGACAAAGAAAAGGCGCGTCGAGGCGAACACGAAACACGACCAAGATGAGAGAGGAGAGGGATAAAGCGAGAGAGAAACACATCAAGGAGACATGCAGAAAGCCATGGAACTGAAGAAACACATCAACATAAAACCAAGTGGCTAGCTACTGTACATTCCAGAGAGATGGATTTGCAATCGTGGGTGCCCAAGAGATGAGAGACGATGCCAATAGTGGGGTGAGGTGAGGTGAAGAAGAGTAGGAGAGTGGAGGGGAAGTGGGGGGAGTTGAGATGCTTAAAAGGCCATGGGAGCATTGGGGGGATCTAACCGCATTTGTCTCACGCCACTCAGTTAACGAGCGACAGGCAGAACAAGATGCATTTCTGCCTGTTTCAATTGTTGTGGATGTGACTGGTAGTGACGGTATTCGGCGTAATTGACTCGAAATGACCTGTCAAAAGCCTCCTCTGCCTGTTCATTATCGTACTATTACCAGCACACGAACGCGTTAGCAGTCGCGATGGCATGGAAGAACCATGACGCGATTGATGTACTATGTGTATAACTGGGTATTGAATACGGTCAAGAATACGCAAAGCTATTGTACAACTTCAGATCCCTCGATGAATCTGGCATAACGATAACTGGTAGCTGAGTAAAACATATTCCCTGCTACAGCGATGATCAATGCCCTGGCATAGATCAACTGGACATGCGTAGTACTCTCTGCCTTCGAAAGTCGCTCATATTCCTCGCTCATCTCCCGCTCAAGATCGAGGATGATCCAGCGCAATATTGACATGGCTGAGGAAGGAGGCACATTCATCAGATCCTGCACCACTTTGACCCCATTGAGAAGAGGTTCCCCGTGTTCCTGTTGGGCGAAAGCCTCCTTTGGATAGGAGTACAAGTCGTTGGCCAGTGCATAGTGTTTTGCGCACAAGGATTTCACACGTTCTACAACTTGTTCGTCCTCTTCTGTTACGTCGATATCCGAGGCAAACTCCACGCTGCGAAACACAGGGCTACTACAGTCAGCCAAAGGCCGTGATGAGGGGGGGGGATAAACATACTCAGCTCCGACGTCCTCTACTCGATGCAACACATAGTCCGCAAGCGTTGCGAACGTTTGATCTGGTTGGATTGTTTGAGGCAAAGTCCCCCACGATACGATACCTTCCAGAAATCGCTTCCCTTGAGCAGGATCTTCACGCAGGATATCCCGACTGACCTTCTCGAATCCAGCGTACGTATGCCCGTCGCTTTCGTCAAACTCCCTAGGGATAGCGGCGTCGAACTATGGCGGTCAGTCTTCGATTTATCGGAGAACGGACAGGCTTCGATCATACATTTCTGGATTCAACAGCATCTGGGAGCATTTAGAGACACAGGTTCAAGAGCTACCATGGGAAAGTTCAAAAGACTTACCATCATGCAGGAACACGAGTATATACGCCTGTGCCAGAGACGTTGTCCTGGATAGATTGCCCATTGGGGCGACGTTCACAGTAAACGAAACAGCCGCGTCAATCATGGCTTCGATATACCTCTCCGAGATGTTTTGGGGGTGCTTGGTGAATATAATCCGTATCAGATCTCTTGCCGCGGCTTCCGCTTCGGCCCAGTACTTGGACTGCAGCGAGCCAGGGAATCTTGTAATCCATGGAACTTTCAGAGCGGATGGGACGAGGCAGTTCACATGTTGTAGTTCGGGTAGGTTGGCAACGTTGTTGCAGGTGAGAAAACCAAAGCGACCATCCGAAAATTGACTGGTTTGGGATTTTACCGGGTCAAATGCATAGGATACGTTTCTGATGCGACTGTAGTCTGTTCCCTGCTTGACACCACGCTCCGACGACGATTTGAAACGCCGTAATGTATGCGGTGTGCATAAAGATATGGACTGCGACAGTGAGCCTCTTATGGCGACCGATGGGAATTTGGGAAGAAGATGTAATGAATGCATATTGCGTTAGTTGGCAATGGAGACGCGTCTCTCATGACGCGCTAATCAATTAAGTGAGGGGACAAATGCTACCTTCACAGACAAGGAAATAAATATCCACTCTAGTCAGAGCTCAGAAGCGTCTAACCTGTAATCAACAAGCTAAGCTAACTACCCACCTCGGAATCTAACAAAAGTTGATCCATGGCACGTTGACAGCTGTCCCCGCCACCAGAGATGTCAAGAATCAAGATCTCTGTGGCCGTCATCTAATCCCGGCTGTGACTTCAACTCGGAATTCCGAACAACTACCCGACCATCACCTTATCAACAATGAGATCATCTCCATACAGTGTCAATCCGGCCAAATCTAAGCGAACAGCGCCTCCACGGAAGAAGGTGTGCGAAAATTGTACAAGATCAAAAGTTCGTTGCAGTCTAGAAAGGCCTGTCTGTTCACGATGCAGAGCTCAAGGCCGTGATTGCCACTACCCATCAGATCGCGTCTCGGATCCCTCGGGGAGTGCGAGTTCCACGGGCGATTCAGGGGGGCTCTCGGCTTCAACCCCAAATGTCCAAAGTCTTCTCCCAAATTTCCAAAGTCTTCTATATGACGTTATTGCTTCAACGCATGAGTCTGCGGTGCTTGACCCTGTCAGAGTTGCGCCCGTCAGGTCTCCTCAGCGACCAGTTCGCCCACTAGGCAGAGAACAAAACCAGCCCGCTCAGCTCGATTTCAGTAGTATAGAACTTACTCCAAGTCCAAATGCTGTCGATATCCGGGACCGGTGGCTGAGACCATATCTTCTGCCACCCCTGGGCCACGATGAGATCCCCAAGGTCTATCATCCGTTTACGCTACAGTACATCACCACTATCCTGAAGACATATCCGAGGCATATGCTCAAGGACGGTGGACTGCCTCCTATTATACATCCCATGCAAGTTGCCACGACAGAGATGCCCCGTACTCTTGCAAACTGCTACAGTCTAGCCCGGATGTGGGAGCAAGCGGCTCCTGGAAGCGAGGCGATGGTGATGAGCACACTGGAGATGGAGATGCAGAGACTAGAAAATGAGGTATATTCTTATCACGATTCGAAGATATAATATTTCTTGCTGATCCGGATCCTGCAGATCCCGCAAAATGATTATGAACAACTCGCCTCCTTCCAAGCCTACCTCATCTACACCATCATGATATACTTTTCATCATTTGGCAGTGCTTCCACCGTTACGGACAAGATCATGATGACGCTGATGGAGCTTGCTTTTCGCACCGCTCAGAATGGTCTGTTCAGCAAAGCAGAGACCACACACTCTCGACCGGACTGGGAATCGTGGATCGTTGTGTCGGCCAAACGGCGCAGCATCTTCACCATGTACTTGCTCAGCAGTGTGTATAACTCGGACCGATGCCTACCAAATTTCGTCGCTGATGAAGTGGGCGGAGTGTTCGTGCCCGAAAGTCGGGTGCTGTGGGAAGCCAGCGACCGAGACACATGGGAAAGAGAGTATGACCGACATTTGTTAGAATGGGGAGACGGAATGCTGCAAATCTCGGAGCTCTGGCGATCAGCGGAGACGGGGACTGCGGAGCGGCGTAGCCGGGTTGAGCGATGGGTTCAGGGCGTCGACGAGTACGGGATGATGCTGTTTGCTGTCTGCGCGCACATCCATGGTTGCTGAGGACAAGGCGAGCACTGCTCGGAATACCGATCGCGATCTCGGAGTTCCGGGGCACTACACCACATAAGTATCGCCCACCGCATTGTCGCTGTCGCTTCTTCACCAGCATTCATTCCTCTTACTCTGACGAATTCGATTTCAAAACCACTAGCACTCAAAATGTCTGACGAAAAAGTCTACACAACCGACCACTCCTCCTCCGTCCTCCAAACCCACAGCTGGCGCACCGCCGCCAACTCCGCCGCCTACCTCCTCCCCTACTTCAAACCGGACCTGAAAATCCTCGACATCGGCTGCGGCCCAGGCAGTATCAGCCTCGACTTTGCCAAACTCGTCCCGCAAGGCCACGTCACTGGGATTGAGAACGTGCCGGATCCGCTCGCCGAGGCACGCGCCCTTGCGTCCACACAGGGACTCACAAACATCGACTTTCAAGTCGGGGACATCCACTCCCTCGAGTTCCCAGATGACAGCTTCGACATCGTCCACGTGCATCAGGTGCTGCAGCATATCGCCGACCCCGTGCGCGCATTGCAAGAAATGCGCCGCGTCGCCAAGTCGGACGGCGGGATCGTCGCCGCCAGGGAGTCGGCGGCGATGACGTGGTATCCAGATAATGCGGGGATCGCGGGGTGGAAGGAGGTGACGGAGCGGATGGCGAGAGCGAAGGGAGGGAACCCGCATCCCGGGCGATACATCCATGTCTGGGCGGAGGCGGCCGGGTTTGCGAATGAGCGGATCGGCAAAACGGCCGGGGCGTGGTGCTTTAGTAGTCCCGAGGAACGGGCGTACTGGGGCGGATCGATGGAGGCACGGATGCGCTCTAGCGGGTTTACAAAGACGGCGGTGGAGGAGGGGTTCGCGACGGGGGAGGAGCTGGGGGGGATTGCGGATGGGTGGAGGAGGTTTGTGGAGGATGACGATGCGTGGTTTGGGCTGCTTCATGGGGAGATTGTATGTCGGAAGTGACGCTTCATACCTAGCTCTATCTACACTATGCACATATACACATTGAATAACAAAACTCACGGCTCTTGATGAATCTGCACCGACACACCCTCTGGAAAATCCACCTCCTTCAGCTCCTCCACACTGACATCGTCGGGCACAACAAACCTTTCCAGTCAGTAAAACACCAAATCACCAACAAGACAAAGATACCTACGAAGTAGTATGAATCGGCGGAAGACTCCTCGTCGAGATGAAAATCGTAAAATCCGTCGCTCCTTTCCCACCAAACCCATCCTTGGTCCTAGATAGATGCATAGATACTTCTCGTCAGATAGCCCCCTATCCCTAAACCACAGCTGCGTAGCACTTCAAAGCATCCGATACTCACAATCGTTCGATCTCCCCGTTATGTTCCCGCCATGCTTCGACGCCGTCGTACTGGATGACGAGGCTCTGTTTCCCCTTCTCAGCTTGGGTATCACAACATGGAGGTTGAATTACTCACGTATTTTGGCATTTTTGCCGAGTTCCTTTTTCTTTGCTGGTGGGGCTAACAGTGAGGAGGGTGCTGATTGTCTTGTCCTCTGCGAATGGTGCTTGGGCTTTGCTTCGCGGAGTCACGGGATCATGGATGTAGGCGGGTTTAATAGATGACATCATCGGGTATATTATAGATTTGGGTGGGTTATATTATTAGATTTAAGAGGTTGTCGGTTTGGGTTAGGGGTAGATACAGTATCTACAGGAACGTTTGGCACGTTTACTCTGCAAGATACTGCCAGGATCGTATTGTAAGACATATGAGTCTACTCCCACCCTCAACCACGTTCATATATCCTTTACAATAAAGAGTGAAATTCTCAACTAGGACTGAGAAAGCAAGAAAGGTTTACATCTACCAATCATCCGCGGCAGGCGAGTGAGCCTCGTCATACTCGCGGTCCTCCTCCAGCGCCTCCACCCTCTGCTTAAGCTCCTCGTCCTCTTCATCCTCGCCTACATGAACCATCAGCCAAACCAAACCTCACAGGGACAGACACAGAAATACAGGAACAAGGGGGAAAGGGGTGAACTCACGCTTCTCATGCTCCCAAAGCGCCATGCCGGCCGCTCCCAGCGCCACACCCGCCACACCACCCGCAATCATCCTACCCATGCCACTCGACTTCTTCTTCTCCTCTGCCGGCGGATATCCCTCGCCGCCCTGCTGCGGCGGATACCCAGACGGCGGGGGGTAATAACCTCCATTTTGCGGCGGGGGGCTGGCATAGTAGCCGGCGGACTCCGGGGGCGCGACGGCGCGCGAGCCGTCGCCCTGGGAGGGGGTTTCCCACTGGGTGCGGCCGGTGGCAGTTTCGACGAAGTAGGCGCGGCGCACGCTGGGTTCCCATTCCTGGGCCCAGCCGTAGGGGAGGGGCGGCGGGGGCATCTGCGGGGGGCGGGCGCCGGAGGGCGCGGGCGAGTTGCTGTAGGGGGCGCCTTCGTAGCGGGGGCGCGAGGGGTCGTAGGAGGCGGAGCGGTCGGAGGATTGGCTGTAGGGGGCCTGGTTGTAGGGGGGGCGGTTGTCGTAGGAGGGGGAGCCCTGGGGCGGGCGGTCGTAAGAGGGGGAGTCCTGGGGCGGGCGGTCGTACGGGGGCCGGCCGTATTGTGGGGGTTGTTGCTGTTGTTGCTGTTGTTGCTGTTGCTGGTCGTAGGGGGGGCGGTCGTAGGGGGGACGGTCGTATGGTGGGCGGTTGTAAGAGGGTTGTTGGGGCGGACCGCCGTAGTAGTTGTCTCTTTCGCCGTAGTAAGACATTTTTGGTGTTGGGGTGGGGTGTGTTAGAGAAGAAGGGGGATAGATAGATAGATGCACAGGAGGATTCTCTAGATGGAGTATGTAGAGAAGGAAGAGAGAGAGAGAGGAGGGGCTCAGTGCAGCAGCTGTCGGGCCTTATATGTCTTGCTGAGGAGTGGGGGGACAGGGACACTCTGGTCATTCATGTCGTCCTAGTCCGGACGGCTCCAGCTTAGACAATCCTAGACATTATTAGTACGGAGTAGATTACTAGATACTAGATACTACTACTCCGGCCTACGGAGTAAATTTACTGTCGATACACAGCGTACTCCATACGGAGTCGATACTATTGATTCATCATTCATGTGTGCTCTCGGCGCGTATGGCCTCCACAGCTGCATAAAAGGGAGCCGATGGTGGACACAAACAGACGTATCCACCAGGTGATTAGTTTCGATGGAGAAAAAATGTGTCGAGCTTGGTGACAGATTAGGCAGATACATTTTTTGCGGGAAATGACCAACTACCCCTGAACAGCCTCATCTGATAACCACTAGATAGATATTGATACTACTACGAAGTACTCTCTGTGTATCTATGCATTTAAACTACTAATTTTGACTTTCATACTTTTCTCCCTGTCTATCAAACCCATCCATAGTATGTACGGTAAACAAAACATCTCATCCATAGACTATATCCAATCTCAATCTCCCCAGCAACACCTCCCGCCGCCCCCAAAACCTCCATCCTCCATCCCCCATCCCCAATCCTTCAAAAAAGGATCAATCTGACTCGTCCCATCCATACCACCCACACCTGCAGCCACCTGCCTGCACACCAGCGCGAACAAAAAGAGACACAGACTCACAGTTCAGTGTTCACCCAGCTTGGCGCCACAACCGGGCTGGTCACGGGCCCTACCGTCCCACTGCCACCCAATCAACAGTTCCAACGCGCATGAGCAGAACCCATACTAGCCACACCGACACCCGCACAGCTCCACAAGTGGAAAATGATTGGTCCTTCAACAATCAACAATGCCCTCAGCCTTAACGAGCCACACTAGAGGGGTTTGCCTACAGAGTATGTACTTACGGAGTACATAGTATGTACTCTTAGTAAGGTACTCCGTGCTTGATTTCGTACAGAGTATCACGACAGATATTACTAGCATGATGTACGGAGTAGATAGATAGAGAGATGCATAATCCGCAAGTCTCCGGACTCCGTAAATGACTGACTACTCCGGAGTTACTAGCTACAAGATACCTAGCATGGACAGTGGCCGTGAGGTATTTATGGTAACTAGCCACGTGTGTCATATTGAGTGGCTGTGACTGTGGCCCTTTGCGCTCGTCCCACTGTGCCCAGCCACAGCCCCTCTTCTGGGATCACTACTCCCTCAGGTTCCGGAAGATTCTTTGGGACAAGGGATAGATACTGAATAATACTGATGTTCATACTGCTACTAAGGTAGTCTTCTATCGAGTCGTAGGATTATCATCCAGGGATGGGTGGAACCGGACGGAGTGGATGGGTTCCGTTCCCGAAAGGGGTGAATGACAGGAACAACGGGATCGTCCATGGGCCATGGACAGACGCGCTCAGTGAGGTTAATTTTAGAAAAAGGGGTTCAGAAAAGACATTATCAATTTGTATGTGTATCAAGTATTGTAACAGCCATAATCAATAATCAACGAGCTAGTTTTCCATTACAAAGCTCGATATGCATGAGCCACATAATTCTCCTGACTCAATCCTCTGCATTAAATTTCGCGTCGTCTCCACATCGGACGATCTAGTCGCTACATAACTCCTTCAGAGCCAACATGCCATCCCTGAGAGAGCTCTATTCCTCTGCTCTTAGACTCCGGTGCCAGATCAATGAGAACCAGCGCTAGCGACGTCGATAGACTGATCGCCGGGGGGAGGATAGAAGAAGGCCGCAACGCTAGGATCCAATCAGTATGGAATTCAACATGATGTCAGGATCGGAGTTGACACTTACGCGATGATCACATAGGCGGCAATAAGCAGCGCTCCCTCGAGGTAGTTACTTCGGCCATCCAGGACAAGGAAGTTGACCACAAACGCCGTCACAAATAAGCAGATGGTCTCGAACAATGTGAAGTACAGAGACATGTCCTTGTCCATGCACCACCCGAGAATGACCACCAGAGGAGTGACGAAAATTGCTAAACCCGGATTAGCAGAAACCCTTGCGCCAAAACAGGGACGAGACTCACCAATTTGAATGCTACTGCCCACGGAGACACCAATCGACAGATCCATCTTGTTCTTGGTTGCGACACTGACGGCCGTCACGTGCTCGGCCGCGTTACCGACAATAGGAAGAATAATCAAACCGATAAAAGCCTCGCTTACCGACGAACTCTTGATCATCTCGGGAATGGCATCCACCAGGAACTCGGCGCAGACAGCGACGAGGGCAGTGGACACTAACAACATCACCACGGCAGCGGTGCGCGACATCTCGGGCATTTCATGCTCGGGCGCCACATTGTTGGTGACGACGTCGCTCGTGGTTGGGATACGTGCGGCCCCGCGAGCGAATTGAACGGCATTTCCAACGGGAGGAGGACGGTTCATCTGGGAGGGAAGAGATCGTGTGCGTCGGAGACCAGGAGGATTGCCAGATGTTGGTGCGACGTTGTTCGCGTTGGTAGCGGAAAACACAGTATTGGACAGCAAGGATGGCATGGTAGGTCGGAACAGGCTTTTCTTGGGAAGTCCGGCCGACTCATCGGCCGACGGGGACGAAACCATGCGATCACTGACAGGAGCAGAGACGTAAGATGGCAATGGAGGTCGATGAGCCGACGAGCCATTGGTTTTGACACCATTCTTCTCTTGTTCCTTCTTGAGAGCTTTCTGCTTCTTGTGTGCCCGCTTCTTGGCTTTACGATCCTTCTTGGATCCTTCATGCTCCCCAATGGATCCTTGGCCAAAATCCACCGAGCGAGACTGGTGACGGTTGTCATCGTCCGCTTCATAATGACCATCATCCGCGAAGTCAATGGCATAAGTAACCGCATCGGCAGAGTGGCCGGAACTTTGCTCTTCAGTAGAGCTTCGCTTCTCGGTCAATACAGGCTGGCTGTCGGCAGGAGACTTCTTGCCAGAAATGGCAGAGGAGGTATGGTTGGAGCTGGTGCTCGACTTGCGGCGTCTGCGATGTCTCATCGCTCGCTTGATGCGTTTTGCAGTCGTCCATGACGTCGTGGTGTCGTCTGAATCACTAGACGAGCTGCTGGAGGAATCAGAGGAGCTATTCATAAACTCCGCCAGGACTCCTGGATGAGACTCCTCGTCGATGATCTGCTGCGGAATGCTGGCATAGAGGTAGGAGTGGGATTTCAGCTGGAAGATGATGTAAAGAATGTACACCAAGAGCAGCACCTGTTCACATGTAAGCTTGGTCTGCCAAGAAAGAAGAAAACCAACATACCACACTGGTTCCGCGGCTAACTTTGAGAGTGTTTCGGTCGGCCGATGCGCCATTGGAGAATGATGCATGAAATGCGGTCTATTGCGAGTTAGCGCGAGCCATTTGAGAGCTGGGGAATATGTGGAATACTGACGGGCAAGAGCAGACTGGTGACACTCAAACTGAGGAGACATGCACTCATCTGAGTGACGGTGCTATTGTAGATCTGAACGATATTAGCGGCATCTTCTATGAGGGTAACGTGGGGGCCTCACCTGTTCCTGGAAACGAAGACCGCCCAGGAGGAATGCCATTCCCAAAATTAATAATAGATTAGCTAGGATCGATCCTAGCAGGGACGCCTGGACGATTCTAATCTCATTCTGTGGACATTAGTATAAATTATATGATGGACCGTGAGATATGACCGACCTTGACCAAAGCAATACTGATTGCGAATCACAAAGATTAGTTTAGACCCCGAGCAGATCATACTGGATGCTGTAACTTACATGCTATGCAGGGTTAGCTTGGTGCAACAAGACGGCGACATTGTCAACTCACAAGATAATCAGTTCCACGGCATTACCAAACGTGACATTAATGAGTGCTCCGACGGTATCTCCCAGGCGCATGGCAACACATTCGGTCGCGTGACTCAGTATTCCGGCCAGAGGAATGATGGCAACCGCGTTCATTGCGAAGATGATCGCTGGGTCGAGCCCTGCCGCTTCAACGGCGATACCAATGGGCACAAAGATGAGCAGGACATTGACCCAGCTGTGGAACAAGGCCGTCTTAGTATGTCTGCCGAAACGGACGATGCCATCTTTGAAGCGGACGCCAAGTCCTCGCTTGGACGTCTCTTGTTGATTTGGTGGGTTGGATCCTGGACCTGCCAGGTCCGCGGGTTGTTCATTCACTTGTCCATGATGTCGAGGTTCAGCGGCCTCGGAATCTTGGGTTGTGCTCGGTGGTTGCTTGGAGGGATCTTGAGTTGCCGAACTGCGATTAGACGCGTGAGCTTTCGCCCACGAGTGAATACGGTCTAGACAGGAGGAAGATGTCAGTCAAGATTCCAAGAAGAAATACCAGATTTGGAACTACTGGATACACGGAGCCAAGACACAATGCCCAGAGAAGCCAAAAAAACCGGTGGAAGATGAGAGACAAGACAGTACCCCTAGAAGCGTTGTTCGGCAAGTAGGGGACCATCTGGGACAACTTACGCATTAATTTCCAGAAGAGTCGATGTAAATGTACCGGGGGATGAAGGGGTAATCACCGAAGTAGTGGAAGAGATGAGGGTGGTGAAAGAAGGATGGGAAGATATTGGATTGTAGGAACGAAAAACCGTTGAAGAAGCAAGTCAAGCTTCGAGAAGAGAAGCTGGGCTTGCAGAAAATGCCAACAGTTTCTCCTGGGGAATCGACGAGCGTCGCATTATATGAAGGAGCTTGGCAGGCACTCTTTTGGCGAACGCCAGTGATGACTGCCAAGCCACTAGGGATCCTCTTTTGCTTCATTTGGACCACGGCATCACCCGACTCCTGCCAATCAGAGCACAGCTGCGCCTCATCTTTCTTATCGATCACGCGTCGCTCTATCGGGGCTTCTCTAAGTAGCGGGCAGTATGCCAGTATCTCAACTATGTACGGATAGTACTATCTCATCGCAGGTAGAGCCCTCAATACTAATTATGATGCCTAGTGACATGTATGACAAAGGTCATTCCTGGTCTGCTGTACTACGCATTTAGCCTGTTCTGACCTTCTGGCACACTGTCATCTGCGGAATGAGAATCCCTCACAGCTAGTTAATCATATTTAGTGCGGCATTACTGCGGGGGAGATCGTTCCCAATTTGAGGTAAGTCGATGGAACATTGAACCATTATGCACTATTGCACAATAATGGGCCAAAGAGTGTTACCTAGGTCCTTCAAAATTGACCCAATATTTGAGCAGCCATCTGGTCTCTGTCTGACTGATTCGTGGTTCCAGGAATCATACGCAGCACCGAGTTAAGGTCAGCGTCAAGTGGACGCCAACCTACGCCTCGTAGCTAGGTAGCCTCGTAGGGCTGGGTGTCCAATCATCCGAGATGACACCTAAGGCGATGAAATAACCGGGGTGCTGTGATTGGCTAGGTCAGGGTCAGGGGCGACTTCAAGGTTTCTGGACTGTCGGAAATCAGGATTCTCCGAACTTCTGTGGAAGTTAAAACACGCAACAATTGACCCCAGTCTAGCTAACGCTCTAGTGTACAACATTTACTGTCCTTTTAACATCATACCGTCATACGTCACACAGCTTCCAAGCATACGTAATCCATGCCAGTCGGTTTAAATCACTAATCAGAAGAGCGCAGAAAGACATCACCAGTGTGACTTTGACAAGACATCCCAACACCCCCAAGAGACAAGAGTACAACTCGATAGTTGAGCACTTCCCGCATTCAGAAAATTCTAGTGAGACCTAGACCAGCCTAAGGCACTGCTGGTAAATAGTAACCCAGTGATTCTGGTAAAGAACTAAACGATCCTCGGCCCCATATCCTCTCCACCGGGCTAAACGTGGCTGTGCGACTGTGGCTGAGCGCCGGAAATATCAAATGGTAAGCGGCACAGTTCATTTGCCACGAAATTTGGTGCCTGAGGCACTTGACAGGCCACCGCAGTGATGATGCACATTGCATCATCCTGTATCATAATTCAAATATGATGATTCTCCATTGTTGCTATTTTTATTTAAGGTATCTTTGATAGACCTAAAAGACTACTTAGAGTTTAATGATTCCCGGGGATTCTGGGTATGTCGCTCTGACGTGCAAGATATATACTGAATGATGGCATGATGGCAAGATAATATGGCCACCTGCAGTTTCGTAGAAAGCAATACTATGGCAGCAACATGAATACCCTATCAAGTGCGCTTGCCCTCTTCTACTCTACACGATCCTGGCTTGCACGATGTCATAGTCATCCTCATACTAATGGCGACTCTATTGCAAGAAGCCACGGCAGAGACTTTATCCGCTTCGTTTGGAGGAAGAGTATCCCAGCTTCGAACCATCATACTACATTATTAAAGCGACTACTAGACGGATAAGAAATGAAAAAGCCATTAAGCATGTAGTTATAGTCTCCTCAAAAATCCTGTATTCGTAACTCCATATTCCGTAGACAGTACTCTCAAGCCTTGGAGTCTGGTGTTAATGAGAAACACGTGATACTAGCGACACTTGGAGAACAGCGACCTCTCCCTCGTCTTGCATTGTCCTCATCCACCGCGCTGAAATAGGCTTCAGCATCGATGAACTTGGTCATCTACGAGCCATGGCATACATTTTCATACTCAGCGCCGCAAAGGCTCCCAGACCCCGGTGATCATTGCATAAGGTTTAACCAAGCCCAATCGGCAGCTGTCTCGGCACGCCACAAGATGCTGAACGGCAAGCCGATCCCCAGACAACCACTCGTGCTAGCCGAAATCGCATCGCATGGCGAATCTCTCCTACCATTTTTCACGATGCCGCAGAGATAAATCCTTGCACAATTCATCTATTGAGGAACTGTTACATCTTCAAACCAGCTACTGCAAGCAGTAGCCTAGCTCTAATGATTCCCCTAGGGAGCCCTGGGCCCTCCAAATCGGCTCGGCTGTGCAGGTAAGATTGGTTTCTCACAAGGGCCAGAACATGACTGACGACAAACAGTGCCCTTGATCCGCGAACATGGCGATTACGTCTCGAGCTGGACTTGAGGACTTTCCTCATGATGTTGAAGGGGGCATTACCCCCGACCATCGTGATTGCCATGTCAGTCCTCTTCTCATGACTCTTCTCGATGGGTTCTAATATCGTTGAAGGCACCAAAGCAGCGCTGTCGCTGATATCACTACTACCATCGGCTACTTGGCAGCTTTGATGTCTATTGTAGCTCAAGCGTTAATGCCTCGTGCCAAGTTCATGAAGATCATGCTCTTCAATCTCATAGCAGTCTGTGTATCTGCTTCACTTTGCTGTCTGGCAGTCTTCTCCGCTGTGAAAGCAAGACAACATGCTACACCGCCCGATGCCAGCGAGAGTGTAAGAAACGGCTATAACAGTGATGCTTGTGCTGTTTCTGGGGTGTGGTTGATCGTCATGATCTGGTTCGATCACTCAATTCTTCAATCAAGTTTAAACTCACTAATGAAGCATTTAGGGCCGCAAACACCCTCCGCGCATGGCGGCCTATGGAGCTGCAAGATACAATGGTGGCCTTTTCCATCTTTTCCTGCGTCACCATGACCCGAGGGGGGATGTTCATAACAGTACCCCAAGGGCTGGACTTCATCAATAGGTTGCTCAAAGGCTTTCTGCTCGGCTTTGCAGTGGCCACAGGTGTATCTCTTTTTATCCTGCCCATCACAAGCCGGGGCAATGTCTTTCATGATATTAGGAACTACGTGACTCAGATCGATACCTTGATGCAGGCCCAGATTTCATTTGTCGAGGGCACATCGTCCGGTACAGCCTGGACAGGGGCCCGGGGACTGTTGCACCGAACGAGGACTGCCCGAAGTTTGCACGACAGGGACAGCACCAGTACCGAATCGGAACTGGATGTACAGAGGAAACACTTAACAACGGCGCTGACAAAACTCAATGCCTTGCATGGTAAGCTGCAGGCCGACCTCTTCTACTCCAAGGACGAGTTGGCTTGGGGTAAACTATCAGCGGAAGATCTTGGTCATATCAACAACCTTCTACGCAGTCTACTGTTGCCGCTCTCAGGCATGGCCATGCTACCAGAGATTTTGGAGATGATTATCAAGAACGAGGGCGAACACACGGCGGAAGTATTTGAGCTGCCAGAGGAGCACACCTTGAGAGTATCAGAGATACAAAAGGTTGTCGAAACCCTCCATAGGCGGCTTGTGGAATCAGCCGGGATGATGATGTCGGGTTTGCACTATACATTACTGTTACTGGAACTCACCAAGCGAAAGACGCTAGAGAAGCAGAACAATGGCGGGAGCGATGAGGAATCAAGAGGAGGAAAACTCGATACATTAGACCCAGATTTCGCATCGAAATTCGGCCATGAGCTACAGGAATTCTTTTCGCGCCGGAAAGAACTTCTAAGGGCTCTGGCATCACTCGAGGCTTTTTCTATTTCCGAAATGGACGACGATAACGCCTCCACAGACGGCAGTCAGAGACCGGTTGCATCTGACTCGGAGGTCAGACACGAGTTCTTCCTAATCCTCTATTTGGATCATTTGCAGGATGGTTTGCTGAAAGCAACGCTCGACTTGATCAAATTTGCAGATAGCAAGGTGGCGGATGGTACGATGAAGCGAAATAGATTGATCTTTCCAAAGCAGAAAACTGTTCTGGAGTGGCTATCCCTCAACGCTGACACCAAGGATGATCCAGTGCGCAGGCGATCATCAGATGTTGATCCAGGGGATATTCATGAGGAACATGGGCATGAACATTTTCCTGATCCCGAACATATGGCCCCCTCCAACTTATTTGAACGTGGTAGTAATATTTTACGGCATATCTCTCGCATTATCAAATCGGAAGAGAGCGTTTTTGGTTTTCGCGTGGCAGCAGCATCATTCTCTGTCGGTATACTTGCCTATTTGCATCAGACACAGGACTTCTTTATTCGACAGAGATGCATCTGGGCCATGATTGTTATTGTAATCGGGATGAACCCGACGAGCGGACAGACCATGTTTGGATTCTTTGCTCGAATTGCTGCTACCGTGGTCTCCCTGGTCTTGAGCTTCATTGTCTGGTACATTGTCGATGGAAAGACGGCAGGTGTCATTGTTTTCCTCTATCTTGCCAATGTCTTCGAGGTATGCTTCCTGTCTTTGGATTCTTGGCCGATGCTCACAATGTCCTGAAGTACTATTTCTGGATCAAGGTGCCTCAATATTTCGGTGCAATAATCGTATCTATTGTCACGTTGAATGTGATTGTTGGATACGAACTGCAAGTAAGGAAGACCTCCAATATCCAAGAACTTGATCTAATCATTAGTAGGTACGCAAGCTCGGTCTTGAAGTCGGAACATCAAATGGCCAACCATACTATCCCATCTACCTCTTCGGACCATATAAACTGGCCGCCGTAGCCGCAGGCTGCGCCATCTCTTTCTTCTGGGTGATCTTCCCGTACCCCATAACAGCCAAATCACAACTACGCATAGCCCTAGGACGCGGACTCTTCGTACTGGCCAAGTTTTACAGCTGCATGCACACGACGATCGAGCTCTGGCTTAAAGACGAACTCGGCAACGTGCAAGACATCCAGTCCGCCTCCTACAAACTCACCACCACCCGCCACAAAGTCTTCAAGGAGGTAATGATGCTCCTCAACGCCCTCCGCGCCCACAGCCACTTTAGCACCTTCGAGCCACCCATCGGCGGCAAATTCCCTAAACCCGTCTACGACCGCATCATCGCGGAGATCCAGCGCATCCTCACCAGCATGGCGCTCATGGCCCACACAACGCAGAACCTCGACGTCATCGCTGTGGACAAGGGTGCGCTCGACCCGCAGGATAAATGGGTACGCCGCCTGGCTTCATCGCGCTGGGATCGGCGGATTTCAGATCCCATTCCACCACCTCTTTGCTCTGCCACCTCTCTGCGTCCGTGACGAATGCGCAACCCCTACCGCCGTATCTGTCGGCTGGGGCTTCTTTTCCGCTCGCGCGCCAGCTGCAGAAGATCGACCAGGAGTTGCTGAATATCAAGCACGTCGAGGACCCGGCGTTCTCGGCGTTTGTTGCGTTGGAGGTCCTGCGGTCAGTCGTGAGTTTCAGTCTAAAGGAGCTGTTGAGGTATGTTCTCTCGTTTGGTTGTGTCTTGGGAACTTGCTGACTTGTTTGTTGTTCGTTGTCAAAGTAATATGAAGAGTCTAGTTGGGGAACTTAGCTTCGACTTCCACGTGCAACATATTCAGGATCATGCGGAATCTGCGAGGTTGATGTCGGCGGGTAGTGAGAAATAGGCTTCGTTGAAGGTCCTTTTTTATATCCATTGCCCCGGGCCTTAGTATCTTACGGTGTACCTTGTTTTTTTAACAATGCTTGATGCACTATAAGACGAAATAGGCACATTTCCGTAAACAAATAGATGCTTGGTACTCTAACCACGATTACCTGCAATTCAGATCTCATGTATTCCAACAATACCTTAACCCACTGATCGCGGCTCACTGGCCAAAAACCTATAGGGGCCAGGTGCAAGGGTTTAGGGGCATCAGCAGCCGACCCAACCCCCAGTGAGAGTGCAGCCCGACAGGCTGCCTGGAACTGGGGCTTCAGAACTTCATGTAGGAGTCTGTACTTTAAACCTTAGTAGCGGCGGCCTTACCCTATGTACAGCAACCAACTCGCTCCTTCTGTGGTGTCAACCGCTCTTCCATGCGCTCTAAGTCTCCCAATGGAAGGCCAAGGTCATGCAGGGCCTGGACCCCCAACCGACTGTCTCGCTGGCCAAGCATGTGGCAGAGTATCTCCGCCACAAACGACCATCGAACTGTGGCCATAACCACGGCGATAGAATTTCGCCGAAGGCGGGTGCATCGAAAACCACCGATTATCAATCCCCGCTTTACGCCCCCTCTGTATGCAGCAGATCTGAGCGATCCAGCCTGAGCGTCGGCGTTGTGTTGCTCCTCGGGAAGAGGGGAGGCTTGGCTCTCATCAATCGCACGATGTACCAGAGCGCGGTGATTTAACATCGACCTGGGGGTTTGCCGGCCCCGTGAACATCGGCTGAAGCTCAACGGGGTAGACCACTTCCATTCATCCGTGGCTTGATGGCCATATGCTTGCTGTGCAATTTATTGTAACCGTACTTATTCTGGCGATGCGCGATATAGTCTTCCAGAACCGGTTTTGTTGCTGTGTCATTCAGCCACAGCTGTCCTCGGCCATTCTTTTGCAGGCCCTAGTTCCTCCCTTGGTTGTTTGTCGGTTCGATCCGGAGATTGTGGTGTAGGATGGACGGGGCTTGCCGATCTCCATGTATCTGGCCTGCTTGGAAAATTTTTTGAGTTCATCGTTGATGACCGCGAAACCGTCCTACGGCAGGAGACGTGATCGGGTCATTGTTCGGTCGATGGTGAACGTTCCCTCGCTGCCATCTCTCAGAGAAATTGATTGTAGGGACAGCCTGGCGTGCGCTTTGGCCAGTTTCCCAGACCCGATCTGCGTGAGGGATGAAGACATGGGAGCTGGTATAGGCTGGAATGGGATAGCAGTCTCATCCTGCTTTTGTAAGATAAAACCATGCCAGGCTTTTTAGGCAGCGAGAAATGCTTCGAGACGCCTAGTGTAAGGCCATGGGGCATGCCCTTATCAATCGCATACACCTGGTGGTGAACAGCTGTCTTATGCCTGTCGCTGGCGGTCGAATCATCCGGGCCGCCGCGCGATGCAGGTGCCTTGACTTTGCCCTCCCCGGCCGACGCAGCACGGCCCCCCTTCAGGGTGATGGTTCTGGCCGCCCAGGTGGAATATGAGGAGAGCACGATCGTCCTCAAACTCGCAGACGACGGCAGGTCCAGCCCCCGCAACTTGGTGCGGAGCTCCGCGGTGGTGTTGACCGTCAGGCCTTTGCGCCGGAAGTCCCCAGTGTGGGCCGACTGCCCATGGAAAAGCCACACAGTGAAGGCATTCCCGAATCGACCAAAAATTTCGGCAAGCCACGTGTCGATCAGTCCAGGTGTGCTAAAAAATCGTTAACAGAACCAATAATCTTGACCGAAACAATCACGAAACATACTATCATATCCTTTTTCGCACCGGCGGAAAGGCTGTGCTCGCGCCTATGGGCACTTTCAGCAGTTTCAAATTGAGTTGCCAAAGTCTGAACAAGATTGCCCAAAAGTTTTGCACATTTCAACGCCGTGGGCCACATTGTCATCCCCATTCCAGAAGAACGCGGCCTCGTCAGGCAGACATTACCTCCTAACCTTAATAGCCCCTAGGATGGATTGTTCCATAGATCCTTTTAGTTCTCTGAACACCCAGTTTTAAATATGGCCATTAGCTCTGTCGAGAGCGAAATCCGTGCTTAAGCTCGCTCAGCCGGCTAGGCGTTGCCTCTATGAGTCCGGGGCGGACGATGTTATGATAGGCATGGAAGATATGTCAAGGTGGTACGCTGCCCCTGCTTCACTGTTTCCCTGAATGTGTTCTGACTGAATGAGTTTGTGTAGCTAGTTATTTGAGGGGAAGGGGAAGGGGGTGAAGCAAAAGCTGCACTCCGCAGTGTTGGCGACTTGCTCTACCTTATGTGTGGGGGTCGCTACAGCAGGGGTGGAAGTAGGTGCGGATGAATTTATGGCGTCGGACTGCGTCTCCTGATGATGGAAGGCTTCCTGGTATGCGTCCTCGTCATCGTACGAGTCAGAATAATCATAGTCATCGACGCCACAATCTTCGTCATCGTCGTGGTAGTACACGCGCTCGTAATCGCGACGTTGAAAAGGTTGGTGGGCCGGGCGTTCATATCATTTGTAGTTTTGCCTGCTGCGACCAGCATGATGAGGGAGGTACTCCCCAGCCAATAATCACCAATGAATAAGATGACCAACCCAAAGTGCGCCAGATAAAAGCGTTAATCCAGAAGTTCTCCAGACCTGTGAACATCACACGCCTCCTACTGGATGTGTTCCTTCTAAGAGCCAAACTTCTGATAGACATCCCATTTGACACTCCTGATGAGCTACCGACATAGGAAGAGGCGCACATGCCAGTTATGAATGCCAGTATGGCCTGTGTGTTTAAGGCGTCTTGTACCTCCTGCCTGGCCTTCCCGTCTAGCCCGTACGAAATGGTTTTTTTTACTTCTAAAAGTTAGCCACCCCCTGGTATGAATCCATAGACTTTAGTGGCAGGTTAATCCGCGCTGATCACGCCTGCCTCGACCCAAACCATCGCCTGGAGTCTTTCAACCTAATGAAGGCCCTAAGTTGGGTTTTACTGGTCCATTGTTATTGTGAGCCGCAGCCGCCACTCTTATGGAGTGTATATGAAGTTGTAGAGACCAGGAAGATGCAATAGTAGTAATAAAAATAGAGAGGTAAGCACCATGAATCTTCTGGGACGAGCCTCATAACTCAAGTAAGTTAGTACAGGAGGAAGGATTTGAATGAGCTGGGACTTACATGTTCTGCTGCTAATATCTATGTTAGGCCAGGGTTGCTACTTGACCCCGTGCTGTCCCATCGTTAGCAAGCCAAAGAGACCAACAATGTAGGTGTAGACCACATAACACAACATGGACTCTGAGCAATGATCATGTATAACAGGTGCGAAGGGTGTACCCAAACTGATGAGAATTGGAAGATTCTGAGAAGAACATAGTAGTAGGCTGGGCTGCAGAGAGGAGCATTCCGCAGATTCAACTCCTGTCTTTCCATCTGGTACAGAAGCACCTGATATCGACTGTGATACTTCCCAGGTGAAGCTGTTCGGACTGCTTCTAAGATGGCCCACCGGTACCTACCATGGCTAAACCAGAGGCAGTTAGTACAAGAACCCTGATAGAGGGCCTGGCCCTCGAAAGTCGGGGACCACAACGCAGCTCTGGAAGACTCCGCAGCCTTTAGAACAGAACACACAGCACCCGTCGCCCGACATCAATTTCCCTCGAACTTGGACCAAAGACGCCGAATATTGAGCTGGCGTCTTTGTCTCCCGCTCGAGGGCATGACCCTCCTTGTTCTTGGACCAGGCAAGAGCTCAGGCAGGATCCATTAGTTTAACCACAGCAATATCGAGCTGTGTGAGTTTCTTTTTCGGTGCAGATCTTTAGCATGAGTGACTGCTCATGCCGTTCGAGAATCAAGTAATACCGGGCAACCGCTGAGATTGAAGATTGAAGACGCGTATTTTAGTCGCGTCGCTGTCGAGAACCATACTGGCCTCAAAACATCAAAACGCGTCTGCGCCTCCTTTTGTAAATTTCTTTTACAAATATTTTACTCGGATATCCTGCCCTCCCGTCGGGTTCCTTTCGCCATTTAATCTTGGCTCCAAGAGTGGAATCGGATGGTGATTGTAGCAGACGACCGTGCCGAAATCTCCCTATCCTGGAGGTTAAACAACTCCATAGCTCGGACAGCACCTGAGCCTTCTTTGGTGTCACATCAGCCCTGGAGTGGTCCAGCTCTCTGAGCACGGGTTTTGGTCTTGAGTAGTACCCTGATGCTCTTCGCTCTTCCTTCCGTAAGATTGCCGATTGGGCAATCAAACCCAAGCCATCGGTCTCTTTCTCGGTAGCGGTATAGCGTATGTGTCGTTCCAACTGGCTCATCGTCAATGCACGTCAACGTCTCAGAACTTGGGAGGGTTCTCGTCTCCTCTAAGTGACTTACGATGATCAAGACTCCTCCAAGGCGAGCTTGAGTGGCGACCACTGTAGCAACAGCATAGGGGCTCTTGTAACGGGTTGCCATCTGAATAAGCTGGGTACCTTTTAGCACTATTCCGAGCAGAAAGGGGAGTTGAGATCTGGTTCAAGTACGAAAACACCAGATACACTGCTATGAGGGAGGCTGGGGTTCTCTCACAACCGAAACTGTCGAGGACTCTACCAGACAACCCGAATGCTCGGTAGTTCCAGGACTGGAGAGGCAAGGAAGGATAAGAGTTAAGGCTGAGCATGATGATATATAGATAAAAATATACAGTGGCACCCAGCTTCGCTTTCCATGACCGTGACATGCGAACTTGTTTTTGAACCCTAATGTGCCAAGACATACTAAGGTATCTGTATATCGTTAGACGGAAATATTATTTTCTGTTCGGATACTGAAACGCGTGGTAAAGGACGAAGAAGCGTCTGGATAAGCTGTATTGTGACGGTACTAAAGGTACACCTCCAATAACTACCAGGATGTCACCTCAACTGATAACGCAACCTACAACCAAGGTACCATCAACATATAAGGCCACAGCAATGGCACGAAACCTCGAGTCCTGGCAGCGTACAATGATTGTCCATATGATACGTAGTAAGAAAACACTAACTACATCGCAAATGGCCAGGCTTGCAAAATATTCTGAGCGTTCTATCACAAATATTCGCAAGAACATGCGTCAGTTTGGCACAGCGAGGTCCCCCCAAATCCGCACTGGCCAGGCACCATGCATCACCGCCTCAATGGTCGATGCCCTTTGCGACCATCTGACTGAAAAACCAGGCCTCTACTTAGAAGAAATGGCCGTCTTTTTATGGGATGAGTTTAGTATACTGCCATCATCGTCAACTATCCAACGAGCCCTTTCCCAGGAGGGCTGGACGAAAAAGAAATGTCAGCAAAAGGCAAAAGAACAGAACCCTAAGCTATGAGATTTCTATCAACATAAATTGTCCAAGTTTCACTCCTACCATTTGGTCTTCGTTGATGAGTCTGGGTGTGACAAACGGATTGGATTTAGGCGGCCTGGTTGGGCTCCACTTGGGGTGACACCTGTCCAAATATCAAAATTTCATCGGGGCCAACGCTACCAGATTCTACCTGCATATGCTCAAGATGGCATCATGATGGCTCGTATCTTTAAAGGTTCAACTGATGCCGAATTCTTTGAAGATTTTATTCAGCAGCTTCTCGAGCATTGCGGCAGATGGCCAGAGCCAAAATCTGTGCTCGTCATGGATAATGCATCTTTCCATCACTCAGAGCGAGTCAAGCAGTTGTGTTCTGATGCGGGAGTCAAGCTACTGTACTTGCCAACTGCTACAGGTGTGATTGTCATGTTGCCAGCTCACATGCCATTGCATGCTAGTGCAGTGGAAATTGAGATTACCACTCTTTTGCTTCAGATGCTAAACCTCCCTTGGTCCTTGTACTGCAGATCCTACATAGTCTGGTGCTCTTGTGTTTTGAGTCGTCGTACCATTTAGGATTTCGCATGCAAGTGTGTTCACATCAATGCTTGCTTGAAAAAGAACAAATCAGAAAAAGACGATATTGGCGGGTCATCAAATTAGGTGAATGTCATGTGATGCAATTGTAGACGCGCGGCACAATGGACACTCAAATACAGTTAGACTACTTCCCTCCATTCCGGTCCGTCATAAATCCGTCCACCCAAACCATCACGTCCTGGAAGCTTCACAACCTCATCTTTCATGCTAAGCTGAAGGACAATGTCCTTGCACAGGCATCAGTCGTCTCTTGAGGATGCTCTGAATTTCTCAGAACTATTTCTCCTAACGCCCCAGCAACATCAGACGGCGAGGAGTCTACTTAATGCGCTTACTGAACACTATGGCCCAGAGCAAACTTCACAGAAGGGTTATTTGCCCGCAACACTTATCCGCAGCACATTCAACTACGTTGCATCAAAAGATTCATTTCTAGCCTTTTTCTTTACTTATCTCTATGAGTGCCTAACTAATGTCAACTCTGATATTGCTCTAGCCGTGTCTTATTTCAATGATTTTGCCTCATGGGATGCAGTTATGCAAGGCAAAGTTATGGGTGCTGTGGAAGAATTCGCAGACTTTATGGTCACTCAATTCTTTCTACCACGTGCGTCCGTGATGATTCTTTCTCAGGCATAATTCCATTTGGCTGACGCAATCCAGTCAGAGCTTCATCTGTAAAGACGCCGCAACCAACACCTACGTCATTGTCCGCGATACAACCGTCTACGCCGACTGGAACAAAACAGCGCATATCTCTGCTCAGGCACGATTGTCTCATCCGTGATCACCATCGATGCGTAGTGACTAGGAAATTCGATATTGCAGAAGCCAGAAAACGTCGTGCTAAGGATAAGAACTGTGAGGATGATGATGGGAAGCGACTAGACTCTGAACCCCATGACAACTTTGTTCATCTGGAAGTCGCCCATATAATACCACACTGTCTAATGGCAGTTGCCCCTGGAGATTCTGAACTGGTATGAGTAAATCTACTGTCTGTGTTACATTCTGCTGATAGGTTCCTAGTCCGATTCGAAGAAGAACGTGCTGCGCATCCTGGATATGTTTGATCCTGGCATCACCCATCTCATTGATGGCCCAAAGATCGATAGCCCTCTGAATGCTCTCACATTGACGCTTGAGTGCCACCGGTTGTTCGGGGAATTTCAAATATACTTTGAGCCGACAGGCAAACCTTACGAATACAGTATTGATTCTACAGAGAGTGGTTTTCTACGTGACCCATTCTTCCCTGTTACTCGCACGCTGATGCTCAGTCCCCACCGTACTATTGACCCACCTTCTCCTCGACTTCTCGGCGTTCACCGTGCTATTGCACATATTTTGAAACTCAGTGGCGCGGGTGATTATATAGAGCAAATACTCCGCATGGAGCAAGTGGCAGTGGAAGCGGATGGGTCAACGAATTTGGGCGATATTATGAGATTACGATTTGACAGCTGGCTAAGCCAATTAGCTGTATTCTAATGAGTTGCAAATTCCTTCGTTTTGCATATGTAAAATAATTGCCATGCCCAGCAAGCTGTTTCTATCTGCGTATTAAATAAGCGAAATTACTCTCTTGACATTTTGCGTGCAAACCTACAAAACAATGATGGCCTTATGCTTTGGCAAGCTCTTTAGCCCAGCATTTATTGAAAGCCATGGCGCAATAGCTTACGAAGGTCATGGATTATATGCTTGAAGTGGATTTCCAAAAGAGTCTATAATATTCAGTATACTGTAAACCACGATTATACTATCGATACCCCTTACCCTCCTCAACGCACAGAAACGGGATTGCCGTACGAAGCTAGGCAGGCCCATGCATAGCATTCACGCTTGGAAAGCAGAGGTGCCTAGAAAGCCTATTCAACAACATCATCCAAAACCTCCCAAGCGCTCTCCTCGAGTGCCATGTTTGTGTTCAAACATCTGGCCCATTCATGGATATCGCGAACAAAACGGCGAGCAGTTCCAGTTTTGATCCCTTGCTTAACAAAGAAGCCAGGGTCTGGATCCTCGAGGATTAGCTCAAGATCTAGGTGATTTTCCTGGGTTACCTTGCAGATCCTCCGAAAATCAGCTTTGTACGCCTCATCAGTGGCCCGTGATTCCAGCCATCTGCAGTACTTCCTGACAGCTTCTTCTCGAGGCCCAGGGATTACAGGATGCTGGTCGGGAGATGAAGATCTGGCCGGCGGCTCAGCGACCACCGAGGCACGTGTGGTCTGTGCCGGCAGCACATTGATGCTGATTGGAGTATATGGCACCCCCGTTGCTTGTGCGTCGTCAGCTTTTCTAGATTTCTTTCCCGCCTGACTTTCCAGGACCAGGTCTCGGCGGATATCATTAGGGACGTCATCATGACTCTCTAGGTTGCCACCGTCATCAACATAATCCACAAGTCGTTCAAGATGCGGGGCCCTGAGCTTATAGTGCTTCTTGTCCATAGGATCCTCCCAGCACCACTCGGATTTTTAAAGGACATGAGCGAACGTTGCATCGCATCAGTCCATATACAAGATTCCAACTTGAGGGCCGTCTAGTTCTTTCTTCCTCCGCGTCGGTCTGTGCCTCACACTCAGTGAGTATTCTTCTGGTCGCCGACACACGGCTCCTTTTGTCTCCTCTTCCTGGCGTACCATCATCATCCTGCCTATAGTTGAAAGGCAATAGTAACCTTAAGCCTCTTTCCAATCCGAAGCAGATTGCTCCATTTACGCAGTTGCTTCTCGACTGGTGTCCAATTGATGTTAGTAGAGCTGCGGAATTTTTCGAGAGGGCTCTGTGTCCGGTCATTAACTGATACCGTAATTGCGGTGCCTTCAGATCAAACTCGCTGGTGGCGCTTTCTTTTCGTTTGTAACATATTCTCGAGATCTGCTTTCAGAAATTCCTCCCAGTAATCACTGGGAGCTACAACCAAATCTTTTTCAGTCACACTACCCACTTTTTTGGTGTTAAGTGTAAGTTTCTATTCAATCGTATAGCGAACGTATCTTGGTGGTCGCTCTTCGTATTCGCCTCCCTCTTCCCATTCAGCCAATGGGAGGAATCCGAGCTGACTTGCCTGGTGTGGCTGCAATGTACGATGCGGGGAAGGGCTAAGGGAAGGAAGCTGTGAATTGTCGTCCCATGGGTCGATCGCGGGAGGTTGTGGGTCATCATCATAGACAAAAGGGCTATTCACTATTTCACAATACATAATCAAGCAGGTGCTGAGAAGTCTAATAATATTAGTGGTTTGACACATTAGCCTTCAACCTTTCATGCCCAATAAGGCGTCAGAGCAATCAGAAGATTAAGCATAGTGGCACGCAGGGTGGGGTTTGCGCTACCAGAACCAGTACCAATAACCCTATCTATCCTGCTTTTTTTTGGATAGCCTCAGGAATGCCCTGACTCTCAGCAGTAGCAGGCTATGAGATGCAGAAGAGAGCTACATTGTTGACAGAATTGCGAGATGAGCAAGTCGCCCTGTTTGATTAGTTTGCGTAGCATCTTCTAGAAGCGTCGTATGCCCCATACCAGTAGCTTACTACTATGTATGTCACATAATGTTACTCATTAGATACATAACCGCTAGTTACGTACTAATTCATATTTGACTTAGTGTATCATGTGACTAGGGTTCGGAAGCATGTCTGTCTGGATAGAACATGGAAGGGGAAGTTGGGTGCCACTGGATAGCAGGAGGCCATATTGGGGCCGGAGTATGACCCTCTATCGAGAATGTAGATTTTGGGCAACCAGGATCAAGAGAGAAGAGCTGTAGAGAAGCCTTCAAGAGACGAACCAAATAAGACGCATGATATATAAAGCTTGAGCGAGAGAGCAAGGAGATGGAAGAGGGAGACGTGGGGGGTGAAGTATTTATGCGTACCTGGCAGAGTGGATTGGAAGAGATCTAAGAATGAAAAGCTGCTGTGAATGGGGAAGTCTCGGAACAATGAAAGAGTATCTCATATTCACCAATACTACTATTGATTATTCACCACACCATAGGCTAGGACAGCTGCAGGTATTCATTCTGAGGGAAGCTGCTTCATGGCAATAGGGGCCCGTAGGACAAACACACCCAGCTTAGCACCTTTACAGCTTCTCCCTGACCATTATCTTATTCACTCCCTTTAAGCCATTGAGTCCCGGCACAGGTCAATAAGATCAATAACGGCAGAACAACCAAGAGCTAGTCAATCAGGAAAGTTGTATATTAGGGTGACCATTTAAGACAGTCCTGTGTGCTGCCAGTATACGGGAGGATAATTCTGTCAGTGATAAAGCTAACCTGACTTCAGGGTGTTTGATAAGCTTGCCCAGTGGAGTATTTGCCTTGCTACTGGGAAGCTGCATATATGATTCTTATGGCAGGAATGAAGACAGCACTCGAGCTGCGTTTGCACCATCCGCGCCTTGTCTTATCCATACCCGTCTGGACACATCATCGCTGGATCGTAACTTACGGCCTAGGGGACGGAGGGCTCATAAGAGACGTTGGCTTCATTATCTGAAAAGAAACAAGGTAACAAGCTTGACGAGGTCCAATAAGTGGCTTAGAATCATCCAGCTCGTTGATTCCAAACAAGATGGTATATATAGTACATGACGTTGGTATCGCTGAGAAAACGCAACTTTTCCGCCTCTGGCATAATAAACCAGAATATTCAAACCATCCAGCACAGCATTGCTGCATAGTCCCGATAAAGCAAAACTCCATAACTCCAGAACCATCATAGACTCCGTAAACCTATTGTACATCTACACCGGTTAGCCACCCGTTCCATCAAACCCCCCAAAGCCTCAAACACTCACCACTTTCACCCGACGGATCAACACCGATGGAGAGCTCTCAGCGGTCATGAATCCAAGCGCGGAGTCGACGTCGACTTCCGCAATCGCGGGTAGTACACTGCAAAGAACACCACAACGGCCAACAGCATCACCAGCGTCGGCAGAAACATAAACGTGAAGAGGAACAGGCTTAGTCCAAACGCCATATTCTGGCCGGGGAACAGCCTGCGGGCCATGAGGTCGAGGGCGGAGAGAAGCTGCTGGTCGAGAGAAGGGAGGATGCAATGAAGCATGCTGCGGACTTTTCTTTTTTGGTTTTGCAGATGTGATAGATCCGAACAGGAGTCTAGGTGAGTAGGAGGGGCCAGGTTACTGTCGTTTGTAACGAGTAGGCTAAGGACACTAGTGTTCGAAGATAAAGCCACATTGGAGTGCTGGGGGGGGGGGATTTATGGTGAGCGAGGGGGAGGGGAACTATAAACGATGGATATAGGCTATAGCTGAGGGCGTATCCGTCTATTCCGTAGATAGTCTGTCGTTTGAACCAAAAAAAGGCGCAAACATTGAGACAGGAATATGGATGCCTTGCAGTTTGGTGTAGGATATCTAGGATATACTTGGTTACTTTTGGTCAGTGTTTAGACTTGTGAGTTCAAGATCGGCCCTTACAGCTACTGAAGATGATTACCTCCTACTCACTACCTAGGTACTAAGGTACTACATAGTGGCCACAAGATGTGTGATTGGTTCAGTCAGATATTGGATCCATCAACGGGACAGGATTGCAGAGCCAATACCCCCAATAGGATACACAGTTGAGTGTTCAGCCACCAACTGGCCCATCTTTCGGTAAGTTTCAGTATGGCGAATACCCACTCGGCCTATATGGGATCCCCAAGGCAGCAACATTTCCACTCCTCGGCTGAATTGTCGTGACTCGTGAGAGGAGAGAATTTCTTCAAGTTTGTACTATAATAATGGTCATTAAGAGTTCAAGAGCTGCCGAGATCATACCGGGTACAACCTCAATTCTCGGCAGGCAGGGTGGTCAAGCTGCTGCTAATCGTTGAAGTCGGTATATAACCGAGACTATCTGTAGAGGATAAACGCTTAGTACCTAGACTCCAAACATTGACATCCATAATCAAGTCCAGTTCCCATGGAAATGACCCTCCATATTATTATGATGTGTGTATCTGAAACCCTGCCGCAAGGACCTCGTGATCCATGTAAGGCTGATGGTTGATCTACAGCAACCGAACCCGTCTCACATTAGGGTTGGGGATGGCAGTAACCGGCGGAATGGTATTTATAGCACACTCAGCATGGCGACTGTGGAAGAAGCTCCCTTCGCTGGTCTATGAGATGTGAGTGTCTATCTACCGTGGTTAGTAGTGGTTGACCTCTGTAACAAATCGACTCACCAGCCAGGACGATGTGGTTTGTCGCTTAGTCTTAGGTCAGGATCTTCGGAACGGATCGGTCTATGCAGTGGGGGCAAAGGATGGACAACAAATCAACCAGATGGCTTTCAACGGATGGTGTGCTGATGTAGATAGAATATAATCTGATGGTAATGCTCAATCATCCAACATTAATGATTGAACCCATTTGTCTCAATGGGATTGTTCTCCATCACTGGCCTTCAAAATCCCAATCGGTTCCAACGAACAAGCTACAATATGGCCCGGTAGGGCTGAAGCTTAGCGGGAATTCTTAGTTCATAGCAGAATGGTGATGCCTAAACTGATCCACTCGAGGGAATTCCGAGTTGGCAAATAATAGCATCCAATGGACTAATGAACCAATGGAACCCCCCTGATAGCCTGGATTGGGGAATTAGCAAAATGAGCAGGAAGAGAAGGGAAATGAATATTGGTTCTTAGTCTTCCTTGTTAGTTGGATAGTAGCTCACTAGCTATGACATTTGCTGCGGGGAGAAAATAATGGGGAGATTGGGCATGGACTCAATTCAATGGCTCGGCGCTATCCTTCCATTTGGTTCTGTTAAATAATAATCAGAGCGATAGTCATGCAGGGAACAGGAATGTCTTCAACTAGAGGGATTTCCCATGCATAATAAGCAAAGCAATGGACGTCCTTTTTAATCTGATCTCCGACCGATCTCGCTCTCCTCTCCCTCTTCCCTACACCGCCTCTCTTTCCCATCTTCCTCTCGGTCATGGCTCTCTCTTCGCACCATGAAATCGACGAGACAGAACTGGGCAATCTGGGCGTCGACTGGGTGATCCACTATCAATTCGAGAATCTTGGTATGTGGGATTCGCTAATAATGGGCTTCATGACACCCTGGCCTGATTACACTTTGATGCCGACTTGGCCGCGAATTATGGGAACCATGCACTGACCATTAACTCTACTCACGCGAGACATTAGAAACCTCTCAAGCGATCAAAACCTTTCAGACTCTCATCCACGATCTCGAAGAAGCCAATCTCCAAACTCAAGTCCGACACGGCGATGGCGCCTCATTGCTGGTCTGTGTCCGCGTTCCCCGCGACCATCTCGGACACATGATCCACGAGTCGAGGTATACCCGCCTCCCTCCGTCAGCAATAATGAAAAAATGAAAAAAAAAAAAAAAGAAAATTGAACGGCGAAGGTGAACTGACTCTTTCAGGGTCAAGGACTGGCTCTATGGGATCATCCACGAACTTCCCTCGGGAAACAACACCGACGCTGAGACACCCGCCGAAGAATTGCGGTCGGTCTACCACGCCGTCTCCTGGCAGAAACACTTGGGTGGTGCGGGCATCACCCCGGGAGTTGGCAAATGGGAGTCTGTGGCGTCTGCGTTCCCACTGCACGACCAGGGTGCGAATGCCGAGTTGCTGCGCAAGATGAGTCGAGCGATGACGCTGACTGATGAGGACTTGAATGCGATACGGGCGTTGTTCGGTGAGAAGGTTCGATGTATCATGGCGCCCCGTCCAACGATGCAGATGCTGATGGTTCGGGTCTAGGTGGGCTTTTACTTTGCATTCATACACTGCTACTCGATCTTTTTGGTCTTTCCCGCCGTGTGGGGGGTGGTCTGTTGGCTGTGCTTTGGGCCGTACTCCATCACCTGTGCCGTGGTCAATTGTCTCTGGGGCATCGTGTTTGTGGAGTACTGGAAGATCCGCGAGACGGATCTGAGTCAACGATGGAATGTCATGGGAGTCGGCGCGCTGAAGGCCAACCGGCCGCAGTATGTCTGGGAGAAGGAGGTGCAGGACCCCATCACGGGGGAGACGATCCGGGTGTTTTCGATGCGGCAGCAGCTCTTGCGCCAGTTGCTGCTGATCCCTTTTGTGATGGTTGCGTGTCTGGTCCTGGGATCGCTGATCGTCGTCACGTTTGCCATGGAGGTGTTCATCTCGGAGGTGTATGCAGGCCCGCTCAAGGGATATCTGGAGTTTTTGCCGACCGTGCTGTTTTCGCTGTCGCTGCCGACGATTACGTCGCAGCTGACGGCCATTGCCACGCGACTGACGGAGTATGAGAACTACCGCACGCAGGACCAGTACGATCTGGCGCAGACGTCCAAGACCTTTGTGATGAATTTCATCACGGCATTTCTCCCCACGTTGCTCACGGCCTTTGTCTACGTCCCGTTCGGCACCCGGATCGTCCCGTACCTCGACGTCTTTCAAGTGCGAGCCAAGGAATTCTCCCCCTTCTATGTCGACACGTCCCGTTTCCAGCAGGAGGTGATCTACTTGTCCGTGACGGGCCAGGTGCTCAGCTTCGGCGAGGAGGTCGTCCTCCCCTACGTGAAGAAGGTCCTCTGGCGAAAGTGGCGCGACTACCGCCTCCAGCAAGCGCAGCAGAGCCGTCCACGGCGCCACTCGCGCCTCACCGACCTGCTGCTGATTGACGCGCCCGAGGAATCCGGCTTCTTCCGGCGCGTCCGCAACGAAGCCGACGCCGACGAGTACAATGTGCACGAGGACATCTTGGAGATGTGCGTGCAGTACGGATACCTCGCGCTCTTCGGGGTCGCCTGGCCGCTGGTCCCGCTGGGCTTCCTCATCAATAACTGGCTGGAGCTGCGCGGCGACTTCTTCAAGCTCACCCTCGAGTGTAAGCGACCGCCGCCCATCCGCACCGACTCGATTGGGCCCTCGCTGCAAGGGCTCGAGTTCCTCACCTGGCTGGGCACGCTGTCCACCGCCGCGATCGTCTACCTGTACCGCGACGGCATGGCGCAGGTGCACTTCTCCTCGCTGCTGCTGGCGCTCCTGGTCGCCGAGCAGGCCTACCTGGGCGTCCGCTTTGCGGTGAGTACGGGCCTCCAGAAGCTGGGCTCCGGCACGCTGCGCCGCGAGGCGGCCAAGCGCTACGCGGTGCGCAAGAGCTACCTGGACACGGTCGGCGCGACGTCGGGGAGGAGCAATGGCAAACCGCGCGTGCGGTTCAGTGACCGGGTGGATGTGTTTAGCTCGTCGCGCGACTCGTCGCGCGACTCGTCGCCGACGGATCCGGTCGAGACAGGGTCGGCCGAGCTGCACGAGGAGACGCCCTATGCGTCGGAGCAGGAAGCGGAGTTTTGGACGGAGTGGAATGCGCTGGATGTGGGGGTGAAGTTGATCAAGGCGTTAAGTGGGGAGGAGAGGAAGAACAAGTAGCTTGGCTGTCGAAGTAACTAGTGCGGTTCAGTGACATGCACGCTATTGATAAGGATCAGGCAGACACATTTCTCGCACTGTCACTCGCCAGTAAATGGGGCGGATTGGACTATCTCGTTGCATCCACGCATACTCCGTACTATTTATTATTACTAGCTGGACTGGTGTCGAGTCCACCGCAATAGTTCAGCCCTACAAGGCTCGCCAAGAGAGCTTAATCCGGCCCAGTCCCATATGGCATAAGTCATACCTCAAGGGGGTTTAGTAGATTAGTAGATTACTGGTAGTGGATTACTGCATCCTTTCAACACCGACATTTCATTTCATTCCATTTCATTTCCCTCCTCTCTCATCCTTCTTATCTCTCCCGTCCTCCCAACCCAACGTTCATCCTATCCTCATCCCGTATGATACTCACTATGCCCACAAAATGTCCCCAACCACAACCACAACCACAATCACCGAAAAACCCCCCTCCCAGACACCCACACCCACACCCACACCCACACCCACACCCACACCGACAGACACAATCATAACCCTCCACCGCACTCCAACCAGCCTCACATCCCCGCGCCCCAAATTCAAAAACACCCTCCTCGCCTCCGTCGGCTACCTCGAGCTCGCCAACGCAGGCGACTTCGCCGCAAACGTGTGGAACGAGATCCCCGTGCCCACCCACGCCGTCATCTGCATGGCCATCTTCGGACCCATCGCGCTCCTCGCCTCCCTCTTCGCAGCCCGCGATCTGTACCTCGCGGTATCGAATCTCCGGGTTCTGCGAGCGGAGCGGAAGCTCCTCCTCCTCCTCCTCCTCGCCCGCAGCACAACAACCCCAAGTACAACCACCACGGCAGCGACCAAAGAAACAAGCACAAGCACAAGCACAAGCACAAGCTCGCCTCCGCCTCCGACGCCGACGAACACAACGTCAACGTCCAAGGCTCGAGCGCTCCTCGCCCTCAACACGCGCCAGCTGCTGACGGAGGCGATCGACCGCGCGCTCATGGACGTCTTGCTCGGCGGCGGGGCGGTGCTGGTGGGCGTGGGCACGATCCTGGCGATTTTCGGGGCGGATGCTGCGGTCTTCGAGGCGTCGAATCTGTTATCTGGGTTTGTGGGCAATGCGCCGGCGGCGGCGTTTGGGGTGGTGAATGCGGGGTGGACGGGGGTGTTGGTGGTGGGGTTGCAGCGGCGGTGGAGGGGGGCGTGTACGTCTTTGTCTTTGTGTGCAGCGTCTTCGACTGCGGGTGGTGGTGGAGGTGGAGGTGGAGGTGGAGGTACAGGGGGAGGTGCAGGTGGAGGGGTTGGGGGTAAGGTGCGGATGAGGCTGCGGGCGCGCTTCCGCATGCTGCAGGTGCACGCGGCCGTCAACGGGGTCACGGGCTTGGTGGCGGGGATGGCGTCGATGGTGACGGCGCGGATGTGGTGGGGGTATGTTGTGCTGATTCCGTGTGTGGTGGTTGTGGTGGTGGGGAACTGGTTCTGGCGGGTGCGGCTGGGGTATGACCGGGCGATGTGGCGGGGGGAGGCGGAGCCGGAGGAGGGAGAGGAGGGAGGGCACGATGGTGAGAGCGACGTGGTTGAGGAACTGGGGGCCGTGATCGAAGCGCGGGAGACGCTGGATGCGTGGGTCGAGGGCCCGCTGGACCGACTCATGGGTCGAATTGTGCGGCATGGCATGGCGGAGGCGTTTTGTGAGCGGCTGGCGAGACGCTGGGGGGAGCATCCGGTGTTTGCGGGGGATACGAAGGAGGTGTGCATTGCAGTCGGAGATCTTCTATCCGGGTCTGAGAGCGATCAAGCCCGGATGCTGGATGAGTGCGGCCTCTTCCTCCGGGAGGATGGGAGGAAGATTCTCGAGGACCGGGAGCGGTATCTCCTCGAACTTCTTGGAGAGCTGTTGTTGATTCAAGCCTAGACTGACATCTGGCGGGCCAGATACCTAATACATACATATACAAAAAAAAAAAAAAAAATGGACAGATCAAAAACTGAACAACCCACTCCGTTGCTTGCCATATGGATACACCACCAACGCCGCCAGGAACAGCCCAACCGTAATCCCAATCGCCACCTGCACCATCCCAAACCCCAGCGTCCACACGGACGTGTTCGTCGCCAGACCCGCGCCTGGCTGCGACGTCTGGCCGCCCTTGGTGATGTTGCGCCGGATCTCGTCGGCCGATTGCACACCCGTAATCAGCGACCCCGTCGCCGCCAACCCCGACGGCACCAGCACGAAGATCCCCGGCAAGATCGCCGTGGCCGCATGGCCTCGCCACAGCCGGCTGTACAGGTTGCCCAGCACGCCGATGGTGAACGAGCCCACCGTGTTGGCCACCTGCGAGTTCGACCCGAGCCGCTTCGTGCTGAAATAGTTGGCGATGTACCCGGACAGCGCGATGAACATCATCACCGGCAAGCTGCTTGAACTTGCCCTGGTTGATGATGAGCAGCCACAGCGACATGAGCGCCACGAACGGGAACCGCTGCACGTACGGGTTCTTGAACGCCCCGATCTTGGGGCACGTGATATCCGACACGGCCGACCCGTCCATCAGCCCCGTAGATGGTCGTCCCCACCGTGATCCCGTACCCGAGAAACAGCGAGTAGATGATGGCGTAGACCATGCGGATCGACCCGGCGATCATCTGGTGCGATTGCAGCTCGAGACTGCTGCAGAGCACCAGGAACCCGGGCAGGATGAGCGCAATCGAGGACTGCGCGATGGCGGAAAAGCAAAACAGATACTGTCGACTGCCGTTGACAACAACCCCGGGGATGCTGCCGAAGGCGCGCGCCAGAAAGGACGTCAGCACCGCCGCCGTGACCTCTAAGACATTCGAGTACAGTGCGGAGCGCGGCGCCAGGACGTGTTGCATGATCCCCAGCAGACAGCCATTGACGAAGATAATCGGCATGTCGATGGGCCGCGCGCTGAACGCGAAGGGGCCCACCGTCGCCGAGGCCATCCCATAGGCCACCACGACGATCCACTTGTTGTACCGCGGCTTCATCTTCATGATGTCGTCCAGCTCCTGGATGGCTTCCTCGACACCCATCACATCGTGCACCACGTTCTTATAGATCCGATGGGTGTGCGCCAGCTTTCCCAGGCTGATCCCTTGGGCTACACGGACCAGCTTCACCTCCGTGGTTCGGGTCGTCGGATCGTCAAAGGACATGACCATGCATCCGGGGAAATAGAGGAATTGGCTGTCCACTTCCAGCACCCGCGCTGTCATCTGCATGTACTCCTCCAGCCGGTGCGTCGGGGCGCCAAAGGACATGAGCGATTTACACAGCTGCATGATGTATCGCTGCCGGGCGATGATCTCCGCAATCTGCACCGTCACCTGAATCTCGTCCTCCAACCGCATCCCCCTCTGCCCAGGCTGCTGCTGGCCACGACGCTTCGACGCGGCCGAAAAGACTTCGCTCGACACCGGCGTACTGGCACCACTCAGGCCGCCGCCCGAGATGCTGACTAGAGTCGACGTCGACCGATTCTGCTGTTTCTTATACCATTTTAGCTTCTCCTTCCTCGGTGTCGCGGCGCCAGACGTCCCCGCCTCCGAGGCCACGCTGGGCGACCGTTGCCCACCTTTTTTTGTTGTTGCTGTTGCTGCTGGCTCCCATGTAGCTTCATCAGCTGCGACAGGACGCCGCCACCGCCGGACCGATACCGCAGCCCTGAGTCAAGCCCGTACCTGCCCTGTCCCACCTGCTCACTCCCGGTCTGCGGATACGGCTTGCCGCGCACCTTGCGCCAGTGGCCGGATTGATCCTGCGTTAGCTCCCGCACCAGCCGGTGCGCCTCCCCTGTGGATGTGGCCTGGTCGGCCTTCTTCTGCTCGTGTGTCTTGTACTTGTCGTCAGTAAGATCCCCCAACGGAGCGTCCCCACCGGATGCCCATTCCGGATGGTAGACGGCGGGATGTAGGTCATCCCCACCTGGTTCGGGCCGTCCCAGCCGATCTGCCAGCCGCGCCACCTTATCATGCACAGTCTGCTGCAGCGAGCGGAATTTGTCTTTGGACGAGCGGCCAACGTCGCTGACTGCTTCCGCTGCCCGGGTGCGGACCGGCTTATCTGCCACCGGAGTCTTTTCTGCTTGCTTCAGGTCCTTCCCTGTATCAGTCCGCTCGTGGAGAGGCGTCTCAGTGATGTCTAACGACCCATGAAGGTATGGTGTCGAGATGAGATGGGGCTGCCCCTCGCGCTGCGCGGCGTCCCGCTCCTTTTCCTCTTCCTTACGAATAGCACTTTCATCGTCGCTAGTTCCGGACGGGGGCGTGCGCTTGCCATAATCGACGCTGACGGCGGATCGAAACCGGACCCGCTGTGTCCTCGGCGACGTTATATCGTTCGCCGGGAATGTCTCTGCCAGGGGCTGGCCCCTCCCATCGCCGTCCTGTCCGCCAGATGACCGAGGACTTCCTGGCGGAGTACCTGGCGGAGAAGTCGGTGATGCTGGACGCTCGGTGATGTCCTGGCTGTCGGCGCTTTCAGTTTGCTCTGGATTCGGATAACTTCGGTAGGTGATGAGGGAAGTTTGGCTCTCGCGCCTGGAGTCGGCCATGTGGCTGGTATAGTGGGAGCCGTTGGAACGTCCAGCCGTGTGCTTAGTCGACACATGAGACGTATCGACATTCGTGCTCTGCGAGTAGAATGGTAGCACAAGTCAAATGAGACTGTTTACCGAATGGGACAACCATGGAGTCAACAGCCATCCTCAAGTGCTTTTGGTCAACACAAAGCCTGCAGTCGCGATTAGCGTGCTGATTCAAGTAGTCGTCCAGGATAGAAATCGGAAGCAGTGATAACAAACGTCTCTGTCGATCCAAAGCAATCCGCGCAATCTCCTGAAGGGTTGATGTGATGTCGACCTCATATCGGAGTAGAGTTCCGAATCCATGGGACCATCTAACATTCGGAAGACTTTGATCTCTTATTCTCGCATTCAAGACGGACAATGCCAATATCAGCTTTTGTGGGAGTTGTGGCGTCAAGAACAGCAGGTATGGACGCCCTTGAGATACTAGAAGATGTATCCTAATACAACAAGCATGGATAATGAAATGCGATACGTGGACTAGATATTGAAGCCGGAGATGCCATCTTGATCAGTGGGGGAATGCCACGAAGGATTTCTATCGCTGAGCCCTCTCAATTGCCATTTCAACAAGCCTCTTGAGGCCCGATGGAGGCAAACCCTCGGTTCTCACGCCTGGTGTTGACTTTTCAGAATGGCTGCAATGAAATTCCAAGCTAGTGAAGTGAAGCCTGAGCGGGAAGTCAGAACTCCAGCAATTAGACTGCAGGGTGTAATCAAGTTCCATGACTTTGCGACGAGGCTCAAAGCCAGGGAAAGAGCCAATACTAGCTAGATCCTGTCGAGCTAGCCGAGATGACGACGTCAATGGGCCAAGTGTAGCCAACACCTGTAGCGAACTAGGGTATGTGGGCTGTGGGCCTTGCATCTGGGGCAATGCGGTGCTCCCAACCCCATACGAGGTCAGTAATATGATAGAAGAAGCTGTCCGTACAGCGCACTGCCTGAACGGTTCGACAGTTTTCCTTGACTGTAGGAATACTGGGTAATAAGATGAGTGTGCTGTGTGCATGCATGCTTGCTACCAGTCTCCCACCCCCCAAATCCCCAACAAAGATTACTCATCATGCACAGCCTCGGCGGCACCGCCACAGTTGTTTCTAAGATTATCGTGGGTGTTGCCACACTTCGGCACACAGTCCGTCCTGTACTCTGTAGAGTATCACCAGTAGCAAGAAAGTCAATCCAAACAAAACGGAGGATTGGTCTGCGGAAATAGCCGACTACCAGGGCTGGATCGAGAATCCTCCAGAATCTGTCAATGGACGTTGTGGGACCGTGGGACTGATGATTTCCCCCCAGCAAAACACCGTCAAGTTGTCAACCGTTCAACACACCCCCATATCGTCACCGCAATCTAAACAACCAAGAACCAACAATCAAAGCAGGAAAATGTCCCACTACCAACGTCATTCCTGCTTGGCAGTGCAGGCAACAGGCAACACAATAATCCGTGTGGAAGACTGGGAGTTCGAGTCTGTCGATCAGTGGATGTGTTTGTTTTTGATTCGGAGCAACTGATGTCGGTACTCGGTACTCTTGAGGCTCGGAAGAATGATGTATGTGGTCGATGGTTATTTTGCACGGTGCATATCTGACTAGTGGAGTCAGCCAAGTTTCACATCTCCACGATTGGCACATTGTGCTCCGAAAGACCCGTGGCAGTCGTCATTCGATCTGACCAGTAGTGAACCAAGTATCTGCTTGAAGCTCTGGAACTGGTGCTGGTACTCGATACTCGTACTGGATTGCGTGTTTGCCACGCTGCGCCTCGCGGTGGAGCCCCCTGATTCCAACTTCCACTCGGTCTAGTATATTTATTTATATATATCAATCAAAATGGAGGAACAGATATAAAGCGCCCTTCTGCTCTCTCTCCCAACCATCCACTCTAAGCATCCATCAATCAATCTCCTAAAAACAAGATCTATCTCGATCATCTTCACCTCCACCAAGCCCAAAGAAAGAAAGAAAACCCCCCCACTCAAACAAATAAAAACCATCAAAATGCAGTTCAAGTCCACCCTCCTCACCACCGCCCTCCTCCTTTCCTCCGCCGCCTGGGCCCAGGACAACAACAACAACAACGCCGTTGGCTCAATCGTCTCCGCCGCCGAGAGCATTGCCTCCGGTGGTGAGAACGTCGCCTCCGACATCAAGTCCGACGCAACCTCCATCGCCAGCGCCTTCCAGACCGGCGGCGCCGCAGCCGTCTCCTCGCTGACCTCCGAGGGCGCCAGCGCCGCCTCCAACATCCAAAGCTGGGCCACCTCGGTCGCCTCTTCCATCGCCTCCGACGCGTCCTCCATTGCCTCCGACGCTTCCTCCAAGTGGACCAGCCTCACCACCCTCACCGACTCCAGCGGCAGCGCAACCGCCACCCAGACCTCCACCGGCTCGCTGTCCTCCACCACCGCCATCATGACCCAGACCAGCACCATCGTCTCGGGCTCGCAGACCCGCACCGAGACGAGCACCAGCACCTCCACCGGCGCTGTGAAGCCTTCCAGCACGTCCGAGGGTGCTGCGGCCCAGGCGACGCCTTTCCTGCCTATGGGGATGGTCGGTGTCGCTGGTGTGCTCGGTGTGATGGCTGCTCTGTAAATAACGGTTATGGATTGAAGATTTGATTGATTGATTGATGGTGTGGACAGTGGGGGGTTGATAATGATTCTGGTTTCCTTTTTTTTGATTTTTCTCACTTTCCTTGATGATTCATGTTGAATTATATACCTGGTGGCTGCACGCCCTGTACATTTGTTCCGAATATGATCCATTAATTCACAACCAAACCTAAATCAGAGCTCCCGGTATCTCCGAAGGAAAATAATAAATACTCACCAGCGCCATGTATCTTCGAAGAGAGGTCAGAACAGCATCCCAAGGATGTCAAGCATGCTTCTCGTCAGATAACACCTCGCCCGCTGGAACCTCAACCGTCACCTTGGGCCCGGTGAACCAGCGCCGCGCAAATAGAAAGTAATACGCCATGCACGCAACCCACACGAACCCATTGATAACAATCGTGTAGTTCATCTCCTCGGCTACCCGAGACAGCATCACATCAGTATCGATCCTCAATTCCACAGAAAACCTACAGCACGCCAGTCCATCACACACAAAGAAAAAGAAAACGAAAGGGAAAAAAAAAAAAAAAAAAAAAAAACACTCACGACGCGGATTCGGCCCCCCACTGGGAAACATCGACAACACCAGCCCAAATACCAACCACAGTGTCGCGACGCACGCAATCGGCCGGCTCAGCAGCCCCGTGTGGAAGACCCCCGGTCGGAACCGCGTCTTGCTCCAGATCACCCGGCACAGGATCGGCGTGCCCCAGGCAACGTAGTTGCTCGCGACGAACAGCGAGAAGAGCGCGTTGGCGGCGACGGAGTTGATGAGGCAGAGGAGTCCGAAGACGATGCAGACGGCGGCGAGGCTCACCGTGGCGCGCACGGGCTGGTAGCGGAGGTGTTTGCGTTTGCTGACGTGTCGGAAGTAGCGCGAGAAGGGGAGGGCGCCGTCGCGCGAGAAGGCCCACGCTTGGCGGGACGCGGCTACGATCTTGATTTGAAAAAAAAAAAAAAAGCCAGACTTGTTAGTGGTGTGTGGTTTGCGGTGGCCCTGGGGGGGCTTGGATTTTCTTACCAGGCTCAGCCCAACCAGGAACTGGATCACGATCAACACGCCGGTGAAGCCGAGAGCGCCCCGTTTCCCGAGCGCGTCGTAGTAGATCTGCGCCATTGGCTGGCCGAACACGGAGCCTGTTGTTGCGCTGACGTCCCGGTTCATCGACGCGGCGATCACAGTCAGAACCAGGAATCCAAGGACACAAGCACACCCGGCCGACCAGAGAATTCCCAGTGGCACTGCGCGTGCGGCATGCAGCGCTTCCTCGCTCATGTGGACGCACGAGTCGAAGAAGCCGATGGACCAGATGGGCGCCAGAAAGGACAGGATGAAAGCCCACCCGGTCGGCCAGGCAGTGAGGTTCTCGACGTGGCCGAAGATATACGATGCGGGATTCAAGGCCTCGCCCCGGCGCACTTTGCCGACGGGAAGAGCGACGACTGTCGCGACGATCATGGCGGCGTTGACGACGATCGAGAAGATCTGGATCTTCGGCATGACGGGTCCGGCGAAGACGGCGCAGACGGCGTGCAAGAGGACCACGCCTACATAGACCCCGTAAATGATCCCGTTAGAGGCAGACCATTGTCCATCACGAGCGATCGAGACGCATGCGAGTACCAGGAGCGAAAGCGTATCTGCGGACGTGAGTGTGTGCACATTATAGCTGGACGACGGGACAAACAATCAACGGAACAAATGCCACCGATCAAGCCAAGGGTATTGCTGTATCCGACGAGGAAGCTCAAGGCGTTCTTGTACTTCTCACCCGCGAAGTAATGCGTCCACCAGTACAGGCCTCCCGCCGTAGGCATCGCAGAAGCCATATCCGCCTATCCCGGTCAACAGTGCTGCAGCGAAAGAGCGCGCGGAAGTCCGCGCATAAAACCGAGCTGCATACCATCGCAAGACCGACAACGAAGATAAGTATACTCGTAGTGAGCCACCCCTACGCGAGTGAGAAAGAAGTCACAAAGCAGGATCGGAGAGACGCACCCACACCATCCCTACTGGCCCCGCTGGGAGGGAAAAAGCGAGCGTGGACGCGATCGAAGGCACTAAGCCCATGATGCTGAACGCAACCGCGAAGATCTCCAGGGTCGAGTACTGTCGCCGTAGCTCTTGCTTGTATCCCAGCTCGGCTTTTCCAGTCAGCAGCTAGATGCACATGTCCCCAGTCTGATCCTCACCCAGGAGTGTCGTATCATCCACCACGCCCGTTGAGACGTCATTCTCAGCGCGCAGCTCCCCCTCGGGGCGCATTTGCGAATCTATTTTGGCAGACATTCAAGCTTCGAGAGTCCGAATAGAATCTCCACCAAGGTATGTCGAGGCTCGGCGGGACCAGTCGAGTATTTAGTATTTATATCAAGAAGATATCCACTCCTTACCATGATGTGAGACATTATGAAGTGAAAAATTCGGGCGGATTCCAATGCATCTTCTGCGTCAGGCTGTCAGCAGCCACAGCAGGCATGGAGATAATAAGACAGGGTTGTTGATGTTATGGTAGGACAATCTGATCAGGGATGGATAATGGGGGATGATCAACACGGATCATTCGTGCAGAAGATCGGTCCACACTCCACACATTTCCCTGAATTACTTTAAACCTCGACAAGGAATAAACCTTGCAGACCTATCTCTGTGGTGTCCTCAAATAGTCTCCTGAGCCTGGGGCTGAGCTTCTAATACCACAGCCAGGACAATTGGATATCGCATCATCATAATCATTCACCTTTTGTGCGAATTCTTGACTTCCTTGGTCCTCCGTACACGGAATGGAATGGACAGTGTGGTTACACCAATCCCGCCGCTATAGTCTCTGGTATGAATAGTGTTTTCGACCCACCTCCAAGGACTCGCTCACTAGGGAGTCTGGATTTTGGCTGCTTAGGACGAAACAGTCGATCGGCCCCGGCGGAAGATGTGGAGCTGAGCAATCTCACGATTCTGACTTCCGATCTCCATGATGGGCAATAGTCATCGCAGGGGTCTGGACAATTATTGCTGCACATGCGGTCCCAGCCCGCATCCCTTGGGAGGACACGGCAGGGCCATCCAGGCTCTTCGTTTCATGTGCTGTTGCTTATCAAAATTGGACGGGAATTCTCTTTGCATCATCATGTAGGGCTATCTTCTTTCTGTGGAGATGGAGCTGAGTCGAGCAATGATTCTAAGCGCTATCAAAGTAAGAGTGCAGACAGAGAGTGGCTCTTTTAAGATCGCTGGGTCGGTGGAGCACAATCATGTGGAGCTCAGACTCGAAGGGGAGCTCATCGATCAAATTGAAGACAATTGAATTAGTGATAGATCTGCCAACGACACTGTGGATGCAAATTCGATCCAACAAATGCTGATTGCTGGCCTTTGGACTCATTCGTTGCGTTCGAGATGAAGGCGCTTAGTATCGACCCATTCGCCCTCGGATACTGCCTCTTTCCACCGCCTTCAAACCTGAGGCACACTAACCCGTCTTATGTTACACCCCCATCTGTTTGTACAATCCTGTTCGCTTCTAAATACATGCCATCTCACCTACAGATGCCATTGTCCCACCCACTCTATGCATTCCATCACACCTGTTCAGCTCCATTCGGGATTCCACCATGCGGTGCAAAGTTAGCCGGTGCACCACTGGTTGGTGCGGGGGTAAGAGAAGGATTCCGTCCGCCAAACGTCGATTCGGAGAAGTTTGTTGAAGTCCTTCCGTTGGATTCATCAAATGATTCGCCCCTGGTCTTTGCCTCTGCTTCCCATTCGTTGTTATCCTGTCCCGGGTTGACGGTCTCATACTGGAATAGCCTGAGGAACGTATAGAAGCCGCACGCCAGCAGGGATCCGAGGAGCGGTCCGACCCAGTAGATCCAGTGGTACCCAGGGAAGGAGCGGTTGATCACATCGGGGCCGAGGGAACGGGCAGGATTCAGAGATCCTCCCGTGTAATAATCACCTGGGATCTGTCAGTACTTCGCTACTTCGGATGAGCACTCTCCACATACCAATCATTTCCGCGACGAAGAAAGCGAGACCGATGGCCACGGGGGCCAGGAAAGTGGATTTCTGTTTCACAACAGCCAACATGATGATGACAAACACCAGTTGCGCCGTCAGAAACATCTCAATGAACAGGCCCTGGGAGATGGAAGCACCTCCCCCCAACCGGGTTGTGACGTTGAGGGGGCCTGGAAAGAGAGCGCTGACCACGCCTGCGGCGGCAATGCCGCCAACAATCTGCGCAGCGAAGACGAGCACGCCGCGAATCGGCGGCATGCCTCCGACCAGACATAATGCCAGAGTGACCTATCGTCGTCAGTCGATGAGATCGTGATAACGGCCGTGATTGAGCTTACGGATGGGTTGAAGAGGCCGCCGGTGACCCGGTAAAATGCCCACACGTTGACCGTCAAAGAGAAGCCGAAGCACAGAGAGGAGTACAGAAGAGCTTCTAAGTTTGGTGGAGAGCCCGGGGCCGGCTTGGGAGTGTTCGACACCTGGGTCCCAGCGTACGAAAAGAACAGGAAGAGGAAGGTGCCCACGAATTCTCCTACCATGGCAATCATGTTATTGCGAAGACTCGGCGCCAGATGCAGCATGGGGAGCTGCGACCGGGTGGATCGCACCATAGGCCGCCTATTTTGCTTGAGGCTTTTTTAAACAGCGGCATTTTGTCGGAGACGTAGACGCAGACGTAGACGCAGATGCAGACAACGATGCAGGAGGGAGGAATGTGGAATCCTTTTGAGGGAACCCACATGCGAGAACACATGGTGTTCATCTCTTATAACCAGCACAGGGAAATCTAGGGTTTGTTGTGGTAGACGTCATATGACATCTTGCAGAGGATCGCTGGGGTCCGGAGTCCCCGTTCACTTGATGTTATAGATCACCGGGGATGCATTGATATCCTTGGTTGAATCGCGGAGACACCACCATTTCCGGCCATCTGGGCTCGCAGCAATAGACGAATACGAGAATGATAACAGAATTTCCAACGGCCCAAGAGTCCAGACATAGACTTGTGGAGGCATCATGATGTTTATTCTGTGTACAAGGTAGTTCTGATAGGAGCAGGAATGGGCATTAGCCTCGGACCGCAGATGAACTACTGTAGTCTTGACATCAGCGTTATCTGGGAACCATAATTGTCCAATGGTCATTGATATGTTATCCTCTCTTGCTATAAGTAGGTCGAAAAGATCGAGATCCAGATTGAAGATCCTAGAATAGTGTAGGTTAGCTAAAGAAACAAAAAACTTCTTATAAGTTTTCATCTGCTGGTGCACAGTGCACACAACAGTACAGTGCATAACTACAGTCGATGAGTAATTATACATTTCACAGCACGTGACTCGGCACTGAGGCCGGCCGAGTGGAAGTTGAGCATTCCGAAAAGATCCGCGCGGGATTTTGTTCGCAGATGGCCTGACGTGGGGTGGGATGGGATGTGTTAGGCTATTAATATTGCCTTCGGCATAATTGGGAAAAGAGGATTGAAGAATTAATTAGTCAGGGTTTCTTGAGTATCTCCGGGGACAGAATATTAATGACACATGGAGTGTGGGAACCGAAGCCTTGACTCTGACTGCAGGATTTCCCCTCATTTCTGATAGAGAGATGAGATCTCATTGAGTCCTGTGGGCGAGATATCACATCATTAAGTACATATAAGTATATAGATAGGAGAGTAGAGGGGGATCGAGTAGTCTTTGTTGCTTTCAGGGTAGTTCAATCCATTCATCGGATATTCAAATGTAATAATTGGTACGTGACTGGCTGGCGAACCCAACGTATCTGCAGTGTGCCTGTTGATCCTCTGGATGAGGGTTCTTCTTTTCCTTGTTCTGCTGCGCTTCTTCAGCGCCTCCGCGGAGATGTCTGTATAGCAACACCCCATAACCGCCCTCCCAGCGGCGTCGGGATATCCACAGGGAAAAAAAAAAAAAAAAAAAAAAAAAAACTTCGAGTATGGCACGACCTGCATGAAAGAGAGGTGGTGATGGTGGTTATAAATACTCTTGACAGCATCCATCTTTTTCTGTATTTCCCCAAGATTCACTATCACGATCATCACTTGCCCTATACACATACACCATGCCTCTCTCGCCTGAGCAGATCCAAATCATCAAGGCCACCGTGCCTGTGCTGCAAGAGCATGGAACGACCATCACCACGGTCTTCTATAAGAACATGCTCACAGCGCATCCCGAGCTAAACAACGTCTTCAACTCGGCGCACCAAGCCACAGGCCACCAGCCCAAGGCGCTGGCCGGTTCGCTCTTCGCCTATGCCTCCAACATTGATAACCTGGGCGCTCTTAGCCCCGCGGTGGAGCTCATTTGCCACAAGCACGCCTCGCTGTACATCAAGCCTGACGACTACAAGATCGTCGGCAAGTTCCTCCTGGAAGCCATGGGCCAGGTGCTGGGCGACGCGCTGACGCCGGAGATCCTGGACGCCTGGGCGGCCGCGTACTGGCAGCTGGCGGACATCATGATCGCGCGCGAGGACCAGCTGTACCAGGCCAGCGAGGGCTGGACGGAGTTCCGCGACTTCACGATCGCGCAGAAGGTGGCCGAGTCGACCGAAATCACCTCCTTCTACCTCAAGCCCGTGGACGGCAAGCCGCTGCCCGCCTTCCGCCCCGGCCAGTACATCTCCGTGCAGGTGCACGTCCCTGATCTCAACTCCGCGCAGGCGCGCCAGTACTCGCTCAGCGACAAGCCGCACGCCGACTACTACCGCATCAGCGTCAAGAAGGAGACCGGGCTCAACCCGGCCCACCCGGGCTACGTCTCGAACCTGCTGCACGACTTCCACAAGGAAGGCGACACCATCAAGGTCTCGCACCCCTACGGCGACTTCTTCCTGTCTGACGCCCAAGCGGCCTCCCCCGTGGTCCTCATCTCTGCCGGCGTCGGCCTCACCCCGCTCACCTCCATCCTGAACACCCTCACCGCGGACCCCGCTACCTCCCAGCGCAAGATCCACTTCATCCACGGCGCACGCACGTCGCAGGCCCGCGCCTTCAAGAAGCACGTCGACGCCCTCGCCCAGCAGCTGCCCAACCTCCAGTCGACCTTCTTCACCAGCAGCCCCGCGCAGGACGACAAGAAGGGCGAGGACTACCACCACGCTGGGCGGGTGGATCTGAGCGTCTTCGCTGACGCGGACCTGTTCCTGGACAATGCGGCCGCGGAGTACTACGTCTGCGGGCCGGATCTGTTCATGACGGATATGCTCAAGAACCTCACGGCGAAGGGAGTCAGCGAGGACCGCGTGAAGCTGGAGTTGTTTGGCACCGGTGGTGTGCCTCATGCTTGAGTCGGGGGGGTTTTGTGCTTTTTGATCCCGGTTTCCCGGAGTACCTGATACCAGAATGGCGGGCTTTGTTGTTTTGGATGGTTTCCCATAGTTCCTCGCTTTGAATAGATCTCTCCTCTTACGAATTACGATTTCTACACCGTTGCTCTTCAGCATAACCTATTCCATGGTCCATGGATAGCAATAGTGATTCTATGCTGTAATTAATCTGTCTACAGAGTACTCAATGTCTGTTTCGACTGGGGCCAAAACAAAAAACAGCCCATTGATCAGCATTGGATCCACCATCACCTGGGACTGCTTGGTTTGTGGGGAGTCCGATTCCGGAAGCCGTCTAGGCCATGATGAGATGTTTGTCCTTTGTAGTTTGAGACTCTGGTTATTGGTCACCCGGTTACACAAACGCCCGACTGAATCCCAACCCATCATACCGCCTCCCTTTCTACCAGCATGCCAGATCAACCGGTGTCATTTAGAGTAAGGTACGGGCCAACCTTATCCTCCAGCCAAAGGATACTTCCAGACATGGCTGGCAAATAGGAACAACAGGGAAATTTCCGAGTCCATGTCATCTCCCGCCGATTCACGATGACCAGCTACAGCTATGTGAGTCGAGTCAGGGGCGCACAAGGTATGCTGGAGCTGGTGCACGGCAACACGGATGCGAAAACGGGGTACTTTTCTCTCCGGTTTTGGGGGGAAGATGGAAAAATTTGCTTCACCGCTGTCTTTCGGTTGGCTTGGAAGGAATTTATTGGTGATGTCTTTCTGTCTGAAATGCGGGAAAAGGGCTCGAACCGGCCACTGGTCCAGCAAGGAAGAGGAGCAGCTCGTTCAGTAGAGCCTTGTGTGTAGGACAGATGGTGTTTTTTTTTTTTTTTTTTTTTTATGGCAAGATGGATTGGATTATTTACTCGAGATGAGATAGTTGAGATGGCCTTAGCAACGATGAGCGCATGCTGCCCAGCTAGCATTTTTTTGTTGTGATAGGGTGTAAGTGGATACTGGTTGTTCTGCTTGGTCCCTTGGTTGTGGTTTATGGAATATATTGTGGTGAAATGAGACAGAAATGCTCAGTAAGCAGATTGACATGGTTAATGGCTTTTATGTTTCTTGACACTCATTTGCTACTCTGCTGTAGTGAATGTGAAAGAAGAGCTACCGTGTTTGCAATTGAATGAGGCTATAACGCAACCGAACATGGGTATATCCAATATAGGTACCTATAAGATAGCAGATATAATATACAGATTCTGAACAAGGAGTTGGCGGTAGCTTATTGATCCTTGTCCAGGTAGCTCAGCCAATTGATGAGACTATTAGTAGTACTAACTAGATAGATCCCAGCACTATTGGCGTCATATGCATACACACTGCCGATCCAGCTAAAAAAACTGGCTTGTGTGACAGTCTGACAGACCAACTATTCCAGGACTCTCTCTCTCTTTCTTTCTCTACCACACCGACTTTCTTGCTTTCCAATGTGATAGAGCACACTAACCTAGGAGATGAAGGTAGATACCCAATATCCCGGTGACCAACGTTGCTTTCTCTCTCGTAGATTTGTAATCCGGTGCCATATACGTCATGCATCACAAAGACATCATCCGCATTGGGAAACCTCGCCAGAGACAGGAGACTCCGATTAATAATGTGAGTCGACGGAAAGAGTCAACAGGTACTGACTGAGGCCGGACTATAAGAGACCGTCCCCTGCGATTCACTCAGAACTTCTCTCAGCACCCATCACACAGCAATCCCACTATCACCCCAACCCAACAAACCAACAAACCAACACACACACACACACACACACACACACACACCATGAGCCAGAAAATCGGCATCTTCCCAGCCTCAGGCGCGTTCGCAACGAGCATCATCAACCACCTCCTCAAGCTCGTCCCCGCGTCGCAACTCGTCCTCATCGCGCGAAACCCAGAGAAGCTCGCCTCGCTCTCCGGCGCCGGCGCAACCGTCCGACGAGCCGACTACGATGAGCCCCAAACCCTCGACCGGGCCTTCGACAACGTCAGCATCCTCATGCTCATCTCCTACGCCTCGTTCGAAATCGAGTATCGCATCAAGGTACGCTTCACCTCCCCCCCCCCCTTTTCCAACAAATCAACGCAGCTAACCGAAATCCCCAGGCCCACCGCACCGCCATCGACGCCGCCCGCCGCAGCGGCGTCAAACACATCTTCTACGCCTCGCTCGCCTTCGGCGGCGATCTAGGCGAAAGCAGCGTCGCACACGTCATGGGCGCGCACCTCGCGACGGAGAAATACCTCGCCGAGCTGCCCGGCCCCACCACCTACACCGCGGTCCGCGAGGGCCTGTACTCGGAGTCCTTCCCGATCTACACGGCGTGGTTCGACCTGCAGAACCCCGTGGAGGACGTGTGCATTCCGCACGCGGGCACGGGACCGGGGGTTGCGTGGGCGAAGCGCGATGAGCTCGGCGAGGCGACGGCGAAGATGGTGCATGCGTATGCGAAGAACCCGGCCGGGTTCCCGTATCTGGATCGCGTGGTGCTGCTGTCGGGTCCGCGCGAGGTGAGTATGAGGGAGACGGTGGATGTGTTGGGGAGGGTGGTTGGGAAGCCGGTGCGGATTCGTCAGATCGGGGTCGACGAGTATGTGAAGCTGCCGCAGGTTGGGGATAAACATACCTACCACGGGGTGAACCTGGCGCGCGAGTGGGCGACGGCGTGGGAGGCGATTGCGCGCGGGGAGGCGGCGGTGGTGTCGCCAGTGCTGGGGGAGATACTGGGGAGGGAGCCGGAGGATTTTGAGACGACGGTGAGGGCCATGGCTAGTTCGTAGATGTGTTTGTTTATCATGGGGATTTTACTTGGGGGTATATGGTAGCTTTATTCAGATAATTGTAATAGAATAGTGATGTATGGAATCAGAGTCAGTTGCTTTTGACAAACTGGAAGCTGTACTGTATGCTGTGGCTCAAACATAGGCATAGAGGTATGCCATACTTCTTCACAAGACACCTGCTCGTAAAGTCAGCTCGCTACTTTTCCATTTCCATTCTGACTTCTTTTCCAATCAACTGGACAGAGCAACATTCGAAAAGCCAACGTGTTGAACACCATCACAACCCCACGCTAGCTATTCCGCCGACAGTAGTAGTGACTAGTGAGCCCTAGTTAACACACCACCACCGACCAGCCGGCAATAATCTCATCCGCAGTCAGCTCTCGGTGAAGTAGACCCAAGATAGTAGGTCCAGGCTGAACTCCACCGACGTAAGTAGGTAAATAGTCTAAATCGTCAACGGTCGGATCCTTGATCCTTCAGTCTGGACTCTCCTCCCGAGCTCTGGGACTGGGAGAACTGGGGACTGGACTTCATTGAGTGGATGCCTCCATGCTGTCAAGCTCAATCCACGGATGCGCCGGACGGGAGTGAGGGTTCGGGTGGTCAGAGCTTTTTTCGACCATGCCAGACTCAGTGATCGTCGATGGTCTTTGCACCTGTCAGTGTCAAGCTGTCAGTGACTCAGTGTCCGTAGCTTTGAGCCTCCATAGAGGTCGAACTTGGATAGGTGATAGATATACAAAGTGTCCATAGCGTTGGAATGAGGATATATCATATATTCAATATATGGCTTTAGTTAGTTCAGTATACACAAACTCAGAAATGCAAACCCACCAATTTCTTAAACCCATCCGGACCCTCAACGCGGGATACACATCTCTTAACCACTGCCGTTGCACTCTGTGCCTCCTCTCCTACCCGTGTCTGTAACCCTTGCCATCGATTATTAGGTAGCTACCTATAGTCTATATTCTAATAGTCCATGCCTTTCTCCGTAGAATAACCCGTAGTCATACCCGGTCCCAGGGTCACGCGTACCCGTGCCGCGATCTCGGGCGAGAATTTGCATCTCGGAATCACCAACAAAAAAGTCACCTCACTTTCCTCTGGATCACCTCCGAATCTTGATTTGATTTTTGTGATTCGGAATTCAAATCACCTGTCCATAGATGGGTCTTCGCGGACTCCGTGGTTCCCTTGGACTTTGACTCTAAGTCTCTAACTCTCTGACCCTGGGCTGAGCATAACCTTATTGCCCAGGCTTTGAGGTTACCAGTCTCGTCCCGTCCCACTAGATCCGACAGTCTACAGGTCCCCTTGGATAGGTCAATTGGTTCTCCGTAGGGTCCAGTTAGTCGTTACTAAGCAGGTACTCACTAGTATCGTGTGTAGGACCCTACTTACGGATAGTACGATCGCAACGATATTCCTCAGGCGCACGCCGCTGACGTGCCAGGGTCGATTGGTAACACTAACTACGACCGTCGTAAAACTGTAAAACACCGCCGTGATGGAAACACTAGCGCCCGTAGTTTCATCCAGACTAATGAGCAGAGTGGGCTAGTGAGACGTTGAGAAGAGTCCTGAGTAGACTACTACTTGTTAGGAGGAAAATCCTCAGGCTTGTCCATCATCCGGGATCACACCACTATTGTGGCATGCAGCCAGACCCTTGGGATCCGGCATCCGCGCCGGTTTGTTCCCCATACTGGTCCGCGGATACACCCGACGGTCGACTGAGGAGCGAAAGAATCGGGACATGTCAGCTGGATTGAACGCATGCTGATTGGGGGAAGTATGGAGGAAAAAATGCAGGGTGGGTTTCAGACTTGTCGGGTCCGGCGCTATCTGGGGTAGTTTGGTCCACTGTGAAGGAGGAAGGAGGATTAGGAGTGCATCAAAAACAGAGCGGTAGGTAGATACTACTATCACTATTCACTACAGAATATGGACTCTGATGAAGCTATTACTAGGTATCTACTAACTCAGGATTCCGATGGCTGTTTGATGGGCGAGACTAATGGTTAGGTAGTGTTGTTTGAGGATGGATTGATCGGTAGTTGGATCTGAATAGTACCCGTGCTAAATCATGAGCCTGGGCTGGCTGGAACTGGAAGAGGTACCGAGGAGGATGTGATCTGTGTGTTTTTTGCTCCATATCTATCCATATCTATCCATAGTCCATACCCACATCCATATCCACATCCATATCCATATCCATTTCCAGATGGTATATGTGATAGCTCTTCGATGAGGGCATATCAAGTACACACTGCCGTATACTCTACACTCTACAGTATTGTTCATGTTCATGTTATTCCATCATGGCAAGTGGACGTCCTCATCTCAATCATCCAGCCAAGATTGTTTGTCGCTTGACTAAGGAAAGAGATACCTAAACTACTCCATCCTCCGTAGTATCTTCATCTATCAACGAGATGAGGGATAAAATCAGTTCCGCCACCAAACCAAGACAGACGAACAAGGGGGCGTATCTGGATAACCGTAATCTAAATTTTCTCTAGGGCAAGCAGGGTAAGATTGGGTTAAGTACATACCGGCCGTGGATTCGGGCCCGACTGCAGCTGAGCCTGTGACGAGTTTCGGCCGAAGCACCTTGGCATCAGCGCGCTGATTGGCTGCCTGCAGACGAATTGTTCCGTTTTCTCCCTGCTTGTCCAACGGTTGTGCAGCGTGGAATTTTCTGCACTCATCGGCCCTGTACCTTTTTGTTTTTTTTTTTTTCGATCTTGATTCTGCCTGTCATTCTCGTCTCGGAGGTTGCCTTCTGATTTGATAAAACTCCCCTAAAAAAAAAAAAGATGATCAACGGTATTCCATCGGAGCCGACCGAGAGAGACTGGATGCTCTGCATCCGGGCTGGGGTGATCTCGGTCGCACTTCACCGGACCAGTCGTAGGTACTGGGGACTTTGAGTTGTTTTTTTTCTCTAACCACTACTGTACAGTAGTGTACACAACTGCCACGAGTCTAGATGTTCTGACATCACCTTCGGGCGAGCTTTCGGCCTAAACCACGGAGAATAATCAAATCTTGGGATTTACGAAAGTTGTTTATATAGCTCTCGGCGTGGCCTGTCCAAAATCTATAATTCTCCTCATCCACGGTTCAAGCTTCACAACCATTTATATCTACATCTATATCTGCATCTGCATCTGCACTTCGCATCACCTGCCTCAGATCACCAGATCTCATATCCACTCACCACACCACCACCACCATCATGGCATACAATAGACCTGATGCCGCCATGGCATTCTTCGATGAGGACCGCTTCGTCCCTCAACAGCCCAAAGGCCCCGATCCATTGTCCGCCAATTGGAGCTATGACAGCGCCATTGATCTCTTCTCGCTGAACACCATGCTCCCGGAGACCTTCCCGATGGATGTCCCCAACGATATGCTTCTCGATCCAAAGGATTTCCCCGTGGATCTCTTTGCGCCGCCCGCTGATATTAGCGGGTTTGCCATCTCCCACTCTGGCGAGGACTCCGTCTCATCGGTAGGCTTTCCATCTCCATAACATGTACTATCTAATGATCGACACTAACAATCAAAAAAACAGGATCTCGAAAGTGATGATCAATTGTGGTCTCCCGCCTACCGCGTCTCCTCTCTGGACTCGGCCCCAGATGCTCAAGCCGTCTCTCCCCGCACGGTTGAGAAATCCAACACCCGCCGCAGAACCACCACCGCCACCACCACTCAAAAACCTCGTGAGGTGCCTCGCTGGTCCTCCAGCCCGGAGATCACGCCGCAGGAGTACTCTATTCCCGCGCAGATGATCTCGCCCACACCAGCTCCCGCCCCCGCCTCCCCGGCTCCCTCTTCGCGCAAGAACTCGCGCAGCATGTCCACCGACTCGCAGACCGCTTCGGGCCGCAACGCCGCCAAACGTGCCGCCCACAACATCATCGAGAAGCGGTACCGCACCAACATGAACGCCAAGTTTGTGGCTCTCGAGAAGGCCATGTCGGGCAGCGGGGTCCAGAAGCCCACTAAGAGCGGCTCGTCCGCCTCGTTGAAAAAGTCGGAGATCCTGTCCAATGCCATCTCGTACATGCAGGAGCTGCAGGACGAGAATGCCGCGCTGCAGAAGGAGCTGGCGCTGCTGAAACAGAATCTCCTCCCGGGCAGCTTGTGGCGTCATACCAAGGATGAGACGTTTCGGTCGTGAGACCACGATGTCTTTTTACCCTTTCTAATGACTCCTGTACACTATAACGAATTTCTTATCTGTTTTCTTTACACTTATAATATGGGATATTCTCCTATCGGATTTTGGCGTTGGCATGGAGCGGAGCAGAACTGGACTGAATGGGATGGGACTGGACTGGACTTCTTACTGGCTTATTCCCGTCGATATACCCAAAAGTTCACTTCTTGTCTATTATACTCGACTATCACCCTACCCTACTCTAGACTTTCCAACAATCATCAATCAATCTATCTATCTATCTATCTATTTGCCAAATAACTGTTTTCCAATTTCCAATCCTTTAACCATAATCATAATCAGAAACTAATCAAATAGTTATATCATCCTGATGTAAGCCAATCCCCGGACGCAATCAGCACCATGCATACGGAGTACATACAACATCTCCCACTTCCACAACTACACTAAGACTGACAGGGATCGACCTCGGCGACGCGGGACGGCAATCTAAACCCGACCCGTCTCACTTCCAACGGTGGACTTTTGCCGTGCCATCCATACCCCATACCCTTAAGGTAGTCTGCACTCTTATAATCGTATTCTCTAGTCTCATACAGTAGTGTAGTCTATCCTCAATAGTCTGTATACAGATTTCCCCCTAATCTCTGCAGAGAATCGAGTCCACACGCTACTACCGTCAGCAAAACCCAACTCGTATCCCCATTCCCCCATTCCCCCCAGATGAGCACCGCAGTGCATAGTGCATAGTACATACACTACACCACGGACCCGGGAATCCATCCCAGAAGGGCCGGATGAGGCGGTCGTGCATGCAGAGTTTTGCTTAAGCGGGTGGTCTGGCCATGGCGGGGAGTGGGGACGGAGTTTTTTTTTTTGGCGTTCCCACTTTTCCCGTTTTACAGTCTGTTTGTTGATTTTTCATTGATGGTGGTGGTGTTGGGCCAGGGATCTACGGGTACGAGGATTGCGGAGCCTGTATTGTGTCTGGGGATTGCCATGCACATTGCATATGCATGGAAACGGAAACGGATATGGATATGGATATGGATATGGATATGGAAGTTGGATTTGATCTCATCTTGACATAATCCGGATGATTATGAGGGAGATTCTTCTCGCGAAGTACGGAGTACGTTGGGTGGTGTTTGATGAAGAGAAGATGATCTTGTAGTGAAGAGCTTGCTTGCTCGCTTGTCCTTATCCTTGTCCCTATCCCTGTTGATGTGAGTAGGGTAGCACAGGATGTAGTTGGAGATCATTGCTCAGTCGGTCGGTCAATCACTCTGAAGTGGCGAGTCAGAAAGCCAGTGGAAAAAAATGACTCGGGAGAGGTAGGTGTGGTCATTCGAGCATCATCTTGGATAACCTCGGTCTATTTGCAGTGATCCTGGACGGTGGTCGACGTCATTAGTGCTTGCACGTGAGTAATGACTAATACCTTGTGCCTCAGGCTCATATTCTATTTCCCTGTAGGTTGGCGCTGGCGAGTCACGTGGCTCAATTTCACGGAAGTTTGTTCCTGATCAGATTCAAAGAGAAATTAACTGTTCTATGACTCTTTATTTCGATGACTTAAATGCTAACCCTTGCATCCCATAATTACCCAGCAGATCGCACGTCTCCCCATGGGTATCACCGAGGTACCTCAACTCACATAACCATGGTGTTGCCATGAGAACCAAGGCACAGATCGATAAGATCAATCAGTCCGGACCCTGCATCTGTGAGTGTGGGACCATCTCTTGAGACCCAGCCACGAGGTCTGCTAGCGCAAGTGCTGCTGAACCCCGAGTCAGTCTGACAGCTGTCATATGCACCGGAGTCTGGAGTGCTCCGTCTGACTCGTTGGGTATCCCCACAGTCCTGCGCTCGGAAGTGGTTTTTATCCGTGTGTGCTGACTGCCGGGGGTGCGGAAAAAGTATTCGCGGGGATAACGGATAACAAGAGTAGAAGGATTGTTTGTCGCGATTCGCTTCTGCGGGCCGGCCCATTGTCGAGTATGGTGGGTATGTCTCTCGTCGGCATATTTCTCGGACGGCAATAGTTCGATCTTCCCTTTGCTCTCGGCTCGTTGCCATGCTTCAGGCGGTGGTAGATTTGTTCGGTGCGATGACTCCGGATCCGCTCTATCCGGCTATACGGCGCGAGAGTTTACTATGGACTTGCGCCTTTATATAGGCCAAGGGGCGTCGGGTTGGATATGAAGGTCTATGGTGGTCGTGGTGACACTTCTTTTCAAAGACTTGCGCATGCGGTTTTTGACTTTCGCCCTAATTTCAGTGGCTAGAGTGCTGACTGCGTTTCATTTGGTTTGGAATGGAAACCACATCGTCAGCGTCGGAGTATGATGAAGCTCAAAAAGGTGAATTACACAATTGCACAACAAGAGAGAATGCCGTGTCTTTTGAGCAGGTTGCACTGATCTAGTCGGTGCCACTTCTGAGCAGAACGGCGGGTCTCTTGTCGGCGAGGAGTGAATTCAGCCATAACGCGGATAGTTCCGACGACCTGCTGGGCCTTGAGGTTAGTCTCATCTCCGGCACACAAGTGGACGAGGATAAGCCGCATCGTGCAGATTAGCTTGGCGAGCTTGTGCGCTATCTGGATAGAAGACCCCTATAGCAAGTAGATATATGGGTGGGGAAAGGGTCGAAATAACTGGTCGAGGACAATATGGAATAGGAGCAGTAGCGGGATACCATATTTGACTGTGTGAATGGTAACAAGATATTAAGACGGTATATACACTAGTCTACTCATTTCTATACAGGTATATTAATCCTAGGTACAGAAATCCTAAGTGGTTTAATCAATACGGTTGCTCTACACCTCGAGACTTGCTATATCTCTGACTAGTATACAGGGAGCGTGTAATGAAGAAGCGCGTATAAAACAAACAAACTCTATTAGAGTATTTTTACCTCTCTCGATAGAAGATAAGCTGCAGTGTACGTTCACCAACAAACAACGGCATGGAGTCGCGAACGAGACCATCCGGCTACCTATCCCCAGAAAACCCCATTCCAACCCTCAGCAAGAGGACCGAGAAGACGAGCCCAGACCGCGTCTACTGGTCGAAGGCACGAGCGTGTCTGCGCTTGCGACGGCCAGAACAGGTACCGGTGCTTCCCTTCGAAGGGGGAGCGGTGGCTTGGGGAGCGCTGGTGTGAGAAGGAGCGGTGGTTGGGGAAGCGTTGGTCTCAGGAGCGGTGGACTCGGTGGCGTTATGCACGTTGGAGCCTGAGTGGGAGCCCGAGCCACCGGTCCAGACAGCAGGGCCCGGCATGGGGTACTCCTTGTAGCCCTGGTAGATGCTGAAGTTGAAGGACGGGTCGTTCTTCTTGTATGCGCCGGGGAATTTCACGGTAGGACCGGGGGTGCCGTTGCCGCCGCCGACGACCTTGACTTGAGCACAGCTGGGATTTTCCGTTAGAAAGATGTGATTGAGCCAGGGGGTTGGACGGGGCGGGTTTGGGACTTACGTGTTGTAGAACTCGGCCTGTCCGACATGAGCGCCGTGGACACCTGTATTCGTGTTAGGACCGTGGTCACGTCATGGGTGAAGACACCCGTCTGGAATGCGCTTACCAATGTGCTCAGGGCGGATAAGATACTCTCCATCAGGAAGGTCGGCGGGAATGGTGAACTCAATGCGGTCCTTGCCCCAGGTGCACCAGGCATCCCTGGTGAAGTCGGCGTTCTTGTTGCAGACGCTCTCCTCATGGATCTTGAACCATTCATTGTCACCCTGGTAGGCCTTGGCGGCGCTGGGAGCCTTGGACATATACACCAAGCCTGGGCCAGGGTGCTGAAAGGTGGCACCAACAGCGAGCTTCATTGCCAGCTTGGAGCCAGCCTTAACCTCAGCGGTGCCGGTCTTGCCAGCAAAGGTAAAGGCGCCCTTGTTGCAGCGGAAGTCGGTCACGTCAGGGGTCATGTCATCCCGAATATTCACCCACTTGGTTGGGTTGTACTTGGCCGGGCGGGTGTTGGAGCGGACGAACTCATTGCTCTTGGTCTCCTTGCCATCGATGACCAGGACGTCAAAGAAGTAATGGGCGGACACCAAGGGGGCAATGGCCGAGAGGGCAAGCAGGGAGAGCTTCATCTTGAGAAGTGTACAAGAAAAAAAAAAAAAAGAGAGTGGAAGATCTAGTATTGATACAAGAATGAGTGGAAGGGACCGGCCCAAGAAGCAAAAGATTGTAGGATTAAAAGAGGCAAAAGTAAAGACAGACAACGAGTTGAATCTGCTGAGGTCAATGAGAAAGGGCGATCGTTCTTCTTTATAGGCGCTGATCTCTCAATACCCTCTTTGGCCCCGAAGAACCAGTATCCAGGAGTTCTGGCCATAGACTACTGGTGGTATCCATTCTTAGTAACATGAGTATATCCAAAACATGCCAAGCGAGGAACGGCTATCGTCCGCGCTTCAGGTTGGCGGGTCGGTGGACCTAACCGGATGCCCTCAAGCGCCCAAAGGCCAAAGCTTTTGGTTGTTTCAAGTAAATGTCCCGACTCCCTGGAAGAGACTCCACAACATCCTGGCCCTAAATATCAGGGGCCGGTTCGGTTGGAGATTTCGACGCTTTTGAATCTTTCTCTCTCAAGGCTGGGCGCACACTGCCTTCTCTTTCCTTGCAACCCTATGGTTTGTATCCCAGATTATACTCGTTCAGACCTGGTCAAGATTCAGAAAATGATACGGACGGTTCGTCGCTTGTAGCTTATACTGATGGTTAGTATAGTACAGTGGGTACGGTAGTTAGTGCAGACAGTTGGGCCATGTGGTGGAAGACCACTCCCCTTGGCACAGTACCCCTATGTGTCGGTGTCAGCGTGAAACATCGATAGGTCTTCGCGACTACGATAAGTCTGAGACACTGTGGCTCTAGATCTGGCGAACCAATCCACTTCGCACCGCGTGTCGTTGAGATTTGTGAGCCCTGACACTCAGATGAAGGATTTGAGCACGACCAGCATCGAGGGTGTACATTGGCACACGCTTATAGTCATCGGTTCAGAGCATAGCTTTTGCCTGCCGAAGACGAATCATCTGTCTCAATGGAAATGTACTCAAGCTCACCAAATGCCAGTGTCCCGCGGTCAGTGTCACCCATGTACTCTGAGCCGAGGTAACAATAATGGTGGTTATCTTGGCTGAGCGAGCCAGTTGGCCGAGCTCAAAGTATGGGGTAGATTAACCGGTTCTGAGGTTGAATGCTATCTTCGTGATTCAGTGTTTCTTCAGCAAGTCGCACGCTTCAATTGGGCCTCTGGCTGCACGATGCGACGATCCTGTCATATAATGTGTCAGTTAGTTGAGCAAAGCAAGGCCCGTCGGCAGATGAGAGGCATGTCAACCTACCGAGCAGCGCCATTTAGGCGTGCTTTCATCCTTCCTTGGCGACTGATCGATGAGCCGTCCGGCGGTTCTGGGTAACTTCTTCAGATCACCCCGTAGGCCAAAGGGCTAGCAGCCGTCTTGGCAGCCTATTTGACTCCCCAGTTTGTTCAACTGTAACAGCATACCCGCTCATCTGCAAATGGCTTGCCGTAAAAAGAGCTCTCTGGGGCATGGCTGAATGGACGATGGCTGTCAAGTCGCGGTGGTGATGCATCATGCACACAATTACTCCGGCAGGTCTATTCATCCTCAAACACAGCATTCTGCAGATCTTCTCTCCTGCAATGGAAGAAATCCACGATCGACATTCAGCCGGAAGGTTATAATCATCTGGCACCCTACGATCGAGCTCCTATAAATACCAGGCACCAGTTGCCATCAAGATGACTCTAAGTAGGACTCTCAGCCGCCCCACGAGCACCATCCATCTTTCATATCATTCCTCTGTCAACGTACATCTCTTACAATGCTTCCAACCATACTATACTCGGCCATCCTGGCGCTGAGCGCCCTCACGCCCTCAGCCCTTGCTGAAACTCGCTCTTCTGGCTGTGGCAAGCACCCGAGCCTCGCCAACGGGGTCATCCACCTCAATGGCCGAGAGTATATACTCAAGCTCCCCGACCGCTATGATAACAACCACGCATACCACCTTGTCTTTGGCCTGCACTGGCGCGGTGGCAACATGCAGAACGTTGCCAACGGCGAAAGTATCCAGCCCTGGTACGGTCTTGAGACGCGCGCCCAGGGCAGCACGATCTTCATTGCCCCCAACGGCAAGAATGCCGGCTGGGCGAACAACGGCGGCGAGGATGTCGCCTTCATCGATGCCATCATCAAGCAAGTCGAGGCGGACCTCTGCGTGGACCAGAGCTCTCGCTTTGCCACGGGATTCAGCTGGGGCGGCGGCATGTCATACTCGCTAGCTTGCTCGCGCGCGAAACAGTTCAAGGCTGTCTCGGTTCTGAGCGGCGGCGTGATCAGTGGTTGTGATGGTGGGCATGACCCTATTGCCTACCTCGGCATCCACGGTATCAATGATGGCGTGCTGCCCTTCAATGGGGGCGTCGGCCTCGCGCAGAAGTTTGTGCAGAACAATGGATGCCAGCAAGCCAACATTGGCGCACCGCCGTCTGGCAGCAAGAGCTCGGTGCGCACCGATTTCAAGGGCTGTTCGAAGCCGGTTTCTTTCATCGCCTATGACGGCGGTCATGATAGTGCTCCTCTTGGTGTGGGCAGTTCTCTGGCTCCTGATGCCACCTGGAAATTCTTCATGGCTGCTTAGAAGTTGGGTTTTGCTTTACGATCACAATTCTGGACTTGGAGGTTGAGGGCGGAAGGTTCATGAATCTGTTGATTTCTTGATCTATGCTGGTTAGTTATGTAAATACCGAGACGCACGGGTAGCGAGATATGAAGAGTTGTATACATGGGTAAAATCATCCATTGTAGCCATATATTAAATTTCTGTGTTGGCAGAGTCACTGCTTCAACCAAGCCCACTTCGACAAGGATCCAGCAGTTCTCCAATCGACCCTCGCTACGGAGTAGTCTGTACTCCATAAAACCGGATGACCCACTCGTCCTGATGGGACTCGGAGCTATCAGCCGTGTTGAACTAGTAGGGGGACTAGGGGCTAATAATGTCTTAGACAGACTCCAGAAACACCGCGGCATGAACATGAACCAAAATACAACCAGTAGCCAAGAACTAAGACAGTGAAGAACGTATCTCTTGACAGGTGACATTTTACGGGATCAGCTAAACAGAGGTCGGCAGTCCCTCGATAGGGTTACTAGACTCGAAAAAAAAAAGATATCTTCTTGGCTCTCTTTTCATGGTCAGCTCCTCGACAGAGCGAGATAGTCCATGCCAACAACCACGCTCACAGGTGCCACAGGACCCATCTTGACTCTGAATGGACCCGTCATTGCTGGATCCACAAGGGGGCTGGACTTGGCAAGCGACCAAAGCTTCTGGCTTTCCAAGGACGTGTTCGTCAATCGTCTTGTCTTAGGTCGGGGAAAAGGAAAAGAAGAACATCATATATCTGAAACTTGGCCTGCCTTTCCAGCCCAATTGCGAACTTGGTCAAAGGCAGTTTATGATGTCTCTGGGTGCTGAGGATTTCACTAGGCCGCCGTAGCCCGTAGGTAGCTAGGTATGCGTTTGTCGCGAGTTTCCATGTTACATATAAGGCTAGAGCTATCCTAGGTACGTCTAACAAGCTGGCAGCACTCCAGGGGCTTTGATCAGTGATCACCCTTCAAGAGACTGCTAGAATATATGAGAAGCGACCCTGGGCAAATCCAGGATACTACTACGTATTGAAAGAGCGACGACAGATTAGATCACTCGGTTCATGTGTAGTAGATGCCAGGCAGGGGGGTTAGCGATGAGAGGCCCAGAGTGTAACAGTCAATTTTGTGTCATCACTGTTTCTTTGGATGATCGGACTTTGTTCATGCGTTCGTTCAGCCATCTCTATAGTTTTCATTTCATATTTCCTTTCCTTCCTTCGTAGGAAGTAGAATAATTGCTTACTTATGCAATCTATGTATACATACGAATACATATATATTTAGAGAGAGAGAGAGAGAGAGAGAGAGAGAGAAGATATGGAAAGTTGAAGCTCAATCAATCCATTCTCTTCTCTTCTGCAAGAATCACCCCGCTGGTCTTGGGGCAATCTGTTCTCTTCAAAGCCCATCATCAATGCAATTGCTCTCCAACTATATTCGCCGGAGGAGCAACGGCTACCAACCTAGTCTTCCTCTGCGATCTTGCGCAATGACTTCCACTGCAACCAGAGCTCGATAGAGTCCGCGGCGAACACCAAGGTGTATACAGTGGCTCCCAGCACAGAGCTTGTCTCCAGCTCGCGTCCAGCGTTGAAACGAATCATCCAGGGCCTCTGCAGGTCTACATGTTCAAAGTTTCCCGCAATGTCGAGTCGTACGACGGCTCTGGCGACTGATTCAAGGTATACCGGGAGGGCCTCTGTGCCGATCCATCCAAAGATATCAAGGACGAGGACTGGTCAATGGGTAAGGACATTGTGTCCTCACAGACTGCCCTGAGCTCTCGTTCAAAGTCCCTGGGAAACGCCCAAAGGGATAACTTCCGCCCCAAGTGTAATCTCCTTTTGATTAAGCCTGCTGTTAGCAACTAAAATGTACATAGTGTCTTCTTCTAGCGGTAAGATAAGTTTCTAGCCCATCTATAGTGGTGACGTTCAGCATCATAGGCCTCCTGAGATCCTTAAATTTACAACATTGGAAATTATAGAGATCTAAACGGCTCTGGCGACTGGTTTATGGTCGATCATAGGTAGCAATGGAGTCATACAAGGGTGATGAGTCTGGGTGCCTCAGGCGTGGAGATAGATTGAAGATAACGCACTCCTGGACGATGAGACAGAGCCAGCAGTCGAGTAGGCTGGTAGTAGGTAGGTCATTACTGAGAACTGGGTCTGTATGGCGTGTGAGTTGTGACTAGTAAATGCTGACCTGGTATTGTATCGATAGATCAAGATTCATTGAGCTGAAAAGGAGAGAGAGAAAAAAGATGAGGATTGATTGACACCTGTGTCTTGTAACTCTGCGGAACAGAGTCAGGTCCAGAATTTCGCAGATTGTCTAGTTAAGCTGTGCATTTTTCTAATAAGGTAGAGATGACTCCTATTTATTAAGCAGTTGATATGTGAATAAAAGATTCCGAGGGGAGTTATGTGGATAGCGCGGGGACAAATCTGATGATGTGCTAGGACTTAAGGAGCCTATGCAGGCTTCAATGATATATTATATATGTTTAATAATGACAATGGCAACAGGTTAGATGAAAGTGAATGTACGGAGTACACTATTCCCATCTCAACAAATGGTTTAATCCCAGACTGATAGCTGGATTGCCTTTGCATAGTATTTATATATATATATATCATAACTGCTCATAATCATACATCATAAAATTCCAGTGTGTTCCCTGCATCTAATCCTTCCTGTCCAAACCCTCCCCGTTGGACAGTCTCCTGTCTTATTATTAGCCACAGTTCCTTCCACCAGGCAAGAGTGTGAAGACAAACCTCTTCATCTCCTCAATTTCATTCGCCATGTTTCCCGCCCCACTACTTCTCCGATCCGGGTGATCGTTGTGCGATTGTCCGAAGTTGCCGAGAAGGGAGTTAATTTCTATATGACGGCATCGTTAGCTCCGAATTCACCTATTGCTTGCGTGTTGGGTGATGAAAGTAGACGGGATGTACCTTCTTGGCTTTTTTGATATTGCTGTTCGGCTTCCTCGCGCTGGGCAAGGGATTTCTCGCGGTTGTGCTTGAGGTGGCCGTGTTTCTGGAGGAGATCCATTGTGTCTGTATGTTCTGTATGTGTCTGTATGTGTGAATGTAAGTGGAGATGGATATGTGTAGTATGATAATGGCTGAAGAAGAGGCGTTGTGAAGAAATATTTATATCTGTCTATGGAGTACAGCGGACTGATTGCATCATAATTAACATATTATAGAATTCACTTTGTGCCCTCTGTGCGTTAACCAGAACTTTGAAACCGGCGATGCTTTTGAGAATTCTCTGGGTGCTGTTGAATGGCTGTGCTGTATAGTTGCTAAATGCTGGTTACTGGCCATAGTGTGCGTCATATGTCGGCGGGGGTGGCCAAACGCGTCTGCCAACTGGTTACCACTGTTTTGTGTGAAGGATTGGCAGTACTGGCAACAATAGAAATTGCCGTGGCTGTGCTCTTGGATAGCTCACGATTAGGATCATCATTGGTACTGGGAGATGTCCCAAGGCGAGATGTGGAGGACGTGCCTTCTTGGTCTATGTCAGTTCCAGCGTTGCATGTTGGCAATGGAGAGAATTGCCAAGAGCCAAGACTGGAATTGCGCAACGCGGTTGGGAGGGCGTCCTGCAAGGGCTAAAGCAGGAACTGGAGCTGGATGTCATGGTCTAGAACGAAGAGTGTTCGTTTTTCGCTATCTGAAGAGAGAGCTGCATGTTCTTCACGTCGTAAAGAAGAACCCACCTGCAGGCCAAGTCTTTGGACTTGATATGGTGGTCAGAACCGCCGGATGAGTCAGCACTCCGTGGAAAATTAACTGACAGGGTGAGGCGAGACTCCATGAATGTTCGTATTCGATATTGCCCGCGCAGCAGTCTTGCATTCGACAGAAACATACCCTATGGTGTGATGGCCAGTCTATCCGTTCGGTGTTTTGCAACAGAAAGCTGCTGAATGTGAGTAGGACATCAGATAGCATTGCAACACCTCTGATATATGCACTGCACCCTAGAGAACGGAAGCAATAATGGATAACACAAGAGGTATTCTACCGTGAGCTATCATCTGTTTGACACGGAATTCGTCCGGCCCAACAGGCAACCGCTCATTCCTTGCCCAAAACGAAACCCCGCTCCGATTTCCAAGTCGCGCGACTCGCGAGGGACTTGCCAAGACGCCAATGCGTCTCTTCATCTCACCTCGGTCCTGGCGGAGGCAAGCCTCGCCAATTTCATGCTTGTCTCCGTCAAGCTTGGGCTGAGAGTAGGCTGAGACGCTGAGACGCTGATAAACGAAGCCCAATCATCCGACTGCCTTTAATCGTGCTCCTCACTTGGTTGATAATACGGAGTAATGAATACTACGGCAACTGGTCGAGTGGCGGGGCTCACAATGTGACGGTGTACGGAGGACGACGGAGATTAGATGGAATCCTGCAGTTTGGAGGGTCTCATGCTGAGTCATGAGGTGAGGAGATAGAGATAGAGCCTTTCTTTTGTTTGTTTAATCCTTATGGGCTGGTGAGCAATATCCGCTGTCTGATGATGGCCGGAGAGGCTCAGAAGGACAGAAACTACTAAAGAGAGAGCCGAACAAGGGATTTGTGCCTGAGAGCCTGGTTTATCAGGTTGCCATCCTGATTGGGTCACGCGTTCTGGTAGTTCCCAGTTTCATCCATCAACATCAACAACTTCAACAACTTCAACAACTTCAACAGCTTCATCTCATCTCATCTCATCTCATCTTCACTCGTACGAGAATACCTCTATAGTATATCCATCATCTTATCATCTGTTTATCATGCCACCTGCAATCTTTTACTCTCGTATATGCCCTCGCAACTACCCGATGGTCCATACTGACCTCCATCAGTGGACCCCTGACGATCGCTCCCTGATAAGCCAACCCCTCGCACCATGTAACTTATGTGCAGCATCACAAGAATTTCTGCCAGGGTTGATCCAATGAAGGGCGACCCTGCTCTGAATCCCGCAGAAACCCCGTCGGTCTTCCGCTTGCCCAGAAATCATGACTGAATCGAGCAGGATGGAGACTCCAAACAACAGATTGTGCTCCCCCGGTTCGCTGGACTGTGGCCGGGCATGCGATCGACATGGGCAAAATGCAGATCGAAAAATGTCAGTTATAAATACTCCATCCCCAGTCTCACCCTGCTCTCCTTCACCCCCATCCCACCACATTCCACAACGCGGCGATTATGTTTTCGTCGCTCTTCAGCCGTGGAGCGCTCTCGCTCGCGGTCGTTTCTCTTCTTACCTCGTCCGTTGCCGCAGAGGTTTTTGAGAAGCTGTCCACTGTCCCGCAGGGTATGCGTCGTCGATTCATCTTCTTTTTCCTTTCTCCTTAAACTGACGTGGATTAGGATGGAAATACTCCCACGCCCCCAGTGACAGCGACCCCATCCGCCTCCAGATCGCCCTGCAGCAACAAGATGTCGACGGCTTCGAAAAGGCTCTCCTGGAAATGTCGGACCCCTCCCATGCCAGCTATGGCAAGCATTTCCAGTCTCACGAGGAGATGAAGCGGATGCTCCTCCCCAGTCAGGAGTCCGTGCAGTCCGTCCGCAGCTGGCTGGAGTCTGGCGGTGTGACCGATATTGAGGAGGATGCCGATTGGATCAACTTCCGGACCACAGTCGGTGTGGCCAATACCTTGCTGGATGCCGACTTCAAGTGGTACGTGAGTGATGTGCGGTCCCTCGAGCGTCTGCGCACCCTCTCGTACTCCATTCCTGAGTCCCTCGCGTCGCATGTCCACATGATCCAGCCCACCACCCGGTTCGGACAGATCAAGGCCAACCGGGCCACTCTCCATAGCTCTTCCTTGTACCGGGACGAGAAGATCCTGTCGGCCTCTCTTCAGGCGGGTAACTCCACTTGCGACCAGGTCATCACCCCACAGTGCCTGAAGAGTCTCTACAACATCGGTGACTACAAGGCCGATGCCCGCAGCGGCAGCAAGGTCGCGTTCGCCAGTTTCCTGGAGGAATATGCCCGGTATGACGATCTCGCCAAGTTTGAGGAGAAGCTGGCTCCGTATGCGATCGGCCAGAACTTCAGCGTCATCCAGTACAACGGAGGCTTGAACGACCAGAACTCGACCAGCGACAGCGGTGAGGCCAACCTCGATCTGCAGTACATGCTCGGTATCAGCGCTCCCCTCCCCATCACCGAGTTCAGCACGGGCGGTCGGGGCAAGCTCATTCCCGATCTGAGCTCGCCCGATCCCAACGATAACAGCAACGAGCCTTACCTCGAGTTCCTGCAGAATGTGCTCAAGATGCCCCAGCACAAGCTCCCCCAGGTTATCTCCACCTCGTACGGTGAGGACGAGCAGGTAAATTCTCTTCTCCCTGCTCACAGTGAAATGAAGCTGACGGTGTAGACCATCCCCAAACGGTACGCTCTCTCGGTCTGCAACCTGTATGCTCAGCTCGGCAGCCGTGGTGTTTCGGTCATCTTCTCCTCCGGTGACTCTGGTGTTGGCGCCGCTTGCCAGACCAACGATGGCCATAACACCACCCACTTCCCACCCCAGTTCCCTGCTGCCTGCCCGTGGGTGACCTCGGTCGGCGGTACCACCAACACCCAGCCCGAGGAAGCCGTGTACTTCTCCTCCGGCGGTTTCTCCGACCTGTGGCCTCGTCCTGGTTACCAAGAGGTCGCGGTCCGCGGATACCTGAAGAAGCTCGGAGGCACCTATCGTGGATTGTACAACCCCCGCGGCCGTGCCTTCCCCGATGTTGCTGCCCAGGCGATGAAGTATGCCGTGTTCGACAAGGGTGCGCTACACCAGTATGCTGGAACCTCGTGCTCGGCCCCCGCCTTTGGTGGCATCATTGGTCTGCTGAATGACGCTCGTCTGCGCGCGCACAAGCCCCCCATGGGATTCCTGAACCCTTGGCTGTACAGCCAGGCCAGCCACGGTTTCAACGATATCGTTGTGGGCGGCAGCAAGGGTTGCGACGGACGAAACCGCTTCGGCGGTACTCCCAACGGCAGCCCCGTGGTTCCATATGCCAGCTGGAATGCGACTGAAGGCTGGGACCCGGCCACCGGTCTGGGCACTCCCAACTTTGGCAAGCTTCTGCACCTTGCTCTGCGGAGATAATTTAATAGTACAGTTATGTGGCAGCTATGTATATATCTGCGGTTTTAATATCACTGTCAATGTTGATGATCATTTCCATGAAGGGCTGATTTCCGTATTGTCGTTCGAGGGAGATTATTATAGATTGGAACAGCCGCTGGCGAACAGGGACAAGGCTAACTGCCTCGTCGACTCTTTATACTCGCTTGTACAGCCTTGCTCCACCTCGTATTCCGCCCTAGCATTCGCGAGTCAGGATCGTTCTTCAAACCAATCTACATCCTCCATTGTAGCCGCCAAGAACGAATACGAGGGATATAGTTCTCTCTAAACAGTCGCTGAGCCTTACTGACACAACTATAAACACAGCAGTCCCTCATCGCATTCTATACATACAATCTAACCAGCTGAACCTATCTACCAAACCCCAACCGCAACAATGCACCTCTCCACCCTCCTGGCATTCTTCACCCTCCATCTTTCCTTGATTGCCGCAACAGAACTCTCCCCGCCCACGCTCTACGACCGCTACAACAATACATCCAACCTCGCGAAACGCGCCAGCTGCGGCGACGGCATGTCATGTCTGATCGGCGTGTGCTGCGGCGACGGCTGCGCGATGAACTGCTGCGCGATGGATAACGGAGGACGTATGTTCCTTTCCTCTTTCCTCTCCTTTATCCTAGTGCTAATACCTCGGTGCAGTCGGATGCGGAATCACAGAACGCTGCCAGTTCAAGGGCAACGTCTTCGTGGGCTGCTGTGGGAATCTGATCGGGTGGGTGGTATTTTCCTCTTTTCTCCCCTCTGCCTCTGCCTCTGCCTCTGCTTCTTGCCTCCTCTCTTCCGCACGTCCGTGTTTGTAATGCTAATGATGATGATGATGAATAGGGGATGCACCGGCGAAGCTACCCGCGTGACCATCCACACACCCTACTCCACCGTAACCCTGAAACCAGGCACGGGCAATAGCATAATCAACACCAACGAGGCCCGGACGACTTCAACGGAGGGGGTGATGACGGCGATTTCGGCCAGCGAGACGGAGATGATGTCGACGCCCACGTCCGCTTCGGCTTCATCCGCAACAAGGAGGTATACCAGTGCCACTGAGACGGCTGCGACAACGGCGCGTGCGCGCACGACGGCGCGGTCGACGACGCCAACGCCCACGTCCACGTCCACGTTAACGGATGGAACTGGGTTGGGGAAAACGGGGACTCTGGGGCCTGCTGATGGGATTGCGGGAGCGGGAGCGGGTGGATTCTCGCAGATGCCGAATGGGGCGGGGAGGGTGATGGGTGTATTAGGGATGGGGATGGGGATGGGGGTGGGTGTTGCTTTGGGTGTTTTGATTGTGGTTTAGCATGATGATGATGATGATAAAATAATGCTGTCCTTGATTCTTCCTCTGTATTTGTCCTTCGGCTGAATGAATCCTCGGCTGTAGTGGTCAACAGCTGCTTCCATACATTGGGACGAAAATGCCTTCACCGACCACAAATCCCATAGCGATGCTATACAGAACCATATCTCTTTGCGATAGCCACCTTAGGTTACAAAGGATGGGCGGAGAGTGAGATGAGACCAGAGAAAAAGAGAATGAAGAGGAACCTTGATCACTTGCTAGCTCCAGCACCCAGATACTTGCGCTTCCTGCTCCAACATATCAATCAGAAACATACAAGCGCAAAACAACAAAAAGACATCAAAAACATACAACAGCCGGGATTCGCTGGTGGTCACCCACCCAACTACTAACCGGCCGGCGTGTGGCTTAAGTACGGCTGAGCGGACGGGAAGCCCTGTTCTCCACACCCTGTGGTCGTATGTGCTTGAAGTAATTAAAAGGTGGCTTATATAGGACACTCACTTGATCAGAGGAGTGTAACAGACATCCATCCTGACCAGACTGAAAACCAAGCAACCACCTCTACAATCCTTCCCTAAACACCTAAACAACCACCCCTCGGCCCCCCCCCCGCAAGCTCTCCAAATACTCCGCCACCAGGGCGGGAAGCCCATGACCCTGTCACAGGTTTATCCGGTTAAATCATTTGTGATTGGAATGGTGATGAAAGGTGTTATAATGACACCATATATATCGGTCAGCAATATGTTTCCTGATATGTGGTCTGATGCTATAACTTGTGTTATATAATCCAAAGAGAGTTCATACACATCCCTAATCAGCCCTCACAGGAAGTCAAAACCATTCTGATTCACTTTAACTTGTTCTCACCTGTGTCTTGTGACGAACCAAGCGCGCATCAACTTGTAGAGTTCAATGTGTCTGGAACCAGCACTTGAGAATGTGGATTTAGGGGCTTCTCATCCAACACTGTTGGGGTAGGGGTATCACTGTTTAAGCAAGGGGTCTCCATGTGCAAGCCCTCAGGAATAGAGGTGCAGTCGGAAAGAGAGTATTTTGAAAGTTGTGTAAGAATGGAGTTGTCTGGTTTATGAATTTGTTCTTTGATCTGATATGGCAAGCCCATCAGAACATTCTCCCTCGTGGCCACAATCACAGAGAAACCCAGGCCGACAATAGAAAGGATAACCATGGAGTTGCCACATGTCTTCTGAACATCATGAAGAAAGGTAAGATATTTTATCTGTCTCTTTCCCCTGGTTGCTTCTTGTGGATATCTGCTTAGTGCCAATGAGACATCATGTTGAACACATTTTATTTCACGGGAGTTTACACCACAAATTTGCTTGATCAATTGTGATATCATATGTAGATGTGATACTGCGTCTTCTATGGACAGAGGTGATGTCTTACGCATAATTATTTATTCTCTATTTATGAGGTTTGATTGGGTGGAAATCAGGCTAGAATGGTCGAAAAAAGGTCCAAAAAAAAGGTTCAAAGGAGGTTGAAAGGAGGTTGTAAGGAGAATGTAAGGATCGTATATTGGTGGCGTCTGAGAAGCAAGTAGCGCCAAACCAAGCCTAAGCGTTACAAACTTACAATGCTGCCCCAAGGACCATTGGATCATGTAAGAGTACTTTTATTGATGATCTAAGGCTATGAGAGACGGATCAATATCAGTTCCGAGAGATTCTTGATTATCGACCTGGAAGCGTGTCGAACCTCTGTTCTTTTGAATTTTCTTTGATTCCCGAATCCCTTACCACTGAAATGTCTCGAGACCCAAAATCAGCCATATTCACGTACGCCGATTTCAACCTGCAAGCCCTATGTCAGAGGGCGAGTATCCTACGGCAGAGTGTTCCATGTGTTTGTGATCCAGATCAACACCCTGCCTCTGGTAGTTTCAACTGGACTACCTTCATTTTGTTCCAAGATGGGGTGCAATGGGTCTTTAGATCCCCCCATCCAAGGTCCTTCATGCCTATGGAATTGGCTATGAAGCTACTGAGCAGTGAAGCTGCGACACTCAGATACCTCAAATCCCATAGCGATATTCCAGTCCCAGAAGTATATGACTATTGGTAACAATCTCTCCCAGACAGTTGATACCCAGTCTTAACTTTCTGTAGTGCCTCCTCCAACAATGATATTGGGGTGCCTTACATTCTCATGAGTAAAGCACCCGGCTGGCCATTATCAAAAGTCTGGGGATCTGTCAGTTCGTCTCAACAAGACCAGGACCACCCCAGCAAAGCCAAAGTTCTCACCCGGCTGGGCAGCATTACCTGGAAACTCTCACAGTTGCGGCTCGAAAATATCGGCTCACTTTTTGAAAATGAAGGGTCGATCGAGATTAAGGAAAGCCTCTGGCGTGCTCACATGTTGCATGGACGATATGCTTTGGAGGTCGCACGCGGGCCGTTCCCTTCGAAAGCAGATTTCTATAATAGTCTTCTTTCTGCCTTTAAGGAGCATGCAGAGACCCTGCAGCTATCACATCATTGCTTTGTCGCTCCTGTTCCTTCTCCGGAAGACTATCCATCCAGCGTACAATATAGGAGCGCTGTTAGTCTATGGAGCGACTTCGTGACTATCGGACACAAAATCGACTCGTCGGACAACAGACTGGACTACATTATTGCTGGCGATGCACTTCGTGAGATCGTTCAAAATTTCGAACTCCCAGGCGCCAATGCGGAGACTTTTCCATTATGCCACGCTGACCTGAGCGTCAATAACATATATGTTGACGATGATTACAACATTACGTGTATTATTGACTGGGCATTCGCCTCATCTATCCCGGAATCTCTGCTGTTAGCCCCCCCGGGATTACCACAATACCGCGATGAACTCAGTCCAGAGCTACATCCATCCTTCATAGAGGGATTTATTGATTCTTTGCCAGCGTCTATCGATGAGAATTCAGTTCACAGATACCGCGAGTTAGTTCAGCGCGGTCAAGTCTCCTGGAGACTCAGTCAGCTTCTGAATCTTGATTCTATTAACGATTACGACCTTTTCGCTTCTGTGTGGCCCTTTGCACGAGGCCCCGGAGAGGACGTGAGGGAATACTTCTTAAACCAGCGGCGCTCCCCTCACTACACCAAGCTTTATGAGGAAATCCAGGAAGAAGATCAGCCACTCTCAACAATTGAAAAAGATGAACGAGACTATTTCCAGACCCAAGGCCTGAGAAAAGCAATAGCTAAGAAGCTAACATTCATTTCCAAGTGGAAACAACAGCACCCAGCCAACAATCCGTCAAAAATTCGCAAAGATATGTTTGTGGCTACTCCTCAACTATGGAAATAGATTCAACAATATATGCAGGATTGGGAAAATGAATCCTCATGAATCTTGCCAAGTTAATATCTCATAGGGGGGAAGCCACGCGCAGCGTACCATCTCTGTGTTGCTTCATCCAAGGAATTCTCCCATACTTTTCAGCCAATCGGCTTTTACTTTTTCATCCATGATGACTGTGGAGATTGGTCTGATCGGGTTCAAACCAGCTCTCTTCCGTTCGCCCCCTTGGTGCTCAAAGACCGACACCTCTCTGTGAGTGACACGGGAGATACTCTCTTCGGCATTCTTCAATGAGCTCTTCGGGAATACCCAGAGATCGGCCGATGCAGGAGACGTGGATTGTTTCTCGATACTCCTTGACCGCACAATTGAGCGTAAGTAGGTGTCCCTTGTACTAGAAGGGAAACGACCCGTCCCAAGGAGAAAAGGTGAGTGGCTTCTTTGCATGATCCCGAGTGATCCTTCAGAGAGGATCCCACGCGAGCGACCAGGGAGTGAGCATTATCGACAAATTGCTGGCGGGCGAGCCAACGGAATGAGAACCTACCTTCTATTCTCTCCTCATCAGACATCTCCCTCCTCCCAAACACCATACTACCTATTCATTTGATCATCCCGATGCTCCAAGCCCGTGCATCGGCGACACAGCTATTGCTCCTGGCTGCTTCCCGACGACATATCGTGCTGTTCCCAGAACATTCTCAGAATATGCCCTTTGAATTTGTGGAGCAAGGTGTTCCATGTGTCCTCACAGGGTCTGTGTATTCTCGAGTAGCTCGGCTTGGTCGCATGAAAGAAGGCTAGAAACGTAATAGAAAAGTTGGCGACCATAATCTTACATCAACAATTTAGCTAAGACAAAGATTCCAGCCATTTGTCAAACGCGGACCTTGGAACGAGTAAGCTTGATCTAGAGTGGCAGAACATTCTACCGTCATGATGTCTTTCAGGTACAAACATCCTGAAATTCCCAAACAGATTCCCGAATACTCCCTCAGGAGCGGGTTAAAATGACGCATACAGTTCCACCCTAGAATAATTCATACACCATCTTGAATTTTGCCATATTCAGGTAAGGCCCATTTGACCATCCATTCTGACTCAAGAATCTGCTGGGTAGTAGGACGATCCTCGGGTCTGAATGAGAGCATCGGCCGTAGCATGTTGAAGATAGCGCCCCTCTCCCTTGCGTCAAATAATGGTATCCCACTATCTCGCCTGGGCTGTTGCACGCTATCCTCAAACCGATCGTCCCAAGATCGGAAAGGGTTACGATTCTTTGGCTTGCCATACTCAGTGAATTTATTTCGTCGCGCCTCCCACTTCCTCCACCATTCAGGTGGCAGAACACCAAGAGCATCGACATGCTCACAGGTTAAGTCGTCCTCCGTCGCGAGAAACCCTTCGAACAATGGCCGCTGGGCGATGATAGACCATATGGCACAGGCGAGAGTCCAGATGTCCGATGAAAAAGACAGGGGCTTATTGGGTTCAAACCGAGCCTCGGGGGGACGGATAACTAGGGGGGGGGGTGAGATTCGTATTTCAATTCTTTCGAGTATGAAAAGGCTTCACCAAAGTCTGAAAGCAAGATCCTGGCTTCTGCAAGTGCGATTTCCTCACTTGCTTCCCCCCAGCCATATGGGCGCAATGGCGTGGGATGGGACACCAGGAGGAAGCGGATTGCCATCTAGATGAACAACTGGGTCAAGCTCCGGTGCTCCATATTTCCCATATAATTGTTTGAGTGAGATCTGGTCAAAATTGGGCGGAGCTTTGAGAAGAATATTGCCTAGGTGCAGGTCTCCATGGACAATTCCTTGGGCATGCACATAATCCACAACAAGGATGAGTTGCGCAGCCAATGACCGGGCCACATCAAGCTGGAATAAGCGGATCCACGACCGTCTTTCACCTGGGAGAGGCTAGCCCTCGCTGGCGCCGTAACGTAGCAAGCATGATTGCCATTTGGGCCATGAATGGTCAATAACATAAATTTACTCATTGCCATATCATGTGGAGAGTTCACCCAAAGAAGTCTGGACAAAGGAGACGAAAATATCTTTTCTCAGAGTCATATCTGGCAGCATGAGGGCATGAGGTGAGTGGTTATGATGAATCGCAACGCGACTACCCCAATGCCAGGGAGCTGGCTGGGGATTACGGAGTAGGGCAGTGTTATAGATAGGCTTATCCGCTTATCCTACTATTAGTCAGCACCTGCCTGCCAAGACCTTTACCAAGCTCACCTAAGTGAGCATTGCCATTGCACAGCTGGCACTTAGATAGAAATCTAAGCATCTCATTTAGGGACAATCAACCCTCATGACAACTGCTGTGGCTCAGTCGGGAAAGCGGGCATCCACCACAGCCGGCTCCATCGATGGTGGAGGCGATGCCCGCGACAAGGCTCTGGAGCCTGCACCACTAGGGATAGGAGGGGGCTGGTTTTGAGATCGGGTAGGGGCAAGGCGACGTCGAGCTCGCTGAGCTGGGTTAGATAGCGTGTATGGTAGTCTGTGTCCTCTGGCCGATGGTGACTTTATAGCGTGCTGGGATGCTGAGCTGCAGATCGTGCGACGTCCCTACTGGAATTTGTACTGATGGTTTGCAATGCTGTATTGGCAGGGCCACGAGTAAGCGCACAAGATAGCTATGAAACGGATATCAGCAGCTGGACAAAAGTGCAAGCGTTCGCATGCGACAGGGGTGCCTCGGGAGGTGATGACAAGACGGTCCTCTTCTACGACGAAGAAGTCTACACCGACGTAGGACTCCAGGGATATGTGCGCATAGATCTGCGCCCAATAATTCCCGACGTTCACCCTGTCATCCATCGCCTAGGGCCGCAACTTTATCAGTAGCAACAGCGATAGAATCGGGCAGACAATTGCCTGACACAGTCGCCACCAGGCTATCATCGGAATACCGGAACTTGTACGCCCGCATTTTCCTCCCCTGAAGAAGACTGTATTGCGATTCTTTGAGCGACTCACGGGATGGTTATTTTGATCCCCCTAGCAACAGGAGCCAGGACCTCGAAGGTGCCGCTGTGTTCTACCCAAAGGCCGCGCACAGAGGATCACACACGCAGCTTTGGCCTGGTCGCATCTCTGGCACTCTTGGGGGGGTCCTTTGGCCCAGATACAACATACTTCCTACCTTCTGTAGTGAGCGTAGGGCGACTTGGGGCCTCCTGGGGTCATAGCTATCTTCGCTAGAGGCAACCATGCAATGTGAGGAGATGTTAAAAGAGTGCTTTGAGCACAGTCAGGAGTATACTTTGGTACTTGGTACTAGCGATAGATGACTGAGTTTAAAAGCCACTTTTGGCGCTCCGGATGACACTCTGCATGAGGAGATGTCCACGATGATAATCACGTGCAGCACCAGATGTACATCAAAGCATCCAAGCCATCAAGCCCTCGGTTACCCAGGAATTTTGAGGGCCTGATAGAGGTATTCCATGCAGAGAGGTGCTATATGGAATGGTTACAGGCGACCATGCAATAATGAGAGGGAGACTGAGACTGAGACTGAGTTGAAGTATATGGTTACGGGTGTGAAGATCTGTGTGAATAGCGCGTGGAATGCTGAGACGTACTACTAGACATCCTTAATTCAAATTAGCTAGTGTGAGTAAGTTATACTTCATAATAATAACAATAAGATTGGAATCCATAGCTTACCACACATAGGATAGTATTATTCTGTGCTGCTGTTCTCTGAGTGCTGACATCATCGCATCAACTTGCCCAATTGGGACATCAGCGACTCTTTCAGTGAACCCAGCGATAGCCTAACTAAAATTCAACCGACAGATAGAGGCAAATTGCTAATGTCCTGTGATAGAATGACAAGAATGGTTGTTCACACTGATTCTCTCTATCTCTTCTCTTATCATATATCATCTTTACTATCTCCTGAATGCCAATCCATGCTCCACTCAGCAAGTCCAGCCGAAGAACACAACCAAAAACCCCGCAAAGGAAAAATTTTGCCATGACTTCTTCTTTTCTCAGTTTCGCTCATGCTAGTCCACGCGATGATCCCCCAGAATTAATATCGTCCGAGGCTGGATATCTTCTGCTTACTCCCCGTTTTGACTATCTTCGAGGTTGAGCACCGTGCGTCGTGAGGGGAATTCACTCCAATCGTATCCAGCCTTCTCTGCCCAACCTGCTGTTATATGAACCTGGACCAGCCTACCGACAAAGACACAGAATAATGGACAGCGTGTTTTTGACCCTGTCCGCCTACTATCATATCATTCCCGTCGGCTAATTCTGAATTTTTTATTTTATTTTTCACCTTCAACCCTTGATGGACGAGGAAAACATCAAACATGTCGACTCGGTCGACCAGAGCGTGCAGGACGCCCGCGATCTCGCCGCCATGGGCCACGACCAGGCCTTGACCCGCAAATTCGACCTGTGGAGTATGTTGGCGCTCGCTTTTTGCGTCTTAGGTAAGCCCTCTTTTGTCAATTTCTCTGGATTTTTTCCTTTTTTTTTTTTTTTTATCGACAAAAACTGACTCCCGTAGGAACGTATTCCACTTTCGCGCAGGACCTCAGTAGCGGTCTCACCAATGGCGGGCCCATCACCATCCTCTGGGGCTTGGTCCTGGTGACGTTCTGTAACCTTTGCGTGGCGGTCTCGCTGGGCGAGCTCGTCAGCAGCATGCCCACTGCCCTCGGCCAGGCGTACTGGGTGTACCGGTTATGGAACACTCCGATGGGTCGCTTTGCCTCGTACCTCTGCGCGTGGATCAACACGTTCGGCTGGTGGACGCTGACCGCGTCGCAGGTCGCGTTCATGACCGAGTTCCTGCTCGGGATGAAGGTCATGTTCGACGTGGAGTGGCCCGGCGTCGGGCTGGGCTGGCTGCAGTTTGTGATCTACGTGGGCTTGGTGCTGGCGCTGACCCTGGTGAACGTGGTCGGGTGTCGCCGCGAGAAGACCCTGCCGTGGTTGAACAATTTTGTTGGGGTGTGGTTTACCGCGCTGTTCGTCGTGCTCTCGCTGGCGCTGCTGATCTCCGTCGGTACAAAGCACGACCTCCACTTCCAGCCCGGCAGCTTCGTCTTCGGAACGTGGATCAACAAGACCGGCTGGAGCGACGGCGTGGTGTGGTTTACCGGCCTGGTGCAGGCGGCGTACGGTCTCACGGCGTTCGACGCGGTCATTCACATGGTCGAGGAGATCCCTGCGCCGCGGATTAACGCGCCCAAGGTGACCTACCTGGCCGTGCTCTTCGGCGCCTTCACGGGCTTCATTTTCATGGTGGTGTGTTTGTTCTGCATCCAGGACGTCGACTCGGTGGTCGACTCGCCCAGCGGCTTGCCCTTCATCGAGCTCATGCTGGAGACCGTCGGCTTGCGCGGCGGCGCCGTCCTCCTCTCCTTCTTCATCTTCAACGGCGTCGGCCAGGGCATCAGTATCCTGACCACGGCCTCACGCCTCACCTGGGGTTTCGCCCGCGACGGCGGCCTTCCGTGGAGCCGATACCTGACCGTCGTCGACCCGCAGTGGAAGGCGCCCGTGCGCGCCCTCTGGGCGCAGGGCTGCCTGATCGCGCTCATCGGCATCCTCTACCTCTTCGCCAACACCGTCCTCGAAGCTATCCTCAGCGTCAGCACCATCGCGCTGACCATCTCGTACGCGCTGCCGATCGCGGCCCTGCTCATCGTCGGCCGCGATCAACTGCCTCAAGGCCCCTTCCGACTCGGCCGCTGGGGCCCCGCGGCCAACTGGATTAGCATCATCTACTGCGCCATCACGACCGTGTTTTTCTTCTTCCCGGGCTCGCCGGACCCGGCGCCGGGGGACATGAACTACGCCATTGCGGTGTTTGGGGTCATGCTGGTGGTCGCTGTGGGGTTCTGGTTCGTGCAGGGGAGTCGCACGTATCTACAGACGGAGGATGCGATTGCGCAGATGGTGCTGGCGCAGCAGTTGGAGATGGAGACGATGGAGACGATGGAGACGGTGGAGCCACCGAAGAAGCATAATGATTGATGAAGCTGTCTGGTCGTCCAGCCTTGTAATGAGATAGTATAATATTGACTGTTAGTGTTCCTCTTGTACAATGCGACTAGTTTCCTAGGCCATAGTGGGATGGTTCGTACCATAGCCTCATCATGCTTCGTGAAGTAAAGTGCGTGGTCTTACCACAAGCCGTGGTGGTCTTTACACCCACATCAAACCAACTCCGTCACTCCCACAGATCCAACTTCTTCAGCATCACCTCAACTTCCCATCACTACAACCCAAAATGAAGCTCTACCTAATCCGCCACGCCGAAACAACAGACAACGTCGCCCACAATCTGTAATCCTTCCATCTAAAACCCCCGTTCCCGCTTTAACCCACCCAACAACAACTCACCCACTAACACCTGCCCTCCAGCGCCGGAACCAAGGACTCCCCGCTCACCAACCACGGCGCCCTCCAGATCACCCACCTGGCCAAACACTTCCACTCCCACAACATCTCCTTCACCCACATCTTCTCCTCAGACCTTTCCCGCGCCGCCCTCACAGCCCATGGCCTGGCTATCCCTCCCCAGTCTCCCTCCCCCTCCCCGTCCCCCTCCCCCACTCCAAATCTCCTCCCCACTCTCCGCGAACGCGACTTCGGGTCCCTAGAAGGCACGAAATGGCACGCTGGCTGGGACGCACCCCGCGTCCCGCACCCGCGGCCCCCGGAGACAGAGACCTCGATGCGCACGCGCGCGCGGTCGTTCGTGACCGAGGTCCTGATCCCCGTGCTTGCTGCGGAGGGGGACGAGGGCGTTGTCGCGGTCGTCTCGCATGGGATTCTGCTGGGAGTGTTATGGGGTGTTCTTGTTTCTTGTTTTGCGGCGGGGAGGGTAAGTATGGTGGGCGATGGGGCTGGGGCTGGGGAAGGGGGTGTGTTTCGGCCCGCGTGGGCGAATACGGGGTTTTTGGAGGTGATGATTGAGCCGGTTGTGGGATTGGGTGTTGATGCTGATGGAGGGGAAGTAGCAGAGGGGGATGGGGTGATGCCTCTCCTGGCTGGGTATGCGATGCAGGTGCTGAATGTCAATAGCCGGTCTCATCTGGCGGGTCTTCGGCGCGCGAGAGGGGTGGGCAGTGCGACGTTTGATCAGCGGCAGAGGCGGATTGAGCATTTCTTTGGGGGGAAGAAGTGATGATGGATGATTGTCGTGGAGGGTCAGGAGGGTGGTTTGTCTTTTGACGTAAGGGGAGTCTGTCTGCGATGCTATACGCTACTGTACGCATTACGCCAAGTCTGTATGGATGCGTCTTGGAGCAACCAACGTGCCGGAGTGAGGGTGCTTGTTGGATTCTGGGCGCCTTTCCGGCCTTACGAGTAACCTTCCATCAGCTATGCTGCTCCAGAAGGTAAGCTGAATTATGAACACTTCATGGCAGTGCCCTGAGGAATCTCCACCAGAGCGCGCGATTCTTTTCCAAATCCGGATTAGTGCGAGTCTCCAGGCATCAACTCAGTTTTATATGGAATAGACCTCCACGCTCAATCATCTCCTCTTCGAGATCCAAATGTCATTCGATTCCAAACCGAAACAAAGGAAAATGGCAGCCCCGCGCGCCCTCGGGCCCCTGGACAAAAGGAAAAAGGTGACACGCTGTCAACCCTGCGCGAAAAGGCGAATCAAGGTCAGTCCTGCACGCGGAGCCAAAAGCGATGAAGCTGACCAGCCCAGCTAGTGTGCAGGTGGTATGCCTTGTGTGAATTGTGTTCGAATGCACAAGGAGTGCCGGCCCCAGAGCCAGCTGCCGCCCAGCGCAGTCTTCGTTCGTCAGACCAGCGGGTCCGTTACTGAGATGTCCCAGGTGACACCAATGGATGTGGACATGGACAGCCGCGTTCTCGACTATTTCGTCATGTTCATTAGAGGGAATCAATTTACTCCACATTTTGAGTCTATTGACCTTGAACTGTTGCCAATTATGCAACGGTCGCCCCATCTTCGATGGGCCGCAGTTGCTATCGGCGCACTGGACGCCAGCCGCCACGGCTCGGTCAGATGGCACTCGGAAAGACAATCGCTCTACTGCATTGCGCTGAGTGCCTATTCCAAGTCCATCAATGCGCTCCAGGAGGTTCTCACTGCGGGAGATGCGGTCCGGAAGGACGATGTGCTGTGGGGAATTTTCCTCTTGGGGCTCTTCGAAGTATTATTGCTCTCGCTCGGTCTTTTGTTATATGATACTGACTATTATACTTATTTTTAGCTGATCTCTCAGCCATCTGGTGACGGCTGGGCGAAGCATATGCTGCACGGTGCTGCCCAGCTCCTGCAGTTAACAGGACCGAATCAGCCAGTTAACCCCCTACGACAGAGATTCTGGGAGTTGTTCCGGGGACTAGAGGCCACTAGGGCAATTCTCTACGGAGAGCGCACGATGCTCTCTCAGGATAGCTGGATGGCCTTTCAGCAGGGTCTCTCTACGGGTCGGCCCGGATCGTGGGGCTCGATGGAGAATGTCTTGACCTTGGTGATCCATACCGCGGCATTCAGCAAACGGTACGCCTACTTCGTTTCCTTGGACAATACCAAGGATTGCTGACCGTATCGCGTAGATTTTTCGACCTCCTTGGGGGAATCTCCGAGCCGTACCGACTACCGGACGACTTGGTACAGGACCTGGGAATCAAGGGACTAAACATCCAGACTAGTATCTACGAATGGCACGCTGAAGCTCTACGCCGGCTGCCAGCCTCGGGCGAAGACCCGCAGTTCCAGCTGGCCCTCGCCCACTACCATGCCCTTCTTCTCTTCCTATCTAGTAACTACGGCTACTATCCACACTGGGACACTATACCCGCACCGATCTTGCCCCAGACTGAAATAGATCGTCATGTCGGTGCAATCCTGCAGCTGGCTGAACAGATTTTAGACACGTCCAGAATTCCCGGTGTCATGCTCTTTTTCCCGCTGCGGGTCGCGGGAACGCAGGCTCTGTGCCAGTCTCAGCGGTCGAAGATCTTGGCGCATCTGAATCGAGTGCATCAGAAGGGGTTTCTTGTTTCGAATCAAATCTATGCTGACCTCGTCGAGCTCTGGGAGTATCAGGGCTTGAAGTACTAGCAGTAGCCTTGCATTATACTTTTGATCCTTGCTCCTGGCCTGTTGCATTTCTCCGCAATTCGGGTGCCTATTGCTAGTGCCTGTCCCAAAACGGAAGCAATCGCGCGCGTGGTGGAACCCCTCTCCGATGAGATGATGAAGTATGTCTCTGCCATAAGTTCCCATCAAACCAGCAGTCATAAATGATGCTTTCCCAAGCCATAAATAAGAGAAACCACCCGTCACGATTCCTACTTTATCTCGGACCATCAACAGCCAGAACCACTCTCTACCCCCTTCAAACGTAAATCTTCCTCACAATGCTTTTCTCTTTTCTTCTCCTGGCGACATCCGCTGTCGCTCTCACAACCACCACTGCGCCAGCCGCATGCACGGCCTTCCCTTCGAAGATCAGGGACTTTTCGTCCGACTTCCAGCAACCAGAACCCCCCCTGATAGCAAACGAATTCAAAACAAGCTTCATCCAGCACAAATGGTACGTCTACGTCTCTACCATCCCTAGTGAACTCCCACCCAATCCAATCCGCAGGAACCAGAACCTCTCCCACATCATGGCGGGCTACCTCTACAACTCCCCCTCGCAGAAGCTCGTCCGCGCCGACGAGGCGTATGACGGCGGACTCGCAACATCGCTCTTCAACTACGCCAACGTGACCGATACAGGCTTGGTCGAGAACACCCTGACGGCGTTCGACAACGCTTCCAAGCCAGACGTGTGGAGGGGCTACGTCAACTCCAACTATCCCCTGTTCGAGGCGGACTTTCTGGTCCAGAACGAGGCGGTCTTTGGCGGTCTCGTGCGCAGGGAGTTTGTCGAGGGAGATGTGGCTTCGGTTGGTTTCTCTTTCCTCTTCCTCTAATCACTTCCAACTCAAGGAGGGCGATGCTGATTCGGCGCACACAGTGGGATTTGATGTATCAGGGCGCGATCCCCGTCACTGTGTATGTGGATTCGTGTGGTGTCGTCGTCGGGTATGACTATTTTGCGCCGGGGCTGCGGACTCGCGTGGTGACCATGTTCTTCAATACCTATGTTGGGCCTGTCAAGATCTAGGACGGGTGTGTCGTGGTCTGGTTGTGCAACAGTAGCAACACGCGCTCGCAATGGTCCATTGATGTTTGGGAATAATGGGTACTGCATCTTCCTATAGAGGTTTTCTAGACTTTACTATTTATTAATCTTGGTGTTTATGGAGATAGCCTATTACTAGATTAAATACCTGAATTATAATCTGTACTTCCTATAAATCTAGGTGCATGGTTAATTAGACTAATTAAATTAGAGATATAATATATAAACTAATAATAATACTATAAGAGGAGTCAGATACATATAGGAAAATATAAGATTAAGGCTAATTATTATAAGAAATATTAACCTAGATATCTTTACCCTATACTGCTAGTACACCTATATAGGGAATTACTTAGTCTTAGAGATGCTCCTTATTTTATATAATAGCTTTTAGACATCACTAAAATTAAAAGAGGTAAAAGCCTAAGGCTTTAATAGACTGTTCACAGGAAATTAATAAGGCTATATATCCATCTTAATACATCTAGAGGTGATGCTGAGATGATAGCATGATAGCCTGCCCGAGGAGATACTGTTAAGCACATTTTTTTCTCCATATGTAACCTCCATTACCAGCCTTGACACGTTACATAGTCATATAGACTCTTTATCAATTATGGCTGTACAGACACGACCAGATTAAATCCCTTTCGACAAGACAAAATAAAGCCAAAGGATGATAGTATGCCTCGTCATCCACGGGGATCCGAAATTATTGGCAGATATTTCACGCGCCAATCTTCTTGGGAAGGCATCATCAAAATGTGTTGGGTTCACTCTTATCCCACCGCGCCTTGCAATATTCCAAGGATTTGGGGTTTGATGACTTGGAAATGACTTGAATACCTCCCCCTCACCACCTGCTGCTGAGTACACACCTCCCGCTTCATTGAAGCCCCCCCAAGTAAGTGTGATAGTTACCTACTATTGTTTCTCATCCAACCCGCCATGGATGTCCCGCCTCCGCCAGACTACCCTCCTGTCAAGCCGAGCGAGTACCCTCAAATTCCAACTCAAACGCCACCAGCGGCTCTTGAAACATTGTATGCTTCTTGCGTCAGTGGTGATATCCAGAAATTTCGGGAAATTCTGGACTCACAAAGTTCTTCATCGGAGGGCTTTGATATATGCGACTTCTACCCGATAATGATCGAAGCCATCAAACGAGACGATGCACAGTTCATCAAAGAGCTTCTTGATCGCGGCTTGCCCATGGATCCACTCTATGCATTGGAAGCCGTTAGAGTGAAGGGGAAGGATGCTCTGAAAGTTTTCCTTCAAAATGGATGGGATATCAATCAGCCCATGAGCGAGCTTAAACCTCCCGTACTAGGGTGAGACTCGTCATCCCAATAGTCTTCACAATGTCACCAGGGATAACATTATGACATTTCTTCAGTTATGCTGTTGCAGATGAGGAGATGGCTGCTTGGCTCCTTGATCAGGGAGCAGATCCCAATCGTCAATGCGTTGTTGATCTCACTCCATTCTCCTTTGCTGTCGAAAGCGCCCCCATATCCGTGATCCACCTCATTCTCAGCCGTGGCGGAGATGTCCAAAAGGGCCAGCTTCTTCATGATGCAATCGAACGTCGGTCGGATACCATCGAGGTCTTAAGGCTTCTCATCGAAAAAGGAGCACCGGTCAATTCAATTATGTACAAGAACCATTATCCTTCTTGGGCGTTATTCCAGTTTATGGGTCTCGGAACGGCTCTGCACAAAGCCTCTGAGCTCGGCAAACCTGACGTGGTGCGCTACCTGATCGGCGAAGGTGCCGACCAGAGTATTAAAGATGGAAATGGCCGTACCCCTCTGGAGTGTGCGCAAAGGTCGAGCCAGTGGGAAGTTATCGAGACATTGAAGAAAGGGCGGTAGCTCGTCTGTTCCGTATCCATGTAACGTGCTTTCCGGTACCTGTCTTCCTGGGCTTTTAACTGATCTGGTCCGTGTACTGATTGTCGTCCATTTTGCATCAATGTGCCATGTTACCAAGGACCAAGAACTACAATACTAATCAACGTTATCCGAGCGCAGCGGTACGCAATATTCCATATCTCTTGCAACAGTACATATGTTTATCCTTGGGGCCCACAATGCAATAGCCAAGGCTTGATCACGGTGATACTTCAATCGTGCCCCTGTTGGTTGCCATCTGTGTCTATGCCAGAGCCATCCGAAGGCGTTTTCGTTCTTGACGCTGTGATTTAAACAACTTCCTCTTCGGTATGGCGGATCCTTGCGCTTTGGGGAGGATACGATATATCACTGCTTCATCGGACACCTACCCCTTAAAATAACAGAGATGTGTTGCTTCTGGATGCAAAAGCTTAATAATAGTAGGATAAATAATGACAAATAAAAGAAGGGAGCTATACTGAAGGAGAGAAAAGCTGAAATATCCTTATGAGGAAGGAAGTAAATAGGGAAGTAGAAGCTAGTGCCACCGTATAAGGAGCATAAAGGGTCCTTTATATATATAGTATTAGTTGACACGGTGAGCGGGGGGCCAGAAATGGCTCCCGTTCCACCGCCTGCCCGAATCCGCAGCCCCCTGCCCCTTTGGGAATGGCGCCCGCACATCAGTCCCGCTTTGGTTTAGCGCCATCCCACGCCGCTTTTACTGCCCTCCCTGTCTACCATCCATCTATAAAAGACCTCTCACCCTCTCCTCCTCTTCGTCGACGCACTTGCTCTTCTCTTTCCCCCTTCTTCCCCCCTCAACCCCTTTCTTTCTCGGCCCCACCGTCACCTGTGCATTAACTTTCAGCCCGATGCACTGCCCCTTTCATTTCGCCAGAGATGCCTCTCGATCCAGTCGCCCCGGAGCTGAAACAGTGAGATGACCGATTCCTCCACTGAATTGTGTCCTTGACAACATGTGATGGCTTGTCAACCCCCCTCTGTTTTCTTTCCTAAACAAGTCACCGTGGATTTCGCTGCAGATCTATGTCGGTTGCCTTCTGCGGCTGAGGCCTTCCCGCCGAAGGTCTCTGTTTTCCCGCTGACTTCCCAACAAGCGAAGTCTCCCGGGTTGCCTTCCTCAATGCTCCGTTGCTCCGCTTCATCCGCCCCATCTGACGCCCCATCGGAGGTGAAGCCATCAGAGGTTACATTGCACAGCCCTTGGCGTCCCAGATCTACTCTCGGCCGCTTGTTTGCAAATGTCTTGATCTCACAGTTATCATCATCATCCGCCTCTCTGGTCTGTCCTCACCTAATTGATGAATCTTAATAGCATGTAACCATAATACAAGCTAATAGCAAAAATACTGCATGCTTATTTAACCCAGGTTGATGCTGCATCATGAGCTGAATTCCTAGACAGGCTAGACAAGACCCATGATGGCGCAGTCTGGTGATTAGAGGATAGATGGTGATAACTATGAATATAGATTATTGGTTAAGGGTCATCAGCGAGATTAGTGGGAATTCTAGCTTTGTGGGTGTAAAAATATTATGGTTCTTAACTTTAGATATAGCAGCATAGGTTGCTAGAGCTAGTCTGCATCTTCTATATAGTAGAGGCAGATTGTGCCTTATGGTCTATAAAAGAGACTATAATTCCACTAAAATAATAAACTATAACCTAACCCTTCTAGATTCTCCCATCCTCCCTCTTTCTCCTTCCTACTATGCCCTACCCACTACCCCCTACCTAAAGTCCTGATTCTAGTTTCTCTATTTCCATGAGTAGTCCTAATCCCTATATGATATGAACTTGCTTAGCTGGCTTTTTTTTATATAATATATCAAGTGCCAACTTTCACCTAGAATCTTTCTAGCTATGGAATCCTTTCTAGGATAAAGCACACCCTCTATAGGATTCTCTTAATATTTATTACTACCTAAGCCCTATCTTAATTACTACCACCCCACCTCCCTCTAATCCCAGCAACCCTGCCTTAAAGAGTCTAAAAGTTTATTCTAATAAATTTAAGTGGCATCCCCTTCCTGCCTAACTGCTAGTGGAGGTTTATTTAGATGGTAGTCTATATTTAGTGGTTTAAACCACTCTTCATAAGCTAGAGGATTTAGCCTGTGCAGCCTCTACCAGTCCTTATACTAAGACCTTTAACCCTAATAATATTTTATAGGTGCATGACTTACCAGATTCTGAGGACCTTAGCTCTGCCACTATAATAGGTAATATTTATCTTAGTGCTGAGTATTAATCCCCTAGTTTTAGTCTGTGTGACTTAGAAATTATTATTATTACTAGTAAGCACCCTCAAGGTCTTGATTCTGGAAATTATATCCTGACTAGAGAGCTTCAAGATATTAAAATAATTAATCCTATAATCCTAAATGATTATGCCTTTCCAGGTGGTGGGTAGATCTAAATAACAGAGAATATTACTAGCATCATAGAATGTCTAGGTAAATATCCCTTAGAGTGCTCTGGCTTTCTAAGTTAAGATTTACCTCTTAAATATAGATAATATTATATAGAGAGGATGGAGAGTCCTGATTACTAGTTCTCAAAACTAAATAAATAATCAAGTACTGTAACAAGGCAATCAAAAAATAGTACTGGTTAGTCTAATAAAGGGCCTGGTCATCACAAGAATACTTTATTTCCTACTATTTATGCCTAATTCTCAGCCCTTCCAGTTAAAGACTGGCTATAGTTCCTATCCTAGTTATTTAAGGGTGCTCTATCACACTATATTACTATATATATTAATATAGATATTACCTCTGTATTAATATGCACCTTAAGTTAAGATATAGACTTAATATATAACTATAACTAGCTAAGCTTAAGCACTAAACTAGTTAAAGCATAATAGCTATATTTAAGAAAGGGCTTAGTGTTTTCTGTGGAAGAAAATTATTTATTAGTGAGCCTCTGGGAAGAATAGAATCTGGCTTAGTTAGAGGTGATAAGACTGTTTGCAAAGAAATTCCCTAGAAGGAGCTAAGGGTCTCTACAGGTGTACTAGAGTATGATGCTTAAGAAATAACAGCTCTTATTAGTGGATGTTATGTAGAAAATGCCATCTTTATCCATTAGATCATATCCTCTTCTCTTGAACTTGAAACTACAATATCCACGTGATTTCAAGAAAAGTGTGGAATAGCTACTTTTTTGCAGCACTTTTGGTGTTCTTCCTTTGAACGAATTGATAGAAACCGTACGCCGTTGATTTATGATCAAAATAGCGGCTTCTCAATGAGGGCCTAGGCCTCGAAAATTGGGGACAAAGCCTGCAGGCTTTGTTAGGATGAAGGTGGTGCGAACGTTACTGTATCATTCATTTTCTGTCTTTCTCTCCGGTTGTTGCTGCTCTGTTTTTGCCCGGTTAACAAATGATTGGAGTTTCCTTTCATGGCTAATATTCTCTCATTCATTCTCCTGTGCCTCAGATAATCTTTGTTGCCAGTTTCTAAGCGCGCTGCTCAGAGAATGACGTTCGTCATAGTTTGGGTCGGTCTTGGAGACAAAATATCTCTCTGGACTCATTTCCTTCGCAGATGTCCCCCACAAGTGCTCTGGAAAAGTAGGTTCCTTGGATATGTTGAGCATTCAAAGGGTGCGTCTATAGGACTCTAGGATTCACAGCATGATGTACACACCTGAACACCGACTCGGATCATCCATCTCCTAACATATTCTTGCAAGATGCATATTTCCATACGTCCAGGAAAGTATTGCATATCGGGCTCAAAACGTGAGGCATACGCTGGAGACAATAAGTCCAAGAGTTCTTCAAAGCACTCTATATGATAGAAGCCTGTCACAATATTTCAGCCTCAGATAAGAAAATGATAAAGTATTGAATCAAAATATTTACCTGCGGGGAAATAGGTCCATTGTTTCCCATCATCCACTTTAATCCGATAATCACCAGGCCAAATACTCTTCTCGCAGTGATGAAGCTGGCATTTTGCTCCTCTGCGGGATTCCGGCGCCTCCTGAAGCAGGAAGGCGGCATAAGGGCGCCGTGTATATGGTCCAAAATGCGCGTTTACAAGTTCCTTGAGCGCTCGAGCTGAAGACTGAATGTCTTCTCGACGCCTTTCTGCAGGCGATAGACCCTGTCGGCGCTTTTCCTCCGCATCAATATCTTCAAAGATTTTGTTGACCCACTTCCGTTCTTCGTCAGAGTCGATGGACGCAACATCGCGGTTAAGCTCTCGAGCAATATTCTTCCGGCGATTTTGCTTATGTTTCTTTAGCTGAAGGTCCATTCTTTTTCTGAATTTTCTTTCGAGCGTCTCGTTCGGATGTGTCCATGTCGCTAGGGGAATTTGTCCTAGGTAGGGGCCTTGTTATCAACATATTACAAGATGGCGATGGTAAGAGTTGTCCATTAGAAGGCAGCTCTACCAGGCTATGTTCATTGAAACTTTGAATGCTTCCTTCAGGTTCGCATCGGTTTTGGCTCAGTGTTGAGGTTTGCGCTTCTGAGAGTGGTGTGCGACTGCTCGTTGACAATATGGCTTGCCTAGGTTCGGTCGCATTCCTGTTTCTTCCGACAGTTTGCAGAGGCTGGGAGACGCCCGGTGCCCCATCGGGGCAATACTCCATTTCGTTTGGGAGCGGAAAACTAACAGGTGAGTTAAAGTGTTTCCAAAGTTGTTGCGAATTGAGGCCACCAATTCAATGATTCCGAGTCGTCTAACGCCAGTTCATTTGGCCCCCAAAAGAAGGCAAAGAGGGAAAGGTACTGGACAAGATATGACGGCATGTTTAGGAAGGTGGGGAGCGTGACCTCTCCCCCATGCTCCTCCCAACCTCAAACGGTCAGTCCTCGCCGTTCGTTCTCCACTCCCTCACTTTTCCATTCTTCCTATCTCTCTATCCCGCAAATCTTTGCCCCTGCATTTTCCTCCGCTGGGCGGTTACATACCGCTTATCATTGGCCCGAGACCCTCACATAGCCAGGAAGGATAACAAACAAACCACGCGAGGAGTTTCAGATTGGCGTACCCACCATCTCATACCGCGGCTAAAGCCATAAGTTTATTAGATAGAGGTATTAATACTGCTCAGCGGGAGCTGGGCAAGGGCTTTGAAGCAGGGCTGGCAGGAGACCAGATGATTATGACGTCATGGAGCCTCATAACGCGGGTTTCGCTACTTAACGCCTCAGTATTTTGTAGAACATCATGGAATTCTTGACCAGGTTTCAAAAATGTTTCATTTGCTGCTATTTTGGGTGAGCCAAAAATAATATTTCCCTTCTCGATCACTAACTTCCTTAGCTGCAAGGATTTTATGGCTATGCTTCATTTAATTTTCTCTCATGTCTTTTTGCTTCTTCGTAGTTTGTAACAGACACCCATCCCTCACTTCCAACTCCAATTGCTTCTTGGCAAGCCTGGAGTTGTTTATCAGCTTCGGATTGTGCATTCCAGTCGCAGACATTCATCTGAAAAGAAGATTGGGCAAGGTTGATTCGCATCTGGGTTTACCCCTCCCCATTTTCTCGACAGCGAGGGGTTTGGACTCCTAGTCGCAAAATGGGGACTAACGATTAATGAATTATCAGGCGCTGTTGATGCTGTGTGCGACACTAAAAGATGTCGCAACCGCACCCGACTACCAAAACTGACTCGAAGAACTTCCATGCTCAGAAGTCCACGGCAATGGGGGCAATATGAATCTCCATGCATTAGCACAAGGCTGTCTCATGGTTGTCACACTCGAAACATGACAATGCCCTTTTTGTGGCCCTCGATATGAAGACTAGAAAGATCTGACTGAAAAAGAGGAGAGCAATTTGCTTTGAATGTATTTCCTAGAGTATGTAGTAGTGGTTCGGCTATTCGGCTTCTTTTTAAAGGGTGCCAGCCGTAATCCTGGAAGAGATATGCAAGTGGTTCCTAGAATACTCTAGGACTGTCGGAAGAGAGATGAATAAGCCATGTAGGTGCACCAATAGAAATCACAATAGGTCTGGATTGCTAACAAGCCCCTAGCTGGCAATTTAACTAACTAGGTGGGCTAAATACATGACTAATCTTGGCGGATCTATAGTATCTCCTTCCTCCGGGTATCCACCTGCTCTGGTGCTGCGACAAGGACGTCCTCAGGAAAATTGTTTGTCCGAAACGGCGGTGGGTGACAGTCGATGTTCTGTCACCTGACACCCTGGTCGAACACCCTTCTTAATAAGGGGTATATAATACGGATACCTTTCCTCATTGCTCATTGCATTCCCTCTGCTACGACCTCTTGCTTCATTTCTAAACTCATCATATTGAACAAAGCAACCTGTGCCCACCATGGCTACCAGTGACCTCGCATACTCTGTTAACCAAGAAATTGCTGATTTCTTCGAGAAGACGACAGCCAGTCGCTCAGCATGTGACATCTTTGCGAGGGAGCATGTTGGTGGCAACGTCGTTCCGGTGGCCGTGCAGGGTGTGTGCAGCTATACCGTCTATGCCGGACACAATGCTGAATTCGTCGTGCAATTTCGCCTTGCGTCCCTCCAACTAAGTATGGAAATTGCGAAACTCGCTCGAAGCATCTACGGCTACTTTGCACCTCAAGTGACTTTTATGGGGCAGATTGGAGAAGCTACCGAGAGTAAAGAAGCCCTTTCCATCTACGTCATGAGTCGACTCCAAGGCATTAGTTACTTGGATTTTATCCTGGCACATAACAGTCAGGTGCCTGAAACCTCGCCTGAGTTTTCTTCATGGCGCAAGAATCTTGTAATTGACATTGCGAAGTAGGCTTAGCGTTCTCGTTGCAAATACACCAAATTGCTAATGAATGCTCTGTCAGATTCTTTGCTCTTTCATGGAAAGGCCCTCAAGATGTTGGTCAAACGTATCGCGACGACTTGTACAGTCGATACAAAAATGAGCTGGATTTGTTGCTTGCTTCTCTCCCAGATCGCTTCCACCCATTAATCCAGGAGTCTCTCAACTCATTACCCACCATTTTTTCTCTTCCCATGGTGCTAGTCCACAAAGACTTTGGTGTCTGCAATATTATTGTGAATGAAATGTCTTGCAATCTAGTTGGTGTTGTGGATTGGGCCGAAGCAGAGATTGCGCCATTTGGCCTGAACCTTTTTTCTCACCAGCGACTGATAAGTAAGGTCCATCTCAAGAAAGGCTGGGTCCGGTATGACGATTACATCACTTTGGAGGATATATTCTGGAGCACATTCAGAGTTGAAGCTGGAGGGTTGGGCAATGACACACTCAGAGCCATCAAAGCAGCAAGAATTGTAGGGCTACTGCTATCTCATGGCTTCACAAGTCGTCTCGCGAATATGCCGGAGCCAGTACCTATTCGAGATGATGAAAGCGGAGCATATAACATGCTTGATCTGGATGGGCTGTTAATAAATCCAGCTACAAGGTTTACGGATTTAGTATAGACGATGGGCACTAAATACGATGGAAAAAATGGGATGGGAGATTCAATAACCAACAAAAGGGGGCAATACTAGAACAAATTAAATAACCCCAACCACAGCAAGAGCGGCCTTCAGATCGTTGACATTTTCCAGTTTAGGAAGAGGCTTCCCTGCATTGAAGACTTTGTGATTGCCGGAGGTCATAACCGCATGAGTTTCATTTGCGGAGCAAACACGCGGCCTACCACCGCTCGCCTCGAATTTCCAGCCTGTGATACAGGTCGGTACAGTGTTCTTGACAAAGGTGGATTCCACCATGACAGTTGCTTGGTCAAGAATGAGTTCCGACATGGAGCCATCACTGCATCCAAGAATTTGGAGACCAATGAGACTTGTAAGATTCTTCTTGATAATGTAGTTAATGAACTCGTCGAGAAATCCCGGGCCAATGCCAGACAAATCAGGAAGAGGCCCGTCCTGTAGCTCATAAGCACACAGCCCGCCCTGATATAGGGCGAAGATATGTCCATGGACACGGGAGGAATCAATCTCGTCAATATCGGTGACTTTAGTCCAGCGAAGGGAAGGGTTTTCGAAGTTGGACCCAAGCATGACGGTGTTCTTGGGAATCTTGAAGTGGCCGTGGATCAAGTGAATCCCAAGAACCTTGTCGGCATTGTGACGGACGAACATTTCCGCCAGGTCTGTAATATGCTCTTCAGAAATGGGGGGCTGATCAGAGTCATCAAGAAGCGTGTTGTACCTGTAGGCGTCAGCTGCTGGGTCCTTAACAAATAGGAAGGATGCCAATGGACGATAAGATAGAATTCATACAGTGCACCACTTGCGCGGAAATCCTGGATCTCCAGAGCCATATCAAGTCAAGGAAGAACAGAATATTTCGCAACTTGAGCCGCCATTCTGCGTAGAATTCTTGCCGCAGGGGTCTAATGAAATTTGTATTATGCCAACAAAAACAAGATTTGAAGGGCACCGAGTTTAAGAAACGACAGAGGAATTCACTCTGTACTTATCCTCTTGAGGAAGAAAAATGCCCCCCTTGCCACGAGCTAGGCTCAAAATGCGGCTCTGTCCATTTACACATATGCTGACGTGGTTCTCAGCTTGTAGTGAGAGTCTCTAGAGGGATGTGACAACATTTCCTTAGCGCTGTGATAACTCGTGCACTAGCGCGTAACCATCCGTCTCCATTTTGGGTGTGGATGAAGTCGTCTTTTTTCTCTTTCACGGCCTACCGCGCAGTATCGTTCATCGATGGCTGCATGCATGTGAGTGAGTGGTTCAAAATTTGTTGAGTTGGAGAGGGGAACCCTGTCACTGACTGCCACTTACTAGGTCTGTGCAGAGAATCCGAGAGGGAAAACAGACGGATAGGTTAGGTCCATTCTACGAACAAGGGGTCGATGGGCAAAATACCTAATTTTCTAGCAACATTGACCAGAGCGGGGTAGGTTGCGCACGTCCAATGGAGGGAGCTGCATATGACTCACTGCCGCACTGCGAAGACCTGAGCACACGAGCCATGTGCTCTGGGTATTTTACCAAAAATTTAGGGCAGCCTGAGTATAGAATGTGAATAATTGACTTTCCTATCTATTCCATGTGATTTAAATAAAATGATGATATTCTTGACTTTCCCGTAACACAGGTGTATTCTGTGCGATAGTCCCCACATGCTACTCTACAGTGGGGCCGCAAAGTCTGAGACCAATCGAGTAACTTACCTTTCTTTGCCGCCTCCTTATTGAGAACGTACCGCCAATTAGCTACAGTTTATGAATGGTGCGGCCACTATTTGCCAGCAGAAGAATTAACGTGATACATCAGCTGGTTTCAGACTTTTCCGGC